TAATAATAATAACACTAAGGGTGTGTTTGTTTGAAGAATTTTGGTCGATTTCTACTATTCACACAAATTTTTTCTCCAAAACATATATTTTTTATATTATACTAAAAATCAATTTTACATTAAAAAAAATTACATCAATCCATATTTATATTACATCGTACAACTATTTCAATTTAATTTTTTTACTATTCAAATCTCAATCCAAAATTCCAACGCAGAACAAACACGCCCTAATAGTAATAATCCTAGCTATTAAATAATAATAATAATAATAATAATAATAATAATAATAATAAAAAATTGTAATCCATATATTTTATTTACATATTGTCCTAATTATGTCATTGTTTTCGGATTTCATCCATTATTCATGTCAATACTAGATCATGTCGTCATTGGAGCCATATTTTAATTGTAACCCAATTTGAAATCATTTTGGGCCGATCCAGCCCAATTTTGAAATCATATTGGCCCGTACAAAAATATATATTTATGTTATATGAATAAAAATATCAAAGATGTTATGGAATATTTAATTTTTAAATTGGTATTAAAGTCTATTATTGTCAAATAATTACACTAATAATTTGTTCAATACTTACTAATATTATAAATTGATGACTATTACATCAATTAAATTTAAGAGATTGACTCTTTAATATGAATAGCTTTAATTTGCTGAAGATTGAGAGGTTTGAATTTTATAGTAGATATTTTGAATTAAAATAATTGTATGATATGATATAAATAAGTATTGATATGATATTTTGAATATAAAATTAATTTTTAGTATAATATAAAAATAAAAATAAATATTTGATTTATATTTTGAAAAAAAAAATTAATAAATAGTAAAATTTCAGATGAATTTTTCAAGATACCTACAAGCAACATGTAGTCCGTACAGCTTGCAGTGACAAGCTTCATTGTTCATATTAGTATTTACATTTCTGTGGTTTGCAGTTTTATCAAAAGTTTTTTTTGCACAAGCTTGTTTTGTCTATGTTACCGTAAAATACTATAATTTAGATAAAATATAATTAATAAATAATTAAAAAATATATATTAATAAAAATAATTATTTTATGATAATAATTATAAAATATGATTAATTAAATAGTTTAATTGTAAACTATAAAATTTAAAATACGATTAAAATATATAATTATATTTTCAGAAGAAAAAAGAATGATAAATTATGGGATACACTGAAATAAAAAAAAAATAAACATTTTATTTGGGATTGAGAGATTATTATTTAATTGCATAAATTTTTTTAATATTAAATAAAATTTTAAATTAAACTTTAAAAAAAAGTTAAATTCAAGTACATATATGTGTTTGTTTTTAATTTCAACACAAAATTACTATTATTCATTTTGCAGAATTTTCAATAAAAATATAATATATTTTTCTCATAAATTATTCCGAGTTTATTTGCCCATGTCAATATATATTTTACACTCTCACAAAAGTCAACGTTATAAAATATTATTTTTATATTATCGACATAATTCTCTATATCTCACGTAAAAACAAAATTTAAAAAATAAAAATAAAATAAAAATCACTAAACAAACAAACCCGCATTAAAATGTTTTTTAAACCAAAATTTAAATCATAACCAAACAAAATTCCAATATTTTGTGACAAAAAAAAAAAAAAATGCATAGGCATAAGTAATTTATAAGTGGAAAAGTCTAACAATACGGAGGAAAACAATAAACATATACTCCCTCTCTCCATTCATTTAAAAAATATATATATTTCTATTTTAGGACGTCTAATTATAAAATAAATATTTAATTAAATACATGTTCTTTTTTCCACAAATATTCTTACTTTACATCACATCATTACTTTTACTCAAAAAAAAATAAAGACAAAAATGTCATTATACTATTTTTAACTACTCACTATAATTAAAATACTATTATTTCTTAAACACTGCGAAGTAAATATATACATTGTAAGTAGACAGAGGGAATATTACGTATTACTTTTTCCAATAAAATTATCTTCAATGAAAAATAAATATTAAATAGAATATATTTTAAGATAATTAAAAACTCAAAAAACAAATAAACTAAAATTAGTGATTGAATTTTAATTTTAAATGAAAAATAAATATTAAATATAATATATTTTAAAGATAATTAAGAAACTAATATTTCCTCCATTCGGTCAACATGACCCTTTTGCTTAAGGACACGGTATTTTATGCAGTGTAAATTAGTAAGTTATTAATAATAAATTATAATATTATTTTATTATTTTTATATGAGTATTGTTGTTTGCATTTTAAATATTTTTAACATTACATATCAATAAAATATATACAATATGGATATCATTTTGTAGATAATAAAATTTTATATAATACAAGTAAATAAAAAAATTAATTAATTTATTTATAATTAACTTAAAACTAATTTTATTAAAAATAAGAAGTTTTAAATATAGATAAAAATATTTATTTATTGAAGAGAGAAATAGAAATAAAGGAGTTTTTGAGTGGATCCTATGTGTAAGAGGTTATAAATTTAATTAAGTTAATTTATATTTGTTAAATATATTTAAGATGAATAAATTTATTAAAAATAAAAATGAGTCATCTTTAATGGGACGGACAAAAAAAAAAAAAAGTCATCTGTCGCGGGACACGAAGGAAGTACTAAATAATAACTAAAGAAACCCCAACAATAGCGGCAACGTAACTGTCAAATTTGTTGCACAAGGTAGGTAGGTAGGAAAGATGATTCAAATTTATAAATTAAATATAACGAAATATTAATAAATATACAAAATAAGTAGATAAATTTCTTGACTATGAGGTTGTTTACTTATATTTGTACTTCAAAATATTTATTGATCTGAAAATAATTATTTTAAGTAATATCTTGAATAAAAAAAAATAAAAATGATAGTTTGAAATTTTCAATAATTATCATTTCAGAATTGTTTTTTTAATACTATTATGTCACACTTGCCCCCAAACATTATAACAAAGAAGGACTAAAATATAAGAAAAATAAAAATGTCTTATGTAATTTGATTTTTGGCTAATAGAATTTATTTTTTTATTTAAGGTATATTAATTGTTTTAAAGACTAAAAGTATTTTATTCAATGAAATTTAATATTTAATATTATATTTGTTCATTTTCATTGAAAAGATTAGCCTAACTAACATACAGTAAAGATACAAATGTATATATCATCTTTGCTTGGTCAGAACTTGTTTTTTTTATTAGCAAAAGAATTGTTCAACAAAAATTTCTTATAATTATTAATATATAATTATTTAAATAAGGCAGAGTTGAAACCGTGTACAAATTTTATTATTTTGTTACTTGGCCGGAGGAGCAACAAAGCCAACAACAATTTGTTAGCACGATGTGGTCAATTAATTTATTTAAATATAAATATCCCCAATAATTTAATTGATAATGACTTTCCATGTAGTTTATACAAATTTGCAAAATCCAATGAAATCTACACTCTAACTAATATCTGTCCAATCAAATAAATCAAAAATCAACAATAAAAAATTAAAAATAAATAAATAAATAATCAAATTGCACCTTAGTTACTTAGCAAATTTATTTCTTACCTGTTCTAATTAATTATTACTATATTTGTAACAATAGTCGTCACAATCCCAAAGTCAACTTTCTCATACGTGTGTGTATGCGTTCCTTGTTCTTTGAAAATTCCTTATCTCCCTACCAAAAAAGCCAAAATTTAAAAAATAAAAAATAAAAATAAAGATAAAATAAAATAAAATAAAATATACACACTACTAATTTAAAAAATAATTAACTTGTATATGCATATCAACAACCACCAAATGCTTTTTTAAAAAAAGTACAAAATTAGTCCCGTAAGGATGGCCTATTGGTGTAGGGGGTTAGACTTGTGACCATGAAGTCACGGGTTCAAACCCCCGACGCCTCAGGTCACCTGCCACACATGATTCGTCTAGTGTGGCTTTTCCGTCGGGCTTGGTTCGTAGGGTATTAGGTTCGGTCGGGGGTTATCCAGCGCACTTGCGGGTGGCGATTGCAAAAAAAAATACAAAATTATTTAAAGGTGTTTTCTTTTGGAGGATTTTCTCGGATTTCCACTATTTATCCAATTTTTTTTTTTTAAATATCAAATCAACCATCTATTTTTTATTTTTTATACTATCTCCATAAATATCGCATTTACTTTTTTGCGTGTTGATCTTTGAAAATTAATTATTATATCATAACATACTACAAATTTTTTTTAAAAAAAATAAAATTGTAAAAATACTTACATCAATGTCTTATAATACCTAATAAAATGACATTTGTACAAAAAATTATACAAATATAAAGATATTTTTAATGTTAAATACAATTACGCAAAAGGTAAATGTGACCCTTAGAGGCGGACGAAAAGAGTATTATATTAAAACTTAATTTTACGTTCAAAACATCACATCAACACCTATTTATATCACATTACACCACTGTTACAATTCAAAAACTCAAAATCCAAACCCTCGGACAAACACACCCTAAATCTAGCTGCATTCGCAAATCTTGAATCATTCTCACTTATTGAAGAAGCTGTTGTTGATCGAGCACTGCAGTAATTTGAAAATTCTTTATAATATTTTATAATAATCTCACCTAAAAATTTAGGTTTAAAAAGATGTACATCATTAATTATTATATAGTGATCAATTAACAATGATTAGGAAATGATTCAAAGTTTTCAAACATATTGATATAAACAATAATGTGTATATATATATATATATGTATGTATATAATGGGTCCCCTCTCCTCCTTGCTATGTGTATGCATGTATGTATGTTTTATATATGTATGAAATTCGTGGCTTCCAAATTGTAAGAAGAAGAAGAAGTAGAGAAGTAGTAGTTTAGGTATGGGGGAGAAAATAAAGAGAAGAAAAGAGGGTGGGGGTGGGGGTGGGGGTGGGGGTGGGGGTGGGGCGGGGAGTGGGGCAATGGGGGGTATGTTTGTGCATGGGGACTGGGTGGATATGGTGCTGATGGGGTTAGGGTTTCTGGGTGCCTTTTGCGACGGAATATCGATGCCTTGCAGTCTCTTCCTCTCCGCCAGGCTTATGAACGCTATCGGAAACACTCAGAATTCTTCTTCAACGGCTGACACTTTTACTCGCACTATCAATAAGGTTTTTTAATTTGTTGCTTCATTAATTTCTATATGTATATAATGTCTATCTGTTTTTTTCTTATTTTTTTTACCGTATGTATGTTCCGAGATGGAACATTCGAGCAGAAATATCTTATCACTTAATCTACAAAAGTAATAAGGGAAATATACTTGGAGAATTTGTAAAGTGTGTTTGTTAATTATGTGAAAAAAGTTTAAAGAAAATATTTTTTTACGTGAGAATATAAAGAATTGTGTAGAGAATATAAAAATAATGAATATGAATAATATATTAATATTTTTTTTAAAAATGTATCGAAGATAAAATCAAAAAGAACAAACCCGTAATGTTTAACAATTTTTTGGTTCTTCTTATTTTTTAATATTCTTTAAAATGTTTCTGGGTTGATATGCATGTAAATGGAAAAAAAACTTGTGAGGTTCTTGATACCCTATATGTCATTCAAATTTATATATATTTTTTATCAAAATAATATTCTTGTTTTCTTTTTAGTAAAAAAAATATTTACTATATAAAAATAAAAATAAAATTATATTTTTATATATTTTTTAAAAATTTGTACCCAGACAAATAGACGATGGGATAGTATATGTCAATTATTAATTATAATATGTAATATACATGGTAATAATTTTAAATAATAGGAGTATTTTAATTAGCTAATTTTAGTTTTACTGTAGGTATGTTGATTGTAATTAAAATTAAAAGTACCAGTATTATTTAGTTCTATAATAAAAATATATTATTTTTCTTTACAAAACTTTTTATCGAATACAATTTAAATTTAAATTCAAACCAAAACCAAACACATCTGTCCCTTTGGCTCACTTTCCATATTTCCTAAATATTTGTAAAGGTAGGATATATATCTATGTTTCTATTTATTTTCCCCTCATCTTCACAATATATATATATATATATATACTAAAAAAAAAAAAATAATATATTTGTAACGGAATTTCGTCCCTAAAGTTCACGTAGCTAACGTAATTTCATTACTAATTACATCTCTAAGGTCATTAGTAACAGAAAAAGTAGATTTAGAGACAAAAAAGTTTTGTTACAAAAATGATTTTTTCTTATAGTGATATATATATATAATTATATACTCCCTCCATCATTCAAAATCTATGCTCACTTTCCTTTTTGTTGTCATTGAAAAATATTTTCATTTTCTTTTTCAAGTAAAAAATTATTCTATTTTTGTACTTTTTTTACTATAAAAAAAGAATAATATTTATTACTAACTTTTATTAAAATTCATGTTCGATCAAATGAGCGCATATTTGCATGACGAAAGGAGTATAATTCATCATTTTTTATAAAATTAACTCATGTTATCGTATATTTATATTATATTGCCTCCATGTGCGCAGATTGTGTGGCACAATAATAATAATTTAATACAAAAGTTCATAGATAAAAAACTAAAAAAGAAAATTAATAAGTTGGGGTATAGTAAAAAAATTATTAAGAATGTTATTCAATTTGGTGTAAAATGGTTATTATATGCTAAATACAATTGATAAAATTATTGATAGATAAAAGATAATTGTCATAAATAATAAAATAAAATAAAATAAGAAAAGAGTTACATAATTTTTTCGGACAGATTGGGTATAAAATTTTTATTTTCCCTTAAATAATATATCATTTTTAAAATTTGTAAATATATATTTTAAAATTGTTTTAATCATGTATATATATCAGTTAAATAAACTATATCCAATCAAACTTCGAACCACGAATTCAACTATCGAGCCAATATGCATTTGTTTATTCTTTTTAATTTAAATTACTTTTATATTAAATATAAAAAAATATATATCCATAATATAAAATTAATATTTTGTATTTTTATGCGTTTCAGAATGCACTGTATATTACCTACATTGCTTGCGGGCAATGCGTCGCCGCCTTTCTTGGTTAGTATCTATTTCTCTCTCACATTTTTATTTGTAATTTTTTAGTATTGGGCTTGGGCTTGTAATAATTACAATGGGCCCGAGCCCAGCCTAGAATTTTAATGTATATGATCATTAATAAACATTAAATTCCTATTTTTTAAATCCTAAAAAATATTTAATTCGTGATTCATCTGTCTTTTTCCAAACTTCAAATCTGTATGGTTTGTCGTTGTCTCTTTTGCAATCGTTTCCATGAATTTAAATTTTTTAAAATAAAATTTAAAAAAAATGTTTAAAAAAAGTATTTGGCCAGCCCACCCAGTGCCTAAGTCTTGAACTATTTTAAAACCGAGGCAGATAGATTTGGTCTGATTTCAAAATTATGTCAATTTGTTCAATTCTTATTTGGTGAAGTAGTTTAGGAACAAAATAGGAATTTTTTGTTATCTCTTTAACTATATATATATATATATTTTATTATGTAAATTTATTTTTCTCTAAAAATATTACATTAATTTTTTTTAAAAAAAAAAATATCAAATTCAACCATCACTTTATCTAAAAAAAAAACATACAAATTTAACAAGGGATAGTGCAACTAATAATAATGGTTTTTCTTCAGAGGGATACTGTTTCTCAAGAACAGCAGAAAGACAAGCTTCAAGGCTACGAACAAAATATCTGAAAGCTGTAATGAGACAAGACGTCGGCTACTTCGATCTAAATGTAAACAGCACTGCAGAGGTCATTCAAAGTGTCTCCACAGATTGTCTAGTAATCCAAGACGCCATTGGTGAAAAGGTAATGCCTAATACATAAATAGATTCATACGATCATGGATTATCATCTCCAATTATTATTTCTAATCTGGTTTGAGACATTATCGTTTCTTGATGCACAAAACTACAGGTTCCAGTTTTCGTGTCGTGCATTTCGACATTCATGGCGTCCTATGTGGTTGCATTCACAATGCTGTGGAGACTAGCCATTGTCGGGTTCCCATTTATAGTGTTTCTGATAGTACCAGGTGTGATGTATGGAAGAGCCCTTATGAGCATTGCAAGAAAAATCAAGAATGAGTATAACAAAGCCGGCGTAATAGTCGAACAAGCAATTTCTTCGGTCCGAACAGTTTATTCGTTTGTCGGCGAAAGCAAGATCATCAAAGCATACTCTGATGCTCTTCAGGGGACAGTAAAATTGGGAATGAGACAAGGCATAGCCAAAGGTTTGGCCATTGGTAGTAATGGGGTAACCTTTGCAATTTGGTCTTTCATGTCTTATTACGGCAGTCGATTAGTCATGTACCACGGCGCTCAAGGAGGCACTATCTTCACCGTCGGAGCATCAATGACTATTGGTGGATTGTAAGGACATGATCTATATTTCATTAATTCAACTTTGTAATATATCGAACTTATTCTTATTGTCTTGATTGAACAGGGCGCTCGGCATAGCTTTGCCCAATCTAAGATACTTTGCCGAGGCGAAAGTAGCTGCAGAACATATAAAGGAGGTCATTGGAAGAGTTCCTAAGATTGATTCGGACAACATGGATGGCCAAATACTACCAACTGTATACGGACAAGTTGAGTTCAAACATGTCGAATTTGCATACCCATCGAGGCCTGAAAGCAGAATCTTCGAAGACTTCAATCTACAAATCCCGGCAGGGAAGACAGTAGCATTGGTTGGAGGAAGTGGATCGGGAAAGTCGACAGTTGTTTCTTTATTGCAAAGATTCTACGATCCTCTTGGCGGAAAGATACTCCTCGATGGCATCGACATTGACAAGTTGCAGCTTAAGTGGCTAAGATCACAGATGGGGTTGGTGAGTCAAGAACCGGCCCTGTTCGATACCTCAATCAAGGAGAACATACTTTTTGGTAAGGAAGATGCATCCATGGAAGAGATTGTTGAAGCTTCCAAAGCTTCCAATGCTCATAACTTCATCACTTTGTTACCTGATGGTTATGACACTCAGGTAATAATTCTTTAGCATGTAAGTTTTAGTAGCTAACCTCGACCTCGGTTGAATTTTTAACCATGGTTGATCATATCCGCGCGCAGGTCGGCGAGAGAGGAGTACAGATGTCCGGTGGGCAAAAGCAGAGGCTCGCCATAGCCAGAGCCATAATTAAAGCTCCTAAAATCCTTCTACTCGACGAGGCCACCAGTGCTCTCGACTCAGAATCCGAGCGAGTAGTCCAAGAGGCTCTCGACAAGGCAGCAGTCGGTCGCACGACCATTATCATAGCTCATCGCCTTTCCACCATCCGCAATGCTGACCTTATCGCCGTGATCCACAATGGCGAGGTCGTGGAGATTGGTTCACACGATGAGCTAATGGAAAATGATTCCGGACACTATGCAATGCTTGTTCATCTACAACAGTCCGAGAAAATCGAAGAGTACACAAATCCTAACAGCCCCGGACCTTCTTCATCCCTCGTGAACTTGTACATTCACAAATTGAGTCGCAGAAGTACATCCACAGTTAGCAGATCTAGCTCAACTAATATGAATGGCGATGGAATTTCTGGAATAGGGACTGGTGATCAAGTATTTCCTAGGCCTTCAATGAGACGATTATTAGCCATGAATTCGCCCGAATGGAAGCAAGCTACATTAGGATGCATCAACGCGATATTATCCGGTTCGATTCAGCCCCTTTATTCCTTCGCAATGGGAGCAATGATATCCATTTATTTCTTACCAAGTCACGACCAAATCAAGGAGAAGACGAGGATGTACTCTCTATGTTTTTTCGCATTGGCAGTAGCGTCCTTTTTGATCAATGTCGTTCAGCATTATAACTTCGCGGCGATGGGGGAACACTTGACAAAGAGAATAAGAGAAAGAATGTTGTCCAAAATGCTCACATTCGAAATCGGATGGTTCGACAAAGATGAGAATGCAACCGGCGCTATATGCTCTAGACTAGCAAAAGATGCCGGTGTGGTAAGTTCACTGGCCTTGTTTTAGTTTTGTATCGAAAAAAGTATCAAACATAACCGTGTTCTTCGCATATTGCAGGTGAGGTCTCTGGTAGGCGATCGGATGTCGCTGCTTGTCCAAACCTTCTCGGGAGTAATCATCGCGTGCACGATGGGACTTATCATCGCATGGAAACTTGCATTAGTAATGATCGCGGTGCAGCCGGTGATCATCATTTCCTTCTACTGCAAACGCGTTCTGCTAAAAAGAATGTCTGAAAAGTCGATGAAAGCTCAAGATGAAAGTAGCAAGCTTGCAGCTGAAGCAGTCTCGAATCTCCGGACCGTCACAGCATTCTCTTCTCAAGCTCGGATACTCAAAATGCTCGAGAAAACCCAAGAAGGGCCGCGAAAGGAGAGCATACGACAGTCATGGTATGCAGGCTTCGGACTCGGGACTTCCCAAGGTTTCATGACACTCACTTGGGCTTTAGATTTTTGGTACGGCGGCAAGCTGATCGGAGAAGGTTCCATCGGGGCGAAGGCAATGTTTCAGACCTTCATGATCTTGTTAAGCACGGGACGAGTCATAGCCGATGCTGGAACAATGACGAATGATCTTAACAAAGGTGCTGATTCAGTCGGATCCATTTTCGCTGTCTTGGACCGGCGTTCCGAGATTGAGCCGGATGATCCAGCTGGTATCAAGCCGGAAAGGCTAACAGGGCACGTCGAGCTTCGGCACATCGAATTCGCATATCCAGCTCGACCGGATACAATGGTGTTCAAAGGCTTTTCCCTTGTGATCGAAGCAGGGCAATCTACTGCACTTGTAGGCCAAAGCGGATCCGGAAAATCGACCATCATAGGCTTAATCGAAAGATTCTACGATCCTCTCCGAGGAAAGGTTAAAATCGACGGCCGGGACATCAAGACATACAATCTGAGGGCTCTAAGGAAGCACATTGCCCTAGTCAGTCAAGAGCCGATGCTATTTGCCGGCACGATCAGACAAAACATCGTATACGGAGCATCTAAAGAGATCGAAGAAGCTGCGATCATCGAGGCATCCAAGGCAGCAAACGCTCACGATTTCATATCGGGGCTTCGAGATGGTTACGACACTTTCTGTGGAGACAGAGGAGTGCAGCTGTCCGGAGGCCAAAAACAGCGGATCGCCATTGCTCGTGCCATCCTTAAAAATCCGGCAATCTTGTTGCTAGACGAGGCGACGAGCGCGCTCGACAGCCAGTCGGAGAAAATTGTGCAGGAAGCGCTGGAGAGGGTGATGATCGGGCGGACGAGTATTGTGGTGGCGCACAGGCTGAGCACTATACAGAACTGCGCCATGATCGTTGTGATGGACAAAGGAAAAGTAGTCGAAAAGGGAACACATTGGTCGTTGCTGGCGAAAGGATCGAATGGAGCGTATTATTCGCTGGTTAGTCTTCAGAGGACGCCGGCGGGAAACAATCAGAATACGATCGAATAATAATGAAGTGTTCGTTATCGTCGAATTCGTCTGATGCTTATATACATATATATATATTATATATATATGTATAGGTGATGAATTTGGGGTCTTTGAAGTTTGTATGGTGTTTTTTTGAGAAAGGTAGGTTGAAGAAATGTATATCCAATTAATTATCCTATTATTTTCGGCAATGAACTTTAACTCTATTATTGTTGTTTTACCTTATTTACAGATTCTTTGGACGCTTCGTTGGAGCGCCTTCTTATGAAATAATAAAAATTTAAATTCAATAATGTTATATAAAGGATCGATATAAAATAAAAGAAAAGTAGAAGGTACAAAGGTATTTTATTTTATTTTGTTACGTAGATATTTATAGGCGCAAATGTGATCGAATCAACATATATTATAGATATCACAGTATATTTATAATAAAATATATGTTATGTTATAATACAGACATATCATATTTTATAATACTATATTATAATATAATATTTTATTCATCTCAATACAATAGTCTTATTTACTATTTTTGTTCGTCCCAAAATAATAGTCTTGTTTCCATAAATAACCATATCACCATAAAACTACCCCTACTTTTTCATTTTTATTACACAATTGCCACTACTTTTTACACTAATACTCTCACAAAGACAAAAAAAGTTTTTTATCCATACTTTTTACCAACTGCAAATATAATATCAATATTCCTTAAATCGCATATCCAACCCAATTAAGATTATATTTATGGGACGGAAAAAGTATATGATATCTTATAACACAATATATAATATATTATATAGAAATATATGTTGTTTACCCTCCCAGGCAAATGTGATCGAATCAACATATATTATATTTATAATACAATATATGATAATTTATAATACAATATATGATATTTTATAACACTATATTATAATACTAGTCTATTACCCGTGTGTAGCACGGATAATTATAGAAATTGTGATATTAATTTAATTTTTATATTTTAAATAATAAATTTTATTTTGATAATAAAACTTTGTATGAAGATAGCCAAAATTAATTTATATAAAAAATAAACTATAAATAAAAAATACGGTCAAACTAAATCAAATAAAAAATATTAAGTAAGCAAATCAAAATTTAATAAATATATATTACAATTTAAATTCAAACATAATAGAGATAAAAGATAATTATTCATAATTACTTTTAAATTAAAAATCAAAATAAATTTGAAAGAAATTTGTAGTCATTTATATATGGTTGTTAGCTTCAAGAAGTGAACAATGTTCAAACAACATACTAAATAATAGTAACGAAACAAAAAATAAACAAATAATATTAAGTAAATTATAAATCAAATAAAATTTATATATCATTTTAAATTCAAACCTAATATAGATTTAAAATATTTATTTATGAAACATTATAATAAATTCATATCTTCTTATCGCATTTTTTCTTTTATCGCTGGTTTGAAAAGAAATTTTAAACAATATATCAACAAAAATAAATAAATAAATACACTAACAAAAGTTAAATAAATATTGGAGAATATTGGCTAATAAAAATTATAAATTACAAAATTTATATTTAAAGTGAAATCAAATATAAGTTGGATTAAAAATATTTATTAACAAATTATATTAGATAAAAACAAAAGACTCGAAATTTAAATATAATTTCAAATTTTCAACAAAAAAATCGTATTAGAATAGTAATATTCTAAACCAAATTAATCAGTAAAAAATAAAAATTACAACAAATAAATAAAATAATGCATATAAAATAAAAATAAAAGTCCTAAAATTAAAATATAGTAATTTTTATAAATTACTAAAATTTATCTTAATTTTCTGTATTGATTTTTCTGATATTCTTTTAATAAAAATATTCAAAATTTAAATATAATCTATGATATTAGGGGAAAATATTTTAATATAATATTTAAAACCAAATCAATTAAAAAATGCATATTAAATAAAAATAAATAAAAAATTAATTAGTAAAAAATACAAATAACATAATGTATAATTTTAATAAGAACAAAAATAATAAAATAAAAATATTTATATATGTATATTAAAATTTGCCATAATTTTCTTTATGGTTTCTTTAAATATTCATTCAAATCAAAAGATTACAAATTTAAGCATAATCTAAAACATTTAAAAATATATTATAATATAATAATCAAAATCAAATTAATTAGAAAAAATATATACTCATAAGAATGAAAAATATTGTATTAGTAGAAAATAAGAATAACATAATATAAATTAGTAAATACATACATAATAAAAATAAAAAATATTTTAGTAGAAAATAATAATAACACGATAGATAATTTTAAAAAAATACATATACAATAATAATGAAGTATTAGAATATTATATTCGAAACTAAATAAATTAATAAATAAATATATAAGAAGAACAAAAGGAATATATCAGTAGAAAATTAAAATTAATTTAATAATATTATTATACATAATAAAATAAAATAAATAAACAAAAAAATTGAAAATACTATACTTGATTTTTTTTTTCTTCTTTCTCTTCTATTTTTTTTTTCATTCTCTTTTTTCTTTGATTTTTTTTTTTTTTTTTGGCATCATATGGATAAAAAAATTGATTAGTAAAATTTTTTTGTATAATTTAAAATTTATAAGTCAAAAAATAAATTTATTCTAAAATTTTCATTATATAAGGAAAGATAAAAAATTATATGTATAAATAATATATAAAAGAATCAATAATATATAAAATAGATAATGATATTTTTTCATGTGGAAAATCATTTAGTTCCTATAAACAATAACAAATGATATGCGTAAATAAAATACGAAAAAAAATAATCCCGTGAAAACTTTTCAAGGTTAAAAAAATCCAAAAATCACAGCGTAAGTAAAAAATTCACAATAATGAAATAAAATATAAAATTTTTTAAGAATAAATTATCGTTAAATCAACCAACAAAAATCACATATTTAAGAAAAATAAAGATAAAAAAACAAACCTTAAAACTTTGTCATTCTAATCGAACTACATGTATCTAACCAATAATCTCAACATTTGAAAATCCAACGAATTACGAACACTTTTTGAAAATTTCTAATTGATCCGACAGTCAATGAAGCGGATAGCTGTTTTTTCGAACATGTGCAGTGTTGGCCGAAAATTTCATAATAATTTTTATTATGACGATTTTGACTTAATCTCTTAGGTATATATAAATATACAAAACTCCAATATTATACATATCTTTGTTATTTATTATCTAGATAAATCTGAATTTTGTTAGATTAATGGTTATCCTAACAAATTTTAGCTAATTATCCAAATTTATTATTTAAAAAACAAAAAATCTAAAATTACGAGAGTGTACGAATTAAAGTGCCTTGTGCTATAATTATAATAATAATAATAATAATTAATAATTAATAATATATGTTATCTTATATATTTATGGGTGCGGGGTTTTGGATTTGAATTTATGAATAGTAAAAAAAATTTGAATAATTATTTAATATGATATAAAATATTATGTAATGTTTTGAATATAAAATAAATTTTTAATATAATAGTATAAAAAAATAAAATTAATTATTTTATTTGATATTTATTTAGAAATAAAAATATCAAATAATAAAAACCTGATCTAAAACACACAAAAAAACACACCCTTAATTTTTCTCAAAACATATAGGCTAATATTCACTCAAAAATAAGCTTTTAAATTGAACTTTATTATTTTTCAGTTCTACTTTAGGCCCAATTATATTGGGCTTTCATTGATCTGTGATCCGGCGGCTGTAATCCAATGTTACCATTAGGGTTTTAATATAAATCCAACGTGCCCCTTGTTTTAGGTTTAGGTGGTGAAGCACAGAGCCATTGCCGGAGCCGGAAACCAAAGTCAAGATGGCGAGTGCTCAAAGGTCTTTGTCTACCAAGGAGGCCGATATTCAGATGATGTTGGCCGCCGAGGTTCACTTGGGAACCAAGAACTGCAATTTCCAGATGGAGCGATACGTTTTCAAGCGCCGCAACGACGGTATGTTTTCCATTTGTTTGTTCTGATGTTAATTTCGCTAAGGAGACATGAAATTAATGCTCATATTGCATTGGTTTTGAAGTTTCCAATTTTCTGTTTGATTACTTTTGTTTGGTGTTCCTTTGTATGTGCCTGTAATTAATCATGCCTTACGAGTGTTTTATTTATAGGTTTGTTTGGCATTTCGCCATGATGTATTTGGAGGGAAAGTTCAGTCTGGTTTTAGTTGCTAATGAATTCTGAAAATTAAAGGATTAGTGTCAAATAGTATGTAATGGTAAAATTTATATAATAAAGGAGAAAAGTTGTCTTTTACGCAATCGGAACTTGATATTCTAAAGGCTTTGTTTTTTTTTTTTTATTTAATTACAGTGTTGATTTTGGAATCTACACTTGGTGATAATTGCATTTTCTGTTCATAGTGAGACTGAATTGCTCTATTCATTTGTATTATCTTTTGGTAAGTAGCATTTCGTGGGCCATTGTCCATAGGAATAATGATGGTTGATTTTTGGCTAAAATGCATATATTTTCAATATCTTTACACTGTTATATCGTTGTCAGATTTTACTATTGTGTGTTACTCGAACATTTATTTAGTTAATTATTGATTAATGATCCAGGAATCTACATCATAAACCTGGGAAAGACATGGGAAAAGCTTCAAATGGCTGCCAGGGTTATTGTGGCTACTGAGAATCCGCAAGACATTATTGTGCAGTCTGCGAGACCTTATGGTCAGAGAGCTGTATTGAAGTTTGCTCAATACACCGGAGCTCATGCAATTGCTGGGCGACACACTCCCGGTACATTCACTAATCAATTGCAGACGTCATTTAGCGAACCAAGGCTACTCATTCTAACTGACCCAAGGACTGATCACCAGGTTATCACATTTCAGTGTTTGTTATCAACTTTCTTCAATTGAATCTTCATTTTATAGCATTTCTTGGTTTTGACGGCAAACATTTATGCAGCCCATCAAAGAAGCAGCTCTGTCTAACATTCCCACAATTGCTTTTTGTGACACCGACTCCCCAATGCGCTATGTTGACATTGGAATTCCTGCCAACAACAAGGGGAAGCACAGCATTGGTTGCTTATTCTGGCTACTGGCCAGGATGGTGCTTCAAATGCGAGGGGTGATTGCACCGGGGCACAAATGGGATATTATGGTAAAACAATCTTAAGACTGTTGTGATTTACATTAGAATGATACTCTTAACAAAAAATTTTGGTTCATCTAATTACGTGCATATTCTTTTTTATTTACCCTAAACCCTAATCTTGGGCTTTGTTTGTTCCTGTAGGTTGATCTATTCTTTTATCGGGAACCCGAGGAGACCAAAGAACAGGAAGAGGAAGAAGCTCCTGCCATTGCTGACTATGCTGATTATTCTGCTCCAGCCCTTGGTGCCGATTGGTCTAGCAATCAAATCCCGGATTCCCAGTGGACTCCTGATGTGGCTGGTGCAGCGCCAGTTGCTAGTGGTTATGCCACCGGTATGTAAATACAGTGTCTTCAGTTTGTTAAAATGTTTTCTCAAGTTGTTCATGACTGCTCCGATTGTGATGATGTTCTGTTTGCTTAAATTAGTCAACTATAAACTTTATCCACTCGTGATTTCAGGAGCTGATGGGTGGGATGTAGCTGCTCCACCATCGATTCCTGCCCCTACTGCAGATGTTGCCGTACCAAATATTGCACCTGACGGATGGGAATAAGCCAGGTTATATAATACTATCCTCGTGCACTTACGTTTATTCGAATTTTAGATTTTTACAGTGATTAGAGAGGACAATATGATTTGGCTTATATTTGTTAATTTAGCAAGTTTTGTTTGCTTGAAATTGCTGCTGTCGCTGCATTTTTGAAATGATTCCATGTTTTTCATATCTAAATTGAATACTGGTTCCAGTTTATCCTGTGATTTCTCTGCTCCACCGATATATTATTAGCTTTCAAGGACAACTAAATTTGTCTTGGTGTTGAGTCAATCCTGAAACTGGCTCTCGACCATTTTCCTGCTTTTGAAGCTTAGGGAAATGTTAAATGTTAAATGTTTACTCTTATCCTCTCTTAATTGCAATGTAATTGTTGCCTGTAGGAGTGATCTCTGCCCTATCCTCGGATGTATTTAAGTGTTTTTTTTTTTGCGATTTTAAATTTCTTTTGAATGAATAATAGGTTTTGTATCTAGGTAGTCGATTTATTTGTTTTTTTGTAGGAAATATCTTTATCCCCTATAGATTTAGATTCCTTTTTTAAATTTGTACAAATCCATGGAACAAAGCTACATGAGAAAAAGGGGATTTCGGTGGCTACTATGAAAAAATACAATCATCAATTCATTATTACTTCCAAACCTTTTAAAGTTTTGCACATTTCTTGTCATGAAAGTTAATAGGTGTGTTTACATGTCTATTGTGTATATACTTACCTCCCATACTTCACTCTTTGGTTCCCTTCTTCCCGAACAACCCTCCTAGCAATGGAACGAGGGGCTTCTTCTTCGTCTTCTTGGACAATTTGAGCCCCTTTTCCCTATCTTGCCCGTCTTTGCTGACGATCACTTTTGTCAGCATCGGGGGGCTTGCAAACTTAACTGATCTTTTCTTTTCAAGAACTGCCGGCACCCCATTGTTCTCGGGGAATTTGATTGCTTCCACTACCATTTTCGGGTTCTCAACAAACTTGATCTCCTCGATCTCTGGCTGATCGATTGTCTTTGATCTGGACTTGAGCTGTTGAAGCTCCTTTCTGGTGTGTTCGAGTTCTTGTTGTAGAGAAGTGAGGCAATGTGCCATTAGGTTGCTGTCTTCTCTTGCTTTCTGTAGGCTTTGTTTCGTCTCCTCTAGCTCGGCCGCCACCGCCCCTAACTTTGCCGGCTGCTGCCCTGTTTGCCCGTCGCCGGCAGCCATCTTTTGCAGCTGTAGGGTTTTTGATACAGTTCTTACTTTCCTTTCTGTTGTTTTTGTGATATAGTGCAGTGTGGTTGGGTTGAGTTTTTAATTTGAAGGTTTTTTTTTTTTTTTTTTTTTTTTTTTTTTTGTGTTAGATATGAAAGAATAGGTTACTATTATAAAAATAATACTATTTGGTATCGAATAGGTAATTTTTTGATAGATTTTGTATGTGTATATACTTATTACTTTTAAAATTTCTAAACTTCAAAATTCCTTAAAATTCTGTCCAAGTAAAAGGGTTGTTATGGGGAATTTTTTATACTATTCCTTCCGTCTATTTACAAAGTAAATATTTAATTTTAGCGGTGTTTAAGAAATAGTATTTTAATTATAATGAGCACTTACAATGTAATGATATTTTTTTTCCGATGTAAAGTAAAGTAAGAATGTTTGTGAAAAAAAAATTAAAAGAATGAGGTATTTAATGAAATATTTATTTTTAATTAGATATTTAATAGAAATATATATATTTTTTAGCTGGAATATAATTTTCTTCCTTTTTTTTTTTTCATAATAGAAAAATTACACTTTTGTTTACTTTTTTCTTTTTCCTTTTTTCTTTTTCTTTTTTCTTTTCCTTTTTTTTTTTTGAGATTTTTGTATTTGTTTTTATTTTTTTAATGAAAATATGCCATTTTCGTCCTGTAAAAATATCGTAGAAGTTGGCATATAAATTTTTAAAAATAAATATTTTATTAATAGTGAGAAAATTTTATCAAAAGTTGAAGTGAAAAAGTAGCTATGAGAATTTATGGTAACAAAAAAAAAGGAATAAGAATGATGTTAATAATTGTAATGGTAAATAAATACTCCGTTCCTTAATAATCTATCAATTTTTTTATTTTAGTTCGTCACATAACAAAGTATTTGTTTCTTTTTTTTTTTTTTTAGTAATTGTACTATTTATTTAACATTACAAATATCCTTCTAATTTACAATATATTACACAAATGTCATTACTTTTATATTATACTTAATTTAGTTTTTTTTTTTTATTTCTATTTTATCTTAATATAATACTAATATTTCTAAAATTCTGTGCAAAAAGCAAATGGATATATAGATATGAGACGGAGGGAGTATTAAATAAGATGTACTACTCCATCTGCCTAGGGAAATTATGTATTGAGGTAGTGGAGTATTATAGGAATGTATTAATGAGCTGATAAAAAGTGAGAGTAATTAGAAAAAACTAGTGATAAAATTTTTATTATATATTAAAATAACGACAATAAAATAAATTATTGTTGGATAAGTATTTTAATATAAATATAGATTTATAAATTTAACCCATAACTAAAAAATAGGACGAATAAGAAATAGGCATGATGGGAAATAGGGTAATTGTAAAAATAGAGCATTTCTCTTGCTATTTTTTTATGTTTAAAAATATTAAATGAATGTTTATAAATTTTTTTGTTTTTTTTTTTCATTTCATTTGGAATATAATCTAATTAATATTTTAAAAAAGACTGAAATTTTTAACACATGCTTAAAGGAAAAAAAAAAAAAAAAAAAAGCCCTTAAGTCATTAATTTTTATTTGAAATAATATATATATATATATAATTAACATAAACATTGAGGAGTTAAAAAACAATGGATAACAAAAAAACAAGACAAAAACAAAAACAAAAAATTGAAAACTTTTGATTTACACACATTATATACTATCAAATAGATTTTAAATTAAGCTCGGATTTGATTACTTTGAGTTGCTGGTATTTGTTTTTCTTTAGATATTTCTTTTAATTCTGTTTTTACCGTACAATCTTGGTAACTTTTTTATAAATGTATAATATTTTTCATAACAAAACAAGTCTTAAAGCTTGTATATGTGATTGCTATGGTTGTTGAAATTGGTTGGGATGTTGATGTTAATCAATAAAAGTTGTTTATAGCTAACTATGCATTCACTTCTACAACAAAAAAGTATGTATGTACATTTCCAAACTTGTTTTTGTACATACAATTTAACAAAAATAATTTCATTTCGAATTTAAAATGTAACCATATCTTTTTTTCCTTTCTTCTAATCACATAAAAATAGAATTTTCATTAAATAGTTTGTAAATTTAAAAAATAATATTAAAAAAAATTGTACATTATTTTGTGAGAGTAAACAAATCTAAAATTTTACATACAAAACCCTAGTTAGATATCGATTCCAATTCCATGATCATCAACTGTCCACACGTATATGCATGCAAACATAAACACATAATCCCGCAAAAAAATAAATAAATAAAAGAAAATCATCGTACCTCTTTGAATTTGTTGCCATATACTTCTCCGGCCAATATTTTTTCTCCGAACAACATCACAGCCTCCTTCACCGAACGAAATGGCTGCCGTGTGTCGATCTCAACTCGGCCCCGCACCGTCAGCCCGCCTTCTAATTTCCCTTCTTCCATTAGTCTCACCCCAAAAAATATCAAATTTATTAACCCCAAAAGATATATATCTATATATATATATATATGTATGTATATGTGTGTGAGTTAGAATGTGGGAGGAGACAAGAATGAAGTAAAAGGCTCCAAGACTTATATAGATGGGTAAGAAGGCATATTTGACAATATAAGTTAGCTGAATTGATTAATTAATTAATTAATTAAAAAGGTAAATATATGTATGTATGTTAGAAGTGGGGAATTAGTTAATTAAAGGATATTGAAGGAATCATTTTGATATATCTGATTAAATAATGGAATTAAGTTAATTAAATAAAAATATAAATATAAATGTAGCTAGCTATAATGGGGGAGGTTGCCTAATAGTTTTAGTTTAGTTTCTTCGCGTCCACTTCACTAGACATTTGTTAATTGATGTTGATATATATATATATTTGGGGGTTGTGATTTTAATTTGGTGGTTGTTGATCCATCTAGTACATCATCAATTCTCTATTTCTAACACTATAATTTCTCTCTCCTCTCTCTATATATATTACAAATTCTATATTTAATGTGATGTCAAATATATATATATATATTTTTTTGGATAACTTGGAAACTCGCAGCCGCTACCCGAAAGTGCGGACTCATAAAACTCGCGCGACAGAACTTAATACCCTGCAAACTAAGCCACTACATAATGATGAAAAATTTGCCCAGTGTAACTTGTCTGTCAAGCTTAGTTTGCAGGGAATTACCCCGTCAATATATATATATTTGACATCACATTAAATATAGAATAGAATTAACTGTATATTTCAATATTTTATATAATGTGTATTTTATAATATTTTGTCTACTATTTATAATATTTTATGTATTGATTGGAGCAATCAACATGATATTAATAAATTTCCAATCAGCTATTGTATGTTTTTTTAATCTAATTTTTTCAAATTTTATTATTTCTATTCTGCGTTTTCATATATATATATTTTTTTTTCTATAAAATATCTCATAAAATGTCATTTTAGTACCAAGTTCGAACTAATTTTTTTCAAACTCAATCAAAAGAAACACACCGCTAACAGAAGTGATATATATATATACATACAAAGTGGTGCATATATGCATGTGTAATAATCTAATCCGGACTATATATGTAGTTGAATTAGAATACTTGGATTGGAGAAAAGGGTTCGGCGAAGACTACTTAAAATAGGGTTTCTTGATGTCGACACGTCTCCTCTCTGTGGATCCCATTTTGATATATATATATATATATATAGCCCTATAAGGGATGGCAGAGTTGATAAAATTATGATTGTAAAATCGTAGATTTTAAATTTTTTTCCGATATGTTTTCAGTAGTGTATGTCATGTGTGTTTGTTCGGGGGATTGAATTTTAAATACACTATTTATTCAATTTTTTTTTTTTAAAAAGAATATCAAATCAAATATTTATTTTTTATTTTTTATATTATACTAAAAATTAATTTTACATTCAAAACATCTCATCAACATCTATTTATATCATATCATACAACTATTTAAATTCAAAATGTCTACTATTCAAATCTCATCTCAAAATCTAAACCCCAAACAAACACACTTCTGGTTTCCGGACTATATATATTACATTAGATGCATTTTGTTTTGTTTTGTTTTTATATATTTTTATTATTTAATGTTTTATAATTTATAAAAATATATTATTCTTTTAGAAAATATCATATATTAAAATTATTTATATTAAAATTTAAATTTAAAATCTATAATAAAATGGAAAGAAAACATACTCTTAGGAGCTCATTTGTATCGAGAAATGAAAGCTAAGGAAATAAAATGAATTTTTTTATTGGTCGAACCTAAAAATTAAAAAAAATGAGATTTATCCCATATATATATATATTGAGATAAATGGCTTTACAAGAATACAAAATAAAAATAAAAAATACTACTGATCTCCAATAATTTTTGTTTCGAACAAAAAAATATTTTCAATCATTTTATTTTTTTCCTTCAAATCTTCTCAATCGTCCTTTGAAATCAGAAAGAGAAATTCAAATAATAAAATTCAAACCAATTAAAACGAAAATTCCAAAATCGCATAATATATTTAAAATTTTTAAATTTTATAATTTTTTTTTATATATTATTATTGAAAAATCAAATATTTTGATATATAATTATGAGTTTTATATTTTATTAAAATATCAAATATATATAACAATAAAATATACTTATATTTTTTGTTGGTTGAATTTTTATATCAATCTGAACCGATATTCGAACATTATAAAAAATTTAATCCAATTCAATCGTCTGCAAAATCCAAACAAGATTTAGATTTTGGTTTCAATTGATTTTGACCTCGAATGTTCAAATTTAAGATACTTTACTAACTCTTTATTATAGAAGTGTTCTACAAATTGATAGTAAAATTTTATTACATTTTTTTTTTTTTGATTAACATATTTAAAAAAATAATAATAATAATCTATGTTTCTTATATATATATTTTGAATAAATAAATAAATAATTAATTATTTTATATTTTTCAACTGAATAATTTATTTTCTTAAAAAATATATAATTTTCTTTCTTTTGCAATTTTATTTGTTTATTATCACCAGACTATAATTTTATATTTTATAATTTAAAATCTCATTTTTATTTTTTTTTTATAACATGAACATAGACTTCTTTATATTTATACAAAAGCGCCTTATAAAATTTGTCTACCTTAGGAATCAAATGGGCCCTAAATCAATCATGTGGGTAGGACCCACTTTATCCCACATGAATTCCTCCCTGTGTACTCTCTCCGTCCAGCGGGGAGGGACGAATCCTTTTGTTGGAGAGACCGATTTTGAAAGAACGTAGATTAATAAATTATTAATAATAAGTTATGAGATTAGTTTATTATTTTTTATATAAATAATATTATTGGTATTTTAAAAAATTTTAAAATTATATTTCAAAAAAATACATGCAATACGGATATTATTTTGTAAATAATAAAATTTTATATAATGCAAATAAATAATTCTTTTTTATTTATTATTACCATAAATTAGTTTTATAAAATATGAAAAGATTTAAATATAGATAAAAAAAAATTATGTTAATTGAGGAAAGAGATAGAAATAAAGAGGTTTTGAGTGGGTCTGCGTATAAGATGTTAGAAGTTTAATTAAATTGATTTATATTTGTTAAGTATGTTAAAGATTAATAAAGTTACCAAAAATATAAAAGAATCATCTTTTGTAGGACGTACAAAAAAGAAAAATGGGTCATCTGTGGCGGAACGAAGGAAGTATTATCCATATGTACAAAATCTCTCGATGAATAGATACATATCATGCTCGTGTATGTATACCCTGTATAATTATACACACTAATGTATATATATATTCATAATTATTATTTTTTTAAAAAAAAAACCAAGAAAACAAGAAAAAAGATATTTTCAATGTGAAAATATAATTTACTTGTGCATGGCTAGCTTATACAATAACTTTAGAAATAATTGACGATTTTTTTTAAAAAAAAATTAAAGAATGAGTTATGTACATGCTATATTTTGTATGAAAATTTATATATATATATATATATTTTTATGAGTTGTGTACATGCTATACTTTGTATGAAAATTTATATATTATTTTTTTTCCAAATATGTCTATTTGTTTACGTTTTATATGTTAATATTTAAATATTAGTACGCTAGTCTATGATATAATCGAAATGTAAAAATACAATTTTACTTTCAGAAAAAGACGACTTACTTAAATAATAATGATTATACTTTTCTAATAATATATAAGTTATAAAAAAAATTATGTGAAAAATATAATTACTAAAAATATATATTTATTTAGAATGGATGAAAATATATATATATTCGATTTGAAAAACAAATATATTGATTCCAAAAGAAAGAAGTGTATTTTTTTCTTATATATAGTAAATATAAGAATTATACTCCCTCTATCCCGGAATCATATATCCATTTACTTTTTGCACGTAATTTTAAAAATATTAGTATTATATTATGATATAGTAGGAATAAAGTAGAAATGACTAAAATATCCTTATTAGTATGTGTGATATAAAAGTAATGACATTTGTGTAATATATTGTAAGTTGTAAGGGTATTTGTAATGTTAGGTAGACACTACAATTACTAAAAAAAAAAAAAAAAAAAAAAAGAAAGAAATTGATACTTTATTATGGGACAGACTAAAATGAAAAAATAGATACTTTGTTATGGGACGGAGGGAGCATAAGATGTTTCAATTTTTGTGTTTTTTAAATATATATATTTACTACTTCATCCATTCAAAAATATATGCATTTGTATTTTCATAAGTTTAAAGAATAATAATATTTAATCTATTAAATTGATTAAGAGTGAAAAAACAAAATTACGGGTTGGTTAATATATTTATATATATATATATTGTATTTTTTAATATTTATAAAAAGTTGTATTGCCTAAAAATATGCTGAGTCAATCAATTTTACATTCCTAAGAGTTTTATTTATTTATTTATTTGTTGACGCTTGTACTAATCTTTTCCAACTCAACGTGTATATTTGTCGTGTTGATTTTGATATTCTCAATAATAATTGACTATGAGATATGTGTTATGAGTAGAAAAATTCACAAGTATGCTAAACCAAGTCAAATAATACTCCATTCCTTTTATATATAAATATTATTTAATTTTGATATTCTTGATAAAGTCAAAATACAAGTATAAAATTAATCTTAAAGTATAACTTTATAATTTTCTACTTTAAAATTGATTCTTTTCTTATATTGGATAAGGGGATTGAAATGATGATTTTTATTTTTATTTTTTACTTGATAAAGGGAGCCAATATGCTAAACCAAGTCAAATAATACCCCATTAGTTCATGTAGTAGAGTTACATTTGCTTTTGTCGCAAATATTTAAAAATATTATATTTTAATGATAGTTTGTGATACTTTAAATTAAATAAAAAATTTATCTTTGACTTTTATATATAATATAATGATATTTGTATAAATAAATTTGATTGAATGATTATTTGTAACGAGAAGTGGAATATGTAGTTACTAAATAAAGAAATATAACTCTTGTAAGTTGACGTTCAAAAATAGCAAGTGTATTATTTGTTATTAGTGATTTTTTTTTATTTTTTATTTTTTTATGACGTGAAAATATACAACCACTATTTTTCGAGTGCACTTTGAATAAACCTATGATTGAATATAATAGTTTGCAAACTAAGGCCACGAGTTTACACACCAGATCATCCCTTAAGTGATATATTATGTATATTTGTTTGTTCAACTAATTTTTTTACACAATTTCCATAATATATAATATATATTATTCTCAAAAAAATACGAATATTGAACTAAAAATATTTTTTTATATCATTGATACAATTCTCTATAATTTAGATAAAAAAAAAAAAAATATTTCAAACTAAGAGATGATTTTGTTAATTAATAGAATATATATTATACATTACCTCCGTCCGGCTCTAAGGGTTTTGCTTATTTTTTGCGTATTGATCTTTGAATTATAATTATTATATCAAAATGTAGTGCAAATTAGGAAAAAATTGCAAAAATATTTTCATAATACTAATGAAGGACACCTGTACACAAAGTTATACAAATATAAAGATAGTTTTAATATTAACTATAATGACGCAAAAGGTAAATGTGACTAGGCGGACAAAATGAATATTATTTTTTTACAATATAAATCTAATGTTGTGTCAAAAAAAAAAAATTGTTAGATGAATATACCTTACATATTTATTATTAATTATAAATCTATATATAAATATATACCTTTTACTTATAAAATGCAATTTTGGTCCCTTTTGCTTACTAATTTGTTAATTTTAATCCCTCTATTTTTAACATAACAATTTTGGCTTTTTATTTGCTAAATTAGTTCAATTTTATTCTTTAATAATTGTTTCAATCAAAATTATTCCCTTCGTCCCACATATTATGTCATACTTTACATTTTCGCCCATCTCATAAATTATGTCACATTCTGTTTTTGGAAAAGTATTTTACATTTTAATCATATTTTAAAATTTTATAATTTATAATTTTTAAAATTTTTATTAGACTAATTAGTTATTTTAATCTTAATATATAATTATTTGTATTATATTATAATTAATTTTACTAATACATTTTATATTATTTACTAATCATACATATCCTAAATTCACATATCTAAAGTAACACTGTCACCGTATTAGGGACGGAAGGAGTAATTAATATAATTAATACTACTTTGTTGCATAAAAATATAAAATTTTCGTTTTTAATAAAAAATCATAAGTAAAAAATAAATACACATAACATTAAAATTCATCATAAAAAATTATGAGCCTGTTTTTTTTTTTTTTTTTTTATAATGAATATAGGGTGTGTTTGTTTGGGGGTTTGGATTTTGGATTGAGATTTGAATAGTAAAAATTTTGAATTTGAATAGTTGTATGATGTGATATAAATAGGGTTTGATGTGATGTTTTGAATGTAAAATTGATTTTTAGTATAATATAAAAAATGAAAAATAGGTGTTTGATTTGATGTTTTTGGGGAGAAAAAATTGGATGAATAGTAGAAATCCTCCAAAATCCTTCAAACAAACACACCCATAGTGTATAATTTTCATCCAAAATTATTAGTCTTATTTATTATTTACATTAATTTATATTATTGTTTTTTCAAATATCTTTACGCAAATATTTTCTTTCAATTAAGTCTTTTCAAAATAACTCAATTTAAAATAATTTGTTTAAGTCAACATAGTAGCTAGTTAGTTGTTTGTCTTAATCAAATTGTTGGTGTAAGAAAAACTAAAATATATATAGTATTTTATTTTTTTTATGAATAGAAACATAATACTCTGTCTATTTCTAAAGGTCACATTTATATTTGCATAATTGTACTTAACATTTAAAATATCATTATATTTATATATATATTTTTTTACACATATCTTTCTACATTAATGAAAGTATTTTCTTTTTATTTTTTTCTTAATTTGTAATACGTTTTAATATACATATACATAATTTGTTAATAGATACATTAAGAAGAATAATATTTGTAAAACGGAGTCTACTTGTATGACAATACATATAACTAGTATATCTATTAATTTTTCGAGAAAATGATAATAAAAAATAAATCTAATCTATATTAATTGATAAAATGATCAAAATTGTCAATTTTTTTTTTTTTTTTTAAAGAGAGACTAAAATTAACTTAAATATAAATAAAATAGATCAAAATTATCATTTTAATAATATAAAAATTAGAACTATCACGTATGCATGTAAAGGCGAAAATAAAAAAAATAAAAGAGTTGGAATTTTTCAAATCAAACACACTGAAGTCATACCAATAAATAGGAGTATACTGTATACACTATTTTGTACATAAATAAATAAATAAATAAACAAAAGAGTTAGAAATTTTCAAATTAAAATAATAAAGTCATACCAATAAACAAAAGTATATTGGATAAACTATTTTGTACAAAAAAAAAAAAAATTAAAAAATCAAGATGAATCTCATGCTGCATGACTGAATCCACTCATAATTATTCATTTTAATCATAGATTTTAATTTTAAGACCCTTAATATAAGATTAAGACTAAGTGGATAAACTATTTTGTACAAAAAATAAAAATTAAAAAAAAGTAAAAAAGATCAAAATAAATCCCATGCTGCATGGCTGAATCCAATCATAATTATTCATTTTAATCATAAATTTTAATCTTAAGACCCTTAATATAAGATTAAGACTAAGTTCAGCAAATGTTAAACTTAATAACATCTCAGCATATGATCTGATCTAAAAAAAGAAAGAGTTAAAAATTTTCAAATCAAGCGTACTGAAGTTATGCTAGTACATATGAGTATATTGAATAAATTATTTAAAAAAAATTAAAAAATACAAAAGTTAGAACTTTCTAAAATTAATATACTGGAACTTATACCAACAAATATAAGTATACTGGATAAATCATTTTGTACCAAAAAAAAAAAGTTAAAATTTACATGCTGAAGTCATACTAGTAAATAGAAGTATACTGGATAAACCATTTTGTATAAAATAAAATAAAAAAATAAAAATGTTAGAATTTTCCAAATCAACATAGCATTTTTACTTGATTAGGATAAAATATAATCAAGTAACAAATTAGGTATTGAAAATTACTTATTTTTTTTTCTACTATCTATTTTTTTCATTTGGATCCCATATAATTTATTTATTTTTCTTTTTAAGAAAATAAGTATACATTTAAACTATTATCTAATTTTAATTAAATTTTTTGATTATTTTTATTCTAATTTATAATTATTTATATTATATTATGATAATTTTATTAATATATTTTTTAATTTCTTATTAAATATAAATTAAAAGTTGTAATTACATAAAAGAAAAAGAAAATTCAAACAATAAGACAAAACTAAATTAATCAGCATTATTATTATTATTACTATTATTTTTATTATTAACAACTCAGACTTCAGAGGGGTATAAATAGGGCCGAAGCGTTGCTGAGCCAGGCCATGTCCTGGTCCTGGTGGGAAAACTTTGGCGTTAGGCTCCGCTCTCTCCCTTGTTTCTTTGATCGCCAAATCGATTTCCGAATCAAAACCCTAGCTACACATAAATTCACATTGAGGAACTCCGTCTTTCCGACCGCCGACTCGTGGTTTCAGCCATTTGTTCACCCAATTCGGCGTTTTCGCCGTTAAACGCTCGAACCCCTAACCCTCTGGAGTTGAAGCTTGGGGTTTCTGCGTCTGCTTGTGGGGGTTAGGGTTTAAGTTTTGGTAAATTTAGCAACCATGAGCCCCGTTCAGAACTTCGAGCAGCACGCTCGACATTTAGTCGAACCTGACTTGCGTACGTTTATTTATTCATGCTGATTTTGGTTTTGTTTGTATGTTGCGGGTGTTGTGTTGTGTGTCGAATCTGTGTTCTTATTTCTGTTTTCTGTATTCCGTCTTGTGCTAGCAATTCAAACGCGGCTGCAAATGGCCATGGAGGTACGGGACAGCTTGGAGATATGCCACACAGGGGAGTATTTAAACTTCTTGAAATGCTATTTCCATGCCTTCTCCCAAATTTTAAATCATATTACCAAGCCCCAGTTTACGGAGAATCATGAGCACAAGCTGCGAAATATTATAATTGAAATCCTTAATCGCTTGCCCCACAGCGAGGTTCTGAGACCATTTGTTCAGGAGCTTCTAAGAGTAGCCATGAATGTGCTCACGAAAGACAATGAGGAAAATGGGTTGATTTGCATTAGGATTGTTTTCGATTTGCTTAGAAACTTTAGACCTAGTTTAGAGACTGAAGTTCAGCCATTTCTGGATTTTGTCAGTAAAATTTACCAGAATTTTAGGTCTACTGTAAGTTACATCTTTGAAAGTGGGGCTATGGCGGCACCACCACCTGCACCACCCACAACCTCTGGGTCTATGGGGTCATCATTAAGTGGTGATGATGTCAAGTCTATTGAAGTTTCTGACCAAGTGGGTACTTCTAGTGCGTTTGTTGGGGTTGCTGGGCAGCTAAATCCAAGTACACGGTCATTTAAGGTTGTTACAGAGAGTCCCCTTGTTGTTATGTTCCTGTTTCAGTTGTATGGTCGCCTTGTTCAAACAAACATACCGCACCTACTGCCATTGATGGTGACTGCTATCTCAGTCCCTGGCCCAGAGAAGGTACCACCCCATTTGAAGACTAATTTCATAGAGATGAAAGGTGCGCAGGTTAAGGTAAGAGTTGAAGTTTGATTTGTTTCTTTTATGAATTTACCTATCATGCTATAATTTCTCAATTGATTACAGAGTGAATAAATAAGCTTCAGGTTCTAGTAGGCTTCACTCAATCGCAATATTTATGTCTACAACAGTACTAGACAAGTTATCGATGAAACACTTATTGACAATGTACAATATATCTCGTGTGTAGACTGTTTCATTCTTAACGTACCTGCTGAAGAGCTTTGCTGACTATATCAAGCCGCATGAAGAAAGCATGTGCAAAAGCATTGTGAATCTGCTAGTCACCTGCTCTGACTCTGTTTCAATTCGGAAGGTTATTTGTCTTCTGAGAATTTTTTTTTGTCTTCATTGTTTATTTACTTTGAAATTGATCTGTTGAACTTGTCTACTCCAGGAACTATTGGTTGCTCTGAAACATGTTCTTGGGACTGATTTCAAAAGGGGTTTATTTCCTCTCATTGATACGCTTTTGGATGAGAGGTATACTTATAGCAAATAATTATGTTATTGATGATTGAATTTCTTTATTTGATTCTTTACGATATTGTGATTGTTTGCTGATTATATAATGAGGTGTTCCTTTTTCATCTAAAAGTGGGAAACAATTTGATTGCCCCGATATAAATCCACTCAAGAAAGTGTAATTTTAGAGCTCAACTTCTGTCCAGTATCTAGCTCTGTTAGATTTATAGTTGCAACTAACTTCGAAACTTGCAAAAACATTTTGTTTATTAGTTAGCCTTCTTGTTATGCATTACTATTCAACATTATTCAACAATACATGCATTTGGGCGGGGGAAATGTAGTTGTATAATGTAGAAACTTACTGAGTAGAGCTTACATATAGTGTAATACGATACATATCATAAATAGTGATAGAACTTTGTACTGGTTTTCATCTGAACACAACACATCTTCTTTATTCACAGTATTGTAGTGTCTTCATACCTCTGGTGGAGTTAATTTATTCATCTTCTGCATGTTATATTTTTTTATCTTTTTATTTATTTTTTATGTTTTCCCTTTATATCGACTTGGGATGGTAGTGTTCCTGTGGTGCAGTGCTGCAGTGAAGTTAACTTATTTTGGGCACTTACAAACAATCTTAAATGTGCAAGAACCATATGGAAGTGCTTTTCTGTGTACTATATTTCGCTAACATTTGGGAATTGGGTGGAATATACTGGTTCAGAGATCACGTAAACTGCCAGGCTTAATAAGAATAGAAGAAGAGGGGAAGAACTGTCTTGTTCCATTTGTTTTCTAATGCCTATCTGGGAGAGCTTGTGGGGATAATGTTATGTGCTGTATGTTTAATTTAACTCCTTTCTCATTGCATTGGACTAGTGATCATGCAATATTGTAAGTTAGTTTGTTCAGTTCTTTTTATAGCCAGTTATTGCTACCTCCCAGTTTAATATGGGCATTGAAATTATGCCTTGATCTTCTATTGTGGACATGCTAATTTTTGTAGTTTTGGAAATATGACTCTCTTACACACTGTTTATAGTAGAGTTTCACTTGCCTCCTCATTTAGTGAGCTGTTTAATTGATTGATATTTGCCTCTTCCCATTGTTTTAAGATCTAGGTTTTACTTACAGTAGTTTATTTTTAATGATGGATATCAGAGGCTATATGGAGTTGATAAACATGATACATTTTAGAGTACAATAAGAATTGATCAATTTGATTTGATTGATGTTGCTACACTAGCTGTTGATTATACTTTGCTGGTTTATAGGGCATGAAACCTTTGTACTATGAATACTTTTTCTGTTGATGCTTTCAGTTCCCTAGTTTGTACGTGTGTGTATTTATTGACCATGGAGTTGATGTTTTAAACTGCGTCAGGGTTCTTGTTGGCACTGGCCGAGCTTGCTTTGAAACATTGCGGCCTTTAGCCTATAGTCTTTTGGCTGAAATTGTTCATCATGTAAGGGGAGATCTTTCTCTGTCTCAGGTAATACAAATTGTCCGGGTGTATTTAGGACCTTTATGATGTCTATGTTTTGAAGTATTTTTTTATGTCCTTTATTCTGTGTTTGAGAAGAATACTTAATGTTGTGTGTTTTACTTTAAAATTTTTTGTACAACCTTAATCAATTACTTTGTGACTAAAGGACTTTTAGGTATTGCGATTGATGATTCTCCCACATATTTGGGTTGCAGTTATCAAGGATTATTTACCTGTTCTCAAGCAATATGCACGACGCTTCATTGGCCGTGAGCATACATACTACCTGTGCTCGCTTGATGTTGAACCTGGTATAACTCAGTTTAACTTTATCTATAGTATCTTTGGAAAATTAGCTATTGTCCTGCAAATATGTTCTTTTTGCATGCCATGTTCTTATTTCGCATTCACACATTATCAAGGTGGAGCCAATATTTGAGAAAGGTACTGATCAGACATTAATGGATGAAGCACGAGTTTTATTGGTATGCATCTTCAGTTGTGTTTTATTGTTTTTTGAAGCAGACCTTAATTATCTTACTGTGTTCAAATGTATATTTCATCGTAACAACTACGGCCACTTCTATGCCAGGGTCGGATATTAGATTCTTTCGTTGGAAAATTCAATACTTTCAAGCGCACAATTCCTCAGGTACTTCAACACTATATTGGGCATATTCGTTCTTGAAATACTACTTACACAACTCCAATGAAATCCTTCTTGGTTTTCTGGTTTCATTTTGCTGTTTGTGTACTTCAATCAGGTAGATGACATTTTTGAGATTAACTTTATTAACGTATGAAAGCCCATACCACAAAAATAAGATCACTTTTGGCTTCGTATCATTCAATTTTTGGTTACCGGGCAATATGCAGTAAGATTGCGTTTTCCAGGAGTTCAGTTTAGAAGTGAATTATAGAAATTTGAAAATGCAAAAAAAAAAAAAAAAAAAAAAAGAAAAAGAAAAAGAAAAAGGTGATTCTCTTTGACTTCCTATAAAAAAAATTTTGGTTCTGTAGTTCTGTAGCATCCCCCAGAATAAGTTGTTGATATAAAGTGTGGATCCTCTTTTAACCTAGGATAAGTAAATGGGCAAATATCATTAGAGGTGAGCTTTCTTCATTTAAACGATAGTGCTTGCTAAGAGAGATGGTTAAGTTGCCAAGAGAATCTGTGTTATAATTTTTATGCATGGGGGGACAATATTGTTGACTAGTTCTGACAAGTGGGCAAGTGGCAATAACCCGGACAAACAAGGTTTGAAGGTGTAGCAGCTTCTAAGTTTAATTACTTCTTACTGTACATTTTGAAAGGAGTTTGGTTTGCTTCTGTCTAGGACAAATAAATGTTATTTCCGGATTCAGTAATGTTGATCAATAAGATTAACTATCTCCTTTGTTAAGATATCTATATATGATATAGTGTCACAAGCATTTAGGATTTAGGTGTATGCTCTTTCTTTGGCCAATAGGGATTGAAGTTATTTTGCTTCATATTAATGGCTAGTTATTAGGATGTAAATATACATAATACATACGTTAGTGTTTGTATATATAGGTAATAGTTTTGATTGTGATGACATATAGTGCTTCTTGGTGCTTATAAATATGATGAATGATGTAAGATTACTGAATTGCTGTCTCATATTATATTAAATGTGTATTATTTCTATTGGTACATAAAATACTTTCTTTTATGGTTTCATTTAGACCCTTATTTTTTTTTTACTAGAAAGAAATTTCTAATGAAGCATGCACACTGGTTTTCTTAATGTGCAATTTGAAAGTCTGCATGGGTTTTTGTGGTTCCATTCCAAATATCTGCAATTTTGATTTTTTTTTTTTTTAAGTAAACAATGATTCACACTTATAGTGCTGAACTTTTTTAATTCATTTGTTGGTATTTTGTTGTCAAACATAGATGCTTCTACATTAACTGATAACTGTGTTTTCTCTTGGGACTTTTTTCTTTGGTTGGATGATGATAGCTACTGGAAGAGGGAGATGAGGGGAAAAACAGGTCTACATTGAGGTCTAAACTTGAAGTGCCAGTTCAGGTACTTGGTGCATTAGAAATTGGTTGCTGTAGGCTCTTCGGTTACTTGATGTGGCTATTCTTTTCTTTTCTAAGCATTATGTTATTATAAGGTTTGCTAATTTTATTTGTGGAATCAGTAGAATCTCTTGGTTACAATAGTACTTCCATTTATTATTTGGTTTAGAGTGGAATGTCCAGATAAACATACAATGCTTGAACAGGAGTTTACAGTCAAATTTCATGTATCTCATAAAATTTTAACATCTATTAAGAGTTTGCATTTCATATGAAAATTTGAAGATAAAATGGATTTCACAGGTATGTACATGTTGATCTTGTTAATAGTATTTGGTTTCTGTATACATGTGTATTGATATGTAAATGATACTGACTGGTATTTAGGTTTTCATATTGTCAGGTTATCTTTTTATTATACTTTATGCTTTTTGTGATATATATGCTATCTTTATCCATGAACCTTTCCATCATGTCATTGTTGGAACGTCAGGATGGGATCATCCTGGCTGATAAATATCTGAAGCTGTATTTTAACGTTATTATGTAAAGTTCCAAAGTGCATGGAAATTATGAAAGTTAGCATGGTGTTCGAGTGGAAGAGTTGTAATTTAATACGAACTTGGGTGTAAAGTACAAGGCTGTTTAAATTTTAAAATGAATATTTGGAAGGCTTGTGTGACCATCTACCTTTGTTTTATGCCTGTTATGTTGGCAAATGAAAGAGAAGATTGATTATGATGACCGCCTTCTAGTCACAATTTAGAGATTGTATTCCTTGAAGTCTATCCATAATGAGGAGATGGTTTTGATTTTTGTGAAGTATGTCAAATTTTTGTGTATATATTTTGTATAACATCTTATTGTCGAAGTATTTTTAGCGACTTGTATTTGAGATTGGATTATATACAGTCAACACCCTATATAAGATGGAAGATAAGATTTAATATATTTCCAATTATAATATCCATTTGAACTTCTTGTAATGTTTAACATTTAACAGAACTTTTAGTGTTTGAATGCGAATTCTCTTTCTTTTTATCTAGATGAGAAAATTGTATTATTTTAGAAGGAAAGGAAACTATCAATATGATTGGAAACAAAGTTTTCCAGCAAGATTCTTACTTCTACACAGGAACTTGAAGTTAAATTTCCATTTCATTTCTCCATTGACAATTCAGTTACCTCTTTCTGTCTATCGTTGAGTCAAGATTGACAGTGCTTTTATGTCCTTTCTCAAATATTTTTAATTGCTACATGGATTATTCTTAAACTTTCATGCTTTTCTAATCACGGGAATGATTTTTGCAGGCAGTACTTAATCTTCCAATGCCTGTTGAGCATTCAAAGGAAGTCAATGATTGTAAGCATCTGATAAAGACTTTAGTTATGGGTAAGATACATCATCTCTTCTTTCATTCAAATTTATGTCATTTTTTCTACTAACTTGGATTTTCATCTGTTGGGATTAATCAATATATAATCCTTCATGCAATTGTGGCATCTTGCAGGAATGAAAACAATTATCTGGAGCATAACCCATGCACATATACCAAGAGCGCAGGTTTATATGTCCCTGAATATTAAACATATATATATATATATGTAGATCATTTGGAAAACCTTTTTTTTTTCCCTTAAAATCCGAACTAAAACGCTCCAACGCGATACAAAAGGAACAAGGATAGGAGCCCCGAGGGAGTGTTAAATATGTCATGAGGTTTAGCCTTATTCATCTTTTTGATATAGGTTTCACCATCCACACAGGGGACCCCTCAGCAAGTGCTTGCATCAACATCATCAGGTTCTTCAATATCACCATCTTTTAAAGGGATGAGAGAAGAAGAGGTATCAATTTCTGTATAACGTGATTGTTTCTTTCTCTACTTCTGCTGTAATCTTATTTTTCAAGTTTGACAGGTTTGCAAAGCCTCTGGTGTTCTGAAAAGTGGTGTACATTGCTTGGCGTTATTTAAGGAGAAAGATGATGAGAGAGAAATGGTCCATCTGTTTTCCAGCATTTTGGCCATCATGGAACCACGGGACTTGATGGATATGTTCTCTTTGTGCATGCCTGAGCTTTTTGAGTGCATGATTTCTAACAATCAGCTCGTCAATATCTTTTCTACCCTTTTGCAAGCCCCAAAAGTATTTCGCCCTTTTGCAGATGTTTTAGTTAATTTTCTTGTGAACAGCAAACTGGATGTCCTTAAGCATCCCGAGTCTCCAGCTGCAAAGCTTGTTTTGCATCTTTTCCGATTTTTATTCAGTGCAGTGGCGAAGACTCCCTCTGACTGTGAACGGATTCTTCAGTTTCATGTGTCTGTGATCATGGAAACTTGCATGAAAAATGCTGCTGAGGTTGAGAGACCAATGGCTTATTTGCAACTTCTTCGCACAATGTTCCGTGCACTTGCTGGAGGTAAATTTGAACATCTTCTTCGGGACTTAATCCCCATGTTGCAACCATGCTTAAACATGTTACTGGCTATGCTTGACGGCCCTACTGGCGAAGATATGAGGGAGCTTCTGTTAGAGCTCTGTTTGACATTGCCTGCACGGTTAAGTGCATTGTTACCTCACCTGCCTCGTTTGATGAAGCCACTTGTCATGTGTCTCAAGGGAAGTGATGAACTGATTAATCTTGGTTTAAGAACACTTGAGTTTTGGATTGACAGTTTGAACCCCGACTTTCTGGAACCAAGCATGGCAAATGTCATGTCTGAGGTGATTTTGGCCTTATGGTCTCATCTGAAGCCTGCACCATATCCTTGGGGTGGTAAATCATTACAACTTCTTGGGAAGTTAGGTGGTCGTAACCGACGTTTCCTCAAAGAACCTCTTGCTCTTGAATGCAAGGACAATCCAGAGCATGGCCTTCGGTTGATTCTTACATTTGAACCTTCTACCCCATTTTTGGTGCCATTGGACCGCTGTATTAATCTTGCTGTAGCTGCTGTCATACAAAAGAATGGATTTGTTGATAGATTCTATCGGAAGCAAGCTCTTAAGTTCCTTTGTGTATGCTTGTTTTCCCAGCTAAATTTGCCTGGTCTTGTTAATGATGATGGATTAACATCTAGACATCTGTCAGCTTGTCTAGGTTCCTCAGTCGATCCATCCTGGAGAAGATCTGATGCATCTGATATTAAGGTAAGATAGTGCTGTAAGGCCTCATATGCATTCAATCATTTTGATTTAAGTACTGATTGCATTTAAGCAATCAGAACATTATATATTCATCAGTAGTTTCAAGTTAAGAGTTTCGATGTTGGTTCATTTCCTTTTTTATTTTTTTTTTGTGTGGGTTGTGTGAAAGTTTTTCAACTGTTTGATTCTCTTTATTTGAAAAAAGAAACCATAAACTCTTTTTCTTCCTTGCCTAGGCGCCTTTTTTAAGTAATGGCACCTTAATTGCTTTCGTTTGTTCTACTGAATCGGAAAAAGAAATTGTAACAATTATGTTAACCTTCTCAAAAAGGTGATGCTTCTATGGTCTGATAATGCATTTGGCATGAAATTCTTGCCGCTGAAACATGGAAATTTGTTTATGCAGGCTGACTTAGGTGTCAAGACAAAAACCCAGCTTATGGCTGAGAAATCTGTGTTCAAAATTCTTTTGATGACAGTAATTGCTGCAAGTGCAGAACCGGAGTTGCAAGAGGCTAAGGATGAATATGTTGGTCACATATGCCGCCATTTTGCTATGATATTTCATACTGAGGGTCCAGCTGTGCAAACTTCAATGACTACCACATCATTGGGTGGCTCCATGCTTGCTTCCAGTTCTAATATGGGTTCCAAATTAAGGCATACTAATTCTTTGAAAGAGTTGGATCCACTGATCTTTTTGGATGCTTTGGTTGAATTACTTGCAGATGAAAATAGACAGCATGCCAAAGCTGCATTGAATGCCTTGAACGTGTTTGCTGAGACACTTCTGTTCCTTGCTAACTCTAAACATTCTGACATGCTGATGTCTAGAGGAGGTCCAAGCACTCCTATGATTGTCTCTAGCCCTTCAATGAGTCCTGTATACTCACCTCCTCCAAGTGTTAGGGTTCCTTGTTTTGAGCAACTTTTGCCTCGACTTTTGCATTCTTGTTATGGAAGTACTTGGCAGGCACAAATGGGAGGAGTTATGGGGTTTGGGGCTTTGATCGGAAAGGTTACTGTAGAAGTGTTATGTCTCTTTCAAGTAAGAATAGTCCGGGGATTAGTGTATGTCCTCAAAAGGCTCCCTACATATGCTGCTAAAGAACAGGAAGAGACAAGTCAGGTTCTTACTCAAGTTTTACGGGTAGTGAATAATGTTGATGAAGCCAACAGTGAAGCACGTAAACAAAGTTTCCAAGGCGTTGTTGAGTATTTGGCTTCTGAATTGCTTAATGCAAATTCTTCTATTAGTGTGAGAAAAATTGTGCAGTCTTCTTTGGCACTTCTAGCTAGTAGGACAGGGAGTGAGGTTTCTGAGTTACTTGAACCTTTACATCAGCCTTTGCTGCAGCCTCTTATATTAAGGCCACTGCGGTCTAAAACTGTTGATCAACAGGTTAAGTTGCATTCTCAATAAAGAGGAGCTCTCTCTCTCTCTCTCTATATATATATATATATATATTTATATATATATCACTTTCTCTCTTTTTTGTTGGTTGGCTAATAATTCATGGCATCTTCAGGTTGGCACTGTAACAGCTCTTAATTTCTGTCTTGCTTTGAGGCCACCACTGCTGAAATTAACTCCAGAGCTTATCAACTTTTTGCAAGAAGCTTTGCAAATTGCAGAGGCTGATGAAACAGTGTGGGTTGTGAAATTTATGAATCCAAAAATGGCTACATCTCTGAATAAACTTCGAACTGCTTGCATTGAACTCTTGTGCACTACCATGGCTTGGGCTGATTTCAAAACTCAGAATTACTCAGACTTGCGAGCTAAAATAATATCCATGTTCTTCAAGTCTTTGACAAGCAGAAGTCCTGAAATTGTAGCTGTGGCCAAGGAAGGGCTACGCCAGGTTCATAAATACTTCGCTATCTCACATTTTATTTGTTCCCCTTTCTTTGTTGAGTTGCTGTATTTTTGCTCTTCTAGCTTGTGGGAAGTTCATGGGAAGTAAAGGTTTGGTTGTGTGTTTTAGAGTATCTTTTGTTGCTTTGCAAAACATTTTATAGAACTATGTAAACTTTAGATTTAAAAGCACATTCTTGGAATGTTCTTCCTTCCATAAAGGCTTACTGCAGGAGATGGGGAAATATCATTTGTAAGAATACACGTTAGCTTTGTTGCTTGAAATGTTTCCACTCTTAAGTAGCACAAAAGAATGATTTACAACTGAAAACAACATTGAAATGTAGATGATATTTCAATATTACAAGCTGCATGTTTGCTATGTCTTCTGGTACAATCTTCTTTAACAGACTCGGGAATTGCTATTGCCTGTCCAGTTTTCTCTAATTTGAATACAATTCTCAAATTTTCCTCTGTAATTTTATTGTTGTATTAATATTTTTCAGTGTTCCAGCTTTTTATGCTCTTCTTTCTTTGATTTTATATTACCTCGACTCATCTCTTATTTTTACTACCTGTAAAGACTTTAAGAGAATGACCTCAATTCCTATTTTAGCTTATCTCTGTCTAGATAGTGTTTTTGCAACCATTACACCTGTGAATCCATAAGTGCAACTATTTTTTCTGAGATATGTAGTGCTGCTTTATTTATGCCCTGCGGCATGTAAAAAAATCCTTCTGTTATATTCTCTCTAACTGCACTTTAATTTGACTTAATGTGTATTTCTAAGAGAAAGTATCTTTGGTTTGGCTTTCATAGTTCTGAGTTATATTATAAGTATGAATCTTCTGATGATATATCAATAATGACTCTTAATTTCCTTGTTTTACTATGTTTCAGGTTATTCAACAGCAAAAGATGCCTAAGGAACTTCTGCAGAGTAGCTTGAGGCCTATATTAGTTAATTTGGCGCATACCAAAAATCTGAGCATGCCTCTGTTGCAAGGCCTTGCCCGACTGCTTGAACTTCTATCTAACTGGTTCAATGTTACCTTAGGTGGTAAATTATTGGAGCATCTGAAGAAATGGTTGGAACCTGACAAACTTGCCCAGTGCCAGAAAGCTTGGAAGCCTGGTGAAGAACCAAAAATAGCTGCTGGTGAGTGGTAATTGGGGTTGATGACTGACTGAATTTAATAAATTTCATGCGGTAATCAGAGCATTCATTCTTTGAACTTTTTTGCAGCTATCATTGAGCTCTTCCACCTTCTTCCCTCTGCGGCTGGAAAATTTCTCGATGAACTTGTAACTTTAACAATTGATTTGGAAGCTGCCCTTCCACCTGGCCAATTTTATAGTGAGATCAATAGTCCATATCGCTTACCACTTACTAAGTTTCTCAATCGTTATCCTACAACAGCTGTGGATTATTTTCTTGCTCGATTAAGCCAACCCAAGTATTTTAGGAGGTAAATTTGAGTTAATTGATGCTAGCTTTGATTCAATTTTGCCTGTAGAAGTTTCCTGTTTTGACTACGTTCTAATTGTAATGCAGATTTATGTATATTATAAGATCTGATGCTGGCCAACCGCTGAGAGAAGAACTTGCAAAATCACCTCAAAAGATAATAGCTAATGCCTTTCCTGAGTTTTTGCAAACGCCTGAGCCTGCTCAGGGATCTGCCAATCCTTCTAGTTCTTTACCAGGTGATGGAAGTCAGGTTACACCAAAATCTGAAGATTCTGTTCAGTTGGCAGCCACCACCTCTGCAACATCAGATGCTTATTTTCAAGGTCTTGCTCTAGTTAAAACGCTTGTTAAACTGATTCCTGGTTGGTTGCAAAGTAACCGTGCTGTCTTCGATTCTTTGGTTCTGTTGTGGAAGTCTCCGGCTAGAATAGCCCGGTTACAAAATGAGCAGGAACTAAGCTTAATGCAAGTAAGTAATGGCTTTCTACTACAGCATTCATTAACTCTATATGTCTTGTTCAAAAGCTTTGTGTTTCTTCAGAATGTATAAAGATATATTAACTTGTAGAGTTTTAGTTAGCATTTTCACTCTTCTACATCAGTTGATTATTTCCTTTCCCTTCTATTAGCTGAAGTGGTCCCACCATAATTGTGCCCGAGTGGCAGTGCTACAAGTACCAACCGCATTTTCCTTTTCAGTTATATCTTGCATGCGGGGAAGTATATGAATTTTCATGAGGCTCTCTTCTTTCCAGTACTTATAAACAAAGCTATTCCATTTTGTCATGTGTTTAGTTCCTCTAAAAGTGGTTAATTCTTATCGTTTCCTACAAACATCTCTGGATTGATCAGTTGCTTATTTCTTTTCCCCTCTATTAGCTTTGCAACCTGAAGTGAACTCACAATAATTGTGCCTGAGTGCTACAAGTCCCAACCGTTTTTTCCTTTTCAGTTATATCTTGCACATGGGAAAGTATATGAATTTTCATGAGGCTCTTCTTTTTGTTGTGAGCTTGTTTCCTCAGAAAGTGTTTCATTCTTGTTTCCTAAGACTACCCCTGGATTGAGCACTATGTGAATGCTTTTAATGCTCTACATATGTGATCCTGACTTAGAAAGTCTTAGAAGATAGCATAAAATCAATAAAGTTGGAGTTACTCAAAATGATACACTTCAGAAAGGACACTTGAGCTATAGAACATAACCTTTGCGTTCAAGAATGCCTTGACTTATGCCTTTTGACTTATGGGATCAGTTGGATTACAAATATATGCCTCCTAACTCTTCCTATAGTTGCTTGTTATTGTCCTCATCCCCTAAAATCATTTTGAAATTGCTCTATGTCCTTTTGCAATTGGGAAGCATGCACATGCACGTAACTTGATTTTAGATTTACATTTATATATATATATATATTTCCTTTAAAATATGCTTATTTGGTTGTAATCTTGTATAGCATTATTTTTAGCATATTTAATTGTGTAATCTTATTGACATCATTTAGACATACACGAGCTCCATTTTTATGGAAAACCTGTAACCAACTTCCAGTTTCTTAAGAAACTCTTCTGCTGTTTCAGTTTCCTTTTTCCGCGTCCTCTTCTAATAACATTATTGCTTTTCCGTCTGAAACTTGTTGGTTTTGTACCATCTATGTTAAATCTCTTATTTTTGTTTTATGTTGCACAAACTATCAAAAATGTCTGATATCAAACCACAGTTTGATTTATTATGATAAGAGAAATCTTCTAACATTTCTGGGCCATGTGAAATGGTTTTTTAGCTGGAATTCTTAATCATGTAGTTTACCTCTAACCTGACTGCAGAACCTGATCTTCATTGTTGTATATGCACACTTTACAAGAACTTCATATTGAATGAGATTTGTTATCTATGAGTTTGATATCGATCCATGTGTTTGTGCACACTCACACATGACATTGTGATTGATATGTGCAGGTAAAAGAAAGCAAGTGGCTTGTCAAATGTTTTCTGAATTACTTACGCCATGACCGAAAGGAAGTCAATGTATTGTTTGATATTCTTGTCCTCTTCCTTCACCGTACTCGCATAGACTTCACTTTCTTAAAGGAGTTCTATCTTATTGAGGTATATGAATGAAAAACAGCTGGAATAATCATCTGTTCCTGTTATTAATACTTCGTGAGTGCTCAAGATAACAGTACTGATTATCATACACAGGTTGCTGAAGGCTATCCACCTGAATTGAAGAAAACTCTGCTCCTTCATTTTCTGGAACTTTTTCAGCTAAAGCAATTGAGTCATGATCATATGGTAATTGTCATGCAAATGCTAATCCTTCCGATGTTAGCTCATGCTTTTCAAAGCAACCAAACCTGGGAAGTCATTGATACTGCTATTATCAAGACTATTGTGGACAAGCTACTTGATCCCCCGGAAGAGGTAAAACTATTTTGTGGTTTCAATTGGTTCAGCTTTATCTATTTTCTCGAGGGGTGGTGTGCTGGTGTTGAACACTCACATCCACTTTCCTATGTGACTGTTTATGAAACTTAACTTCGATATATGGTGTATCAAATATATACATAAATTCAATATGATATTTGGAATGATATTTTTTTCTGTGGAAATTAAAGAATGCTCCTGGACATCACAGATTCATTTAATTAGTTGTTTCTGATCATCCTATGTCGTTGGTCCACATGATTTTCAGCATCATAAAAAAATTGACGTATCTGCAACACCTTCCAGCAAAGTATAATTTTAACTGGTAAAATGAGCATTTGAAATGAATTGTCACAGGGATTGCTGAAATTTCAATCTTCCCTTTCATGATCATCGGAAAGCTTTCTCTGAATTTCATAATTTTTTCATCCTGTGTGCTTTTTGATGCAAAACTGAGAAATCCGTAAAATTGATTGGGTTTTCATCACTGCTGTCTGCTGCACAAAAATGAGATTTACATTCAAAATGGTTGTCTGAATTATGATAATTATAGTGAGTGATGTTGAAATAGTCATTCACATTTTTTTGCCCTTAGAAAATGATATTAGCATGCACGGTCTAATAATTGATCTGAGAACGTACAATAAATTGGATAGGTAGCTGGTGTACTTCCTCGTCCATGATTCTCCTTTCCTAGTATGACTTTATAGGTAAACCGTAGGATGAAATTCTCCCAATTTTTTTACCATTTGTGGATACAGTTGTTTATACTTCTAGGCTTTTGTGAGGGGTAGACGAAATGGCAAGTTGTCAGCTTGGAGGTTTTTGTTTTTTAGTGGAATTACTGAGTGTTTTTTACAGATGGATCAATGATGGCAATGTAATTGCTCTCAGACCACATCATGGTTCTTTTCTATTTGAAACTTTATGATATATAATTGAGATTTACATGTTTTAAATTTACATGTTGAGAGCTTCTGCTGCAGATGAAAATATATGGAAGAGAAGCACATTATGGCTGAGAGCCATAATGTTCCTTACCTTGCTTTCTAGTATCATGGCTGATTTCTATTACTTTGTATCCTGTTTATACTTATAAATTATTATTATTATTATTTTCTTTTCACTAGATATCTGCGGATTACGATGAGCCCCTGAGGATTGAGCTTCTGCAGCTTGCTACTCTACTTCTAAAGTATCTGCAGAATGATCTTGTTCATCATCGGAAGGAGCTTATCAAATTTGGTTGGAATCATCTCAAGCGTGAAGATAGTGCCAGTAAGCAGTGGGCCTTTGTCAATGTTTGCCATTTCTTGGAAGCATATCAAGCTCCAGAGAAAATTATATTGCAGGTGCCTGAACATACTTGCTTGTTTTAATCTTCTTTATTGTTGTCCATCATGATATCTTCATACGCTTTATATGACTAGGCAATTAAGACTTTAGAGAAACAGTGAGTACAACATCTGAAAAAGAGCTTGATAATGTTACTGTTGTAGTTTGTGCTGTACCCACCTTTCTTTAAATTGGGTTATTAACTAAAGGGTCTTAAACAACTACTACCAGTAACTTTAGCATCTGCTTTCTTGTGAAGGACTGAAATTGAAATAATCAAATGCATTTTATAAAAGTGATTGATTTTTAACTAATTTTCATTGTCAGACTTTCTGGATGATGCAGATGCATGAGATTCATTCTCACTTATGGAGAAACTTGTAAACAAGCAATGTATAAATATGAAACCAGGCATAACTTGTGTATTCTTCTTCCTTGATTAGTCCAAAGATCTCACTGTTAAGCACTCTTCTACTTGAGAAATGGATTGTGATTACCAATTCTTTCATTAGAAGTAGGTAGCGCTATTGGGTTTAGGTTACGCATTAGACATTTGTGTTGTGGAGTTTACTTTGTTACAAGTCTGAGGAATTTCAATTTGGGCTCTATTCTATGGATGTGCAATGTTAACATGGAACTGAAAAAATCATTTCCATGAATATATGGAATAATATATTGAACGATTGCTTTAACCCTAGAAATGTGATATATCAGATATTGTAACTTTATTATCTTGGTGGTGGAATACTTTCTCCTTTTAGATGGTTTATATAACACTGCTGATTTAAAATGAGCTGAAGAAGATAAGTTTGGAAAAAGATTGTTGAAGATTGGTAAAGCAGAGGTGGGATACTATCAGATTGCAGCTGGTAGGGCTATATTCTACCATTCCTTCTATGGGATTGACCCCTAAAAAAGAATAGCTTGTCTCAAAAGAAGGATGAATCTGTCCCCTAAATAACAAAAGGGCACATATGTTTGTGTAAAAATGTCTACAGACTATTACAGTTGCACAGTGAAGAAACTTAGAAAAAACAGTCACTATTGATCTGAGTTACAGTTCCCCTTAAAAAACCTAACTCGTGAACAAGAAGGAAATATTCTCTCCCATAAATAACAACGGATATATGTTTATGTAAAATTGTCTACAGAATATTACTTTCGCACAGTGCAGAAACTTCGCAAAAATAGTCATATTGATCTGAAGTTACGGTTGTTTACAAGGAAACGTTTTATTTTATATTCGTACACTCAGTGATGTGTGTATATGTAATGATAAAGACTTCCTGTGTTCAAACAAGTTGTAGTAAAGTATGAGTATGGCCCTTTGTTAGTTGGTACTGAACTCTTGACTATTTAAATAGTTTGCATGGAGATTGATTAAACTTCTTGCCAAAGACGCAATTTTTAACATTACTAAGTGGAGAATACCATAATTCACCATCCAATTGATGGTAAATAAGCATCAACCAATCGTCTTTAACTGTATTGTAATCCACTAGTTACAACACTGTTGTACTCTAGTATTTGTTGCTTGCCATCTACAATTTGTAATTAACCTTCAAATTTTGCAGGTGTTTGTTGCACTTCTAAGGACTTGCCAACCAGAGAACAAAATGTTGGTCAAACAAGCCCTTGACATTCTCATGCCGGCCCTTCCAAGAAGATTGCCACTTGGTGATTCACGTATGCCTATATGGATACGTTACACTAAGAAAATTTTAGTTGAGGAGGGTCACTCAATTCCCAATCTTATACACATATTTCAACTCATTGTTCGCCACTCAGATCTTTTCTACAGTTGTAGAGCACAATTTGTACCTCAGATGGTGAACTCTCTCAGTCGCCTAGGGTTACCATATAATACTACTGGAGAAAATAGGCGCCTTGCTATTGAACTTGCTGGATTAGTTGTCAATTGGGAAAAGCAAAGACAAAATGACCTGAAGAAAGGGCCTAATAATGACAGTACCAGTCAGGGTACTGATGCAATGAATCTTTCTTCTGCCGGAGGGGATCCTAAGCTTTCTGTTGATGGATCTACATTTCCCGAAGATTCAACTAAGAGAATAAAGGTTGAACCTGGTCTACAATCTTTAAGCGTCATGTCACCTGGTGGTACATCCATGCCCAGCATTGAAACACCTGGATCTGCTGGCCAGCCTGATGAAGAGTTTAAGCCCAATGCCGCAATGGAAGAGATGATAATTAATTTTCTAATCAGAGTAAGTTCATTCACATAATTTGTGGAGTATGTATGCATATATGAAGATTTTCTTTCGCATTCTTACACATTATAATATTATTATTTGGATTAAAATGCTTCTATATATTTGTTCTTTGAGCTGAACATTCTTGGGTTTTTTTTTTTTTAATTTATTTTTTATGTGGTACTTTTGATGTAGTTATCAGTTATTAGTTTTACATGTATGCCCATGTACTGAACATTAATTATTAGTTTTTAACAATTATATTATTGACTTAAATCTCTCACCTGTCGTCCAACTTCTGGTATCGATTGTCATCTTTGAAAGAGGATAATTAGCTGCTAGATACATTTTCTGCTACTTCTGATCACGAAAGCATGTTCTTTGAGGTCTACATTTGGCACTGTTATCAGTTGAATCCAGCCATAAATAGTGAGTTTGTAAGACTTAGTACTTATACTTTGAACTTGATGGTAAATGCAATTGCATCTCTACTTCAGATGCTTTTTTTTAGCTATTGATCTTTAGTAAAGTGTGTGATTCTAGCCTCTTATGCTCTCTTTTCTCTCAAAAATTTAAACAATTTTCTATGAATTGTATTCTGTTAAGATATGTTGTTGAATATGTTTGTTGATGCATTAGGTTATGATGTGTCGTTAAATATGTTGGTGGATGCTTTAGGCTGTCATTTAAGCATCTTAGATTTTTGAGGGCCAGTTACTAAAACTTTGGAGTTCTTGTTCTAGAAAAAATGGTATATATGTTTTTATTCAATGCTGCAATCTGAGGTCCGATCTGCAATGATGATTTTGGGGTAGTGTATCATGTCATGTATTCTGATTCTTCTGATGTCTAATTATGCAGGTTGCCCTAGTTATAGAACCTAAAGATAAGGAGGCAAGTCTTATGTACAAGCAGGCACTGGAGCTTCTATCACAGGCTCTCGAAGTGTGGCCCAATGCTAATGTCAAATTTAATTATTTGGAGAAGCTGTTAAGTAGTTCTCCATCATCCCAATCAAAAGACCCATCTACTGCCCTGTCTCAAGGTCTAGATGTGATGAACAAGGTTCTTGAAAAGCAACCACATCTGTTTGTGAGGAATAATATCAACCAGATTTCCCAAGTATGTGTTGTAGATTTATTTTTTATTGATTGGTCTATTTATTTTTGTACTACCATATCGCTTTAAAGTGGCTTTCCAAACATCTCCATTTATATTTTGACAGATTCTGGAACCATGTTTTAAGTTCAAAATGCTTGATGCCGGAAATTCTCTGTGTGCCCTGTTGAAGATGGTTTCTGCTGCATTCCCCCCGGAAGCAGTTAGCACACCATCTGAAGTGAAGATGCTGTATCAGAAAGTGGAGGAACTTGTCCAAAAGCACCTTGCTGTGGTTGCTGCCCCTCAGACCTCTGGAGAGGATAATTCTGCAAGCATGATTAGCTTTGTGCTTTATGTTATAAAATCTTTGGCGGAGGTACATAAAAACCTTATTGATCCTTTCAATTTGGTCCGCGTCCTTCAGCGCCTTGCACGGGATATGGGAGGTGGCTCTTACACAAGACAAGTAGGTTTCTTATTCAAACCAAGGCACCATTCTATGCACTTTCCATTTTATTATGGATGTTTTCAACATCGAATGCTCATGGCTGGGCAACATAACTTCATCCAACCCTTGGTTTATCATGCAGGGGCAAAGATCAGATCCTGATTCGGCTGTCACTTCCTCTCGGCAAGGTGCTGATGTTGGAGTTGTCATTTCAAACTTAAAATCTGTACTGAAACTTATCAGCGAAAGAGTTATGATGGTTCCAGACTGCAAAAGATCCGTGACTCAAATTTTAAACTCCTTACTGTCAGAGAAAGGCACTGATCCTTCCGTGCTTCTCTGCATTCTAGATTTAGTGAAGGGTTGGGTTGAAGATGATTTTGGTAAACCTGGAACACCTGTTGCTTCAAGTACTTTTATTACTCCTAAGGAAGTTGTCTCTATGCTTCAGAAGCTTTCACAAGTCGATAAACAGAACTTTTCTCCTAGCACCGCGGAAGAATGGGACCAGAAGTATCTTGAACTGCTTTATGGACTATGTGCTGATTTAAATAAGTAATATTTTTCCTTGTCCTTATCATTCATTAAACACCTTGATATATTGGCAATGTGTTAAACCAAATTCCTTGCAGATATCCACTTTCTCTACGTCAAGAAGTGTTCCTGAAGGTAGAGAGGCAGTTTTTACTTGGTTTACGGGCTAAAGATCCTGAAGTGAGGATGAAATTTTTTTCCCTGTATCACGACTCCCTGGGGAAAACATTGTTCACAAGGCTGCAGTACATTATTCAAGTTCAAGATTGGGAGGCCTTGAGTGATGTATTCTGGCTTAAACAAGGGCTTGATCTCCTGTTGGCTATATTAGTTGAGGACAAACCTATCACACTGGCACCAAACTCTGCTAAAATCCCACCTATTTTGACATCAGGTGCAGTTTTTGATTCTACTGGTGTGCAACCTATGGCTAGTGATATTCCAGAAGGCTCAGAGGAATCTCCTTTAACACTTGATAGCCTTGTCTCGAAGCATACCCAGTTTCTCAATGAAATGAGTAAACTCAAGGTATGACCTTTTCATGATAGTTTTTGGAATGAAGCTGTATATCACTGCAATAAAAGGATCCTTCGATGATGGTACGCTGTGTCGATGCTTAAACATGTCACTTATAATGTTGTGTATGATCCCGATGGCTTGTTGCAGTATGCTGCTATAATTTATAGTTGTGCCTTATTTTGTTGTGTATCTCAAGCATAGCTTTTTTTACTTCTCATTTCCTGATGTTCTTGTTGTTTTCTGTTGTAGCTTTTTGTTTGGACTTTGGAGTGTAGGTTATTAGATGTTGCTGTTTGCTATTTTTAAGTTCCATATATAGAAGATTCATGCCTGTTTTCACTTATGTTGCAGGTTGCAGATCTTGTTATCCCACTGAGGGAGCTAGCGCATACGGATGCAAATGTTGCGTATCATTTATGGGTTTTGGTGTTTCCCATTGTTTGGGTGACCTTACATAAGGAAGAGCAGGTGTTACTTGCCAAGCCAATGATAGCACTGTTATCGAAAGACTATCACAAGAAGCAGCAAGCACAAAGACCAAATGTTGTTCAGGCTCTTCTAGAAGGACTTCAGTTAAGCCACCCACAGCCCCGGATGCCCAGTGAACTCATCAAATACATAGGAAAGACTTATAATGCATGGCACATTGCACTAGGATTGCTTGAAAGTCATGTAATGTTGTTTTTGAATGACACAAAGTGTTCAGAGTCTTTAGCAGAGCTTTACCGTTTACTCAATGAAGAAGACATGAGGTGTGGTTTGTGGATGAAGCGATCTGTCACTGCAGAAACAAGAGCTGGTTTGTCACTTGTTCAACATGGGTATTGGCAAAGGGCACAGAGCCTTTTCTACCAGGCCATGGTTAAAGCAACACAAGGCACTTACAATAATACGGTACCAAAAGCTGAGATGTGCCTCTGGGAAGAGCAGTGGCTCCATTGTGCCACCCAGCTTAGTCAGTGGGATGCACTTGCTGACTTTGGTAAACTTGTAAATAATTATGAAATCCTGCTTGATAGTCTCTGGAAACAGCCAGATTGGACATGTTTAAAAGATCAAGTTATTTCAAAGGCTCAACTAGAAGAAACCCCAAAATTTCGTATCATTCAGGCATATTTTGCACTTCATGAAAAGAATACCAATGGGGTGCCAGATGCTGAAAACATAGTTGGAAAAGGCGTTGAGCTTGCTTTGGAGCAATGGTGGCAATTGCCTGAAATGTCAATTCATGCCAGAATACTTCTTCTACAGCAGTTTCAGCAACTAGTTGAAGTCCAAGAATCAGCTAGACTTATAGTGGATATTGCAAATGGGAGCAAACTTGCTGGCAATTCTGTTGTCAATGTTCATACTGGCGTATATGCAGACCTAAAAGATATCCTTGAGACATGGAGATTGAGGACACCAAATGAATGGGACAATATGTCAGTTTGGTATGATTTGCTTCAGTGGAGGAATGAAATGTACAATGCTGTTATTGATGCATTTAAAGATTTTGGGAATACAAATTCACAATTGCATCATCTTGGCTTCCGTGATAAGGCATGGAACGTGAATAAGCTTGCCCATATTGCTCGCAAGCATGGGCTACACGATGTTTGTGTTTCTATATTAGAAAAGATGTATGGTCACTCCACGATGGAAGTCCAGGTGCTGCGGATTTGTTGTCCTATTCTTTAATTATTTTCAAATATTGCTACATTTCCACCATAATTTGATTGTTTTAAATTTGCAAGGATATATCAGTAGTGTTTTTCAATTCATTATGAATTGTTCAATGCAGGAGGCTTTTGTGAAAATAAGAGAACAAGCCAAGGCATACTTGGATATGAAGGGAGAGCTTACCAGTGGGCTTAATTTAATTAATGGCACGAACCTGGAGTATTTTCCAGTTAAACACAAGGCTGAAATTTTTCGTCTTAAAGGTGATTTTCTGCTGAAGCTTAGCGATTGTGAAGGCGCTAATGTTGCATATTCACATGCCATCACCCTGTTCAAGAACTTGCCTAAAGGATGGATTAGTTGGGGAAACTATTGTGACATGGTATGGTGTTTTTCATTTCTCATTAGGATTTAGGATACCATCTTCAGTAAGTCAAAATCTGATTTTGTACACTTTTCACATTTGACAGGCCTACCGGGAAACCCATGAAGAGATCTGGTTAGAGTATGCAGTGAGCTGTTTCCTACAGGGGGTCAAATTTGGAATTCCAAATGCGAGAAGTCACCTAGCACGTGTTTTGTATCTTCTCAGCTTTGATACACCCAATGAACCTGTTGGTCGGGCATTTGATAAATATCTGGAGCAAATACCTCACTGGGTATGGCTTTCTTGGATTCCCCAGCTACTGCTATCCCTTCAAAGGAATGAAGCTCCTCATTGCAAACTTGTATTACTTAAAATTGCAGCTGTATATCCTCAGGTATATATAACCTATGGCAGTTTTATGTCAATTGATATACGTATTGATCTTCTTAGATTGATACTGTCTTTTCAAAAAATCAGGCATTATATTACTGGCTACGCACGTATCTGCTCGAACGCCGTGATGTTGCCAATAAATCTGAATATGGTAGAATGGCGATGGCTCAACAAAGAATGCAGCAAAACATTGGTGGTGTTAGCGCAGCTGGGCCCATGGGCTTGCCTGAAGGAAATGCCAGAGCAGCTGTTCAAGGAGGGGGCACAGTGGTCTCAGAGAATCAACTTCACCAAGGGGCTCAATCTGCTGGTGGTCTCGGGTCACATGAGGGAAGTGTCTCGCAGGTGCAAGAAACTGAAAGGCAAGGTGGTGCTGAAAGTAGCATGCAATCTGGGAATGACCAGTCAATGCATCAAAGTTCATCTAACAATGAAGTAGGGCAAAATACATTGAGGCGAAATGCTGCCATGGGGTTGGTGGCTTCTGCTGCCAGTGCTTTTGAAGCAGCAAAAGACATAATGGAAGCTCTTAGGAGCAAGCACACCAACCTGGCTAGTGAGCTTGAGGTAGTTAATTTGATCTTTATGAGTTGAAGAATATCAGGCTGCCATGCATCTCATAACATCCTACAGTCAATAATGTCAATGTAATTTAAGTTGCTTCCAAAATTCTAAAATATGTTAGAATCAGGATCCTTTTGTTTGTCATTTTTGGCTTTAAGATTAAAAGATGCTCTGTTGAAGCGTTTATCTTGTGAAGTGAGTCTCTGCTTGAGGATGAATTGATTTCAACTAATGATTCTATTATTTTCAGATTCTACTCACAGAAATCGGCTCTAGATTTGTTACATTGCCGGAGGAGAGGCTTCTGGCTGTAGTTAATGCCCTTCTTCATCGTTGTTACAAGTACCCAACTGCAACTACAGCAGAAGTTCCCCAGTCCCTTAAGAAAGAGCTCTCTGGTGTTTGCAGAGCTTGCTTTTCTGCTGATGCTGTGAATAAGCATGTTGACTTCGTGAGAGAATACAAGCAGGATTTTGAGCGTGACCTTGATCCAGAGAGTACTCAAACATTTCCAGCTACTCTTGCAGATCTCACTGAACGATTGAAGCACTGGAAGAATATTCTTCAGAGCAATGTTGAAGATCGGTTTCCTGCTGTGCTGAAATTGGAGGATGAAAGCAGGGTTTTACGAGACTTCCATGTTGTTGATGTGGAGGTTCCAGGACAGTATTTCTCTGATCAGGTATATGCCAATTGGTGTTGAGATTGTGCTATAAATTAGTATCAAATTTATTTTGTCTGAGCATGGCAACACATGATTGCAATGATGCTCTCTCTGAATTAAGGTTTTGGGTAAATACTGGAATATGGATTCAGAAATGACTCATTTTCTCAATCATATCTTGCTTGCTTTCAGGAAGTTGCACCTGATCATACAGTCAAGTTAGACAGAGTGGCAGCTGACATTCCTATTGTTAGGAGACATGGTAGCAGTTTTCGGCGTTTGACTCTGATTGGTTCTGATGGCTCTCAACGCCATTTTATTGTTCAGACATCTTTGACCCCAAATGCTAGAAGTGATGAGAGGATCTTGCAGCTTTTCCGCGTAATGAATCGGATGTTTGATAAACATAAGGAATCCAGGCGGCGCCACATTTGCATTCACACCCCAATTATCATTCCTGTGTGGTCACAGGTAATACAGCTTCACCTATGCCATATTTTATTTTTTGTTTCTTAGATGTTTGAAATTTTGCATTTCACTAAAATTCTCTGTTATTTAGACAGTCTATAATCACTTTTTGCAGCTTTTGTGCTGTTCAATATATTCATTTATACTTGCCTGTAAGTAACGATGTTTTAAAACGGTTATTTTTGTCTAACCCTGATTTTCAATTTTTGTGCAGGTCCGTATGGTGGAAGATGATCTGATGTATAGCACTTTCCTTGAGGTATACGAGAACCATTGTGCCAGGAATGACCGGGAGGCAGACTTACCGATTACTTATTTCAAAGAACAACTGAACCAAGCGATATGCGGTCAGGTGTCACCAGAAGCTGTGGTGGACCTCCGCCTCCAAGCCTACAATGACATCATTTCCAAAAATATCGTGACAGAGAGCATTTTCTCCCAATACATGTACAAGACACTGCTGAATGGGAACCATACATGGGCATTCAAGAAACAATTTGCAATCCAATTAGCCCTCTCGAACTTCATGTCCTACATGCTACAAATTGGAGGAAGGTCGCCGAATAAGATTCTGTTTGCCAAGAATACAGGAAAGATCTTTCAGACTGATTTTCATCCAGCCTACGACCCCAATGGAATGATTGAGTTCAACGAGCCAGTGCCTTTCCGGCTAACAAGGAACCTGCAATCATTCTTCTCTCATTTCGGCGTGGAAGGCCTCATCGTCTCTGCAATGTGTGCAGCTGCACAGGCTGTGATTTCTCCAAAGGTAACAATTTACACTTTCCGACATTTTCCCTATAACTAATTCTTCATCACAAGCTTGGAATCATTGGCTTTGAATTGTTGTTAATGATGGTTCTTCACCATTGCAGCAAAATCAGCATTTGTGGCACCATTTGGCTATGTTCTTCCGTGATGAGCTCATATCATGGTCTTGGAGAAGACCTCTTGGGATGCCGATTGCACCTGTTGGAGGCGGCGCCCTCAACAGCGCAGACCTCAAACAGAAGGTGACTACCAACGTCGACCATGTCATAGGCCGCATCAATAGCATTGCTCCACAGTGCATCTCCGAAGAGGTATGTTGTTGAACCTCAGATGCTGCTGCTGATGTTTTGCCTGATTAGTTAACTGTTTGGATTTTCAAAAATACTTTTCTGATCATATACATACACACGCATATCATCATGTTGAATAAACTACTGATGAGTTGTTCTTGATCGATCCATCCAATAACAGGAGGAGAATGGTGTGGATCCACCACAGTCAGTGCAGAGAGGTTTTGCTGAATTGGTGGAGGCTGCTCTAACTCCAAGAAAATTGTGCATGATGGATCCTACGTGGCACCCGTGGTTCTAATTGGTTGTAAGAAATAACCAGTATTCTCTCTCTATCTCCTCTCTCTCTCTGTGGCCTTTGCATTGATGCGTGTAGATAAAAACAAAATTCTATATAATGTTTATTAGTACTAAGTAATCAGTCTACAGGGCATTTTTGCTTCCTGCTTTCATTTTTGTTAATGCATTTTTTTACCTTTACTTTCGTTCGATCTTGTTTAGTGATGCCTGACGTTTTAGCCATTTCAAATACCTTTCCTTTACTCCGGCGTTCAATTTTCATAGTAAATTGAAATACCCTTTTTTTTTTTTTATTCATTGAGATTATAATGCCCAAGTAATAATTAGATGTGTTTTACAAGTGTTTTATGTTTTTGGTTGGTTTAAAGTTTAGTAAAAAGATTAATAGAAAATAAATATTTTATAGTACTATATTGAATAAGAGAGAAAATGCTTATATATATATATATATATGTAAAAATAGGAATGTCAGTCCAATTATCCGTATATATATTCAGTAGAAATGCCCAATTATCCATGCAAAAACTGACACCTGTTGCATCATTCACAACTTATTATTTAAGAGTGGCAAATGCAAAATAATATATTCAGTCCGTTTTTAAATGAATTGATTTTGTGTGTGGTATGAGAAATTATGTTTATAAAAAATAATATTTTATATGAATTATTGATTTTTTGTGAGTGAATATATATTATATTAATGTGTGTATATATTTATATTTTTTTAATAATATTTATAAGAAATTATTCTGTAAAAATGCTCAATAAACAACTGATTTATTTTATTTGCATTTTTCATTTTTTTATTATTCAAATTATCAACATTACTTTAGACACTTGGGATGTGTGGACCTTTTATCAGATTTTTACTATTCAATTTTTTAAAAATAAAAATAATTATATTTATATTAAAATAAAAATTTATTTTATATTCAAAATATTAATATCAATATTTATTTATATTACATCAATAACCAATTAATTTAAATTTTTACTACTAAAAAAATCTAAACCCAAAAATCAAATCTACAAAAAAGCACACCCTCCATTTAGCCAAAATTTTATTCTGTATTGCTACTATAGAAATCACTAGCTATGTATATATTACTCTTTAAATCAAATTATTATAGAAATATCAATATTTTTTCTGTTCCGGTTGTATTGTTTACATTATTATACTAGAATTTATGAAATATATTAGTAATAAAAATTATTATATAATAAAATTATTTATATATTAAAATATAGATAATTAAATAGTTTAATTAATATTAAAAAAATTATAAATTATGAAATTTTAAATATAATTAAAAAATATTTGACGAATTATGTAAGATTGATAAAATAGAAATGTGTGACGGAGGGAATACAACTTAGGATGAATTATGTAAGATTGATAAAATAGAAATGTGTGAAGGAGGGAATACAACTTAGGATGTCTTTGTTTGAAGTATTTTAACAAACTTTTACCATTCATCAAATTTCTCACCTTTAAAATATCATATTAAATTTTACATTTTAAATATATTTATTTTACATTATACTATTATTCAAATTCAAAAATTTTTCAATCCAAAATTTAAAACTTCAAAAGTCTTTTTTGCCACACATGGACCTTTTATCTGTCTAATTTACACAGACTATTATTAGATATATTGTATTTGGGGTATTACTTTTTTTGATCTTTCAATCTTCCTAGAATTTTCAGTTGTTCTTTATTATTTATGACTCTCTTTTCTGTGGAGCAATCACTTTTCTGCATTGCTCATTAGAGCCATCAAAAAGGTTTTATGAATTAAGAACATACTTTTTCTATAGCAAAATTTTACTATATTTTTTTCTCCACTAAATATATCTCATCAAATATTACATGCAAACTCCAAAATTTATTCTACAAACGATGTGAAATTCTGTGAATAAAATCATAGATCTCTCTCTCTCAAATGAAGAAACCAAAGCAGACAGATTGATTTAATCAGTCGAATGAATGAATTGTGTGTATCAGTCAGAAATTATGGATTTCTCTTCTCTATCTGTCTGTCTAACCACACCACACCACACCACCAACCAAAATAACAAACATACAAATGGTAGGAATGCTGGCTGCTGCTACAAATCTTAAACATCAATCATATAAAAGGAGGAGGAGGAGGTTGGTGTCATGAGCAAGACAACCCACCCATACCCACACCCACACCAGTAGTAAAAACAAGAACAGTAAGTAATTAAGTAAGAGTATTCATCATCATCATCAATCAACAGCTGTCTGATTCCTGAGGAAATCGAAGGTGCTTCCCTTTCGGCGTCGGCAGCCCTTTCAAACGCACCACACCATCGATTTCATCATCATCGTCGTCATCAACAACTTCTTCCTGCCCTCGAAGCTCATCATCACTGTCATACAAGAATCGAATGTGCTTCCCCATAAACAACAACTTATTGTTATTATCCTCTTCTGCAACCCTAATCTTGCTCATTCCTTCACAAAGCTCATCAACCCCTTCTTCATCTTCTTCACCACCATCCTCATCACCACCATAATCATTCCTAGGGCTGCTGCTTAGGTTAACCTGAATAGACCAAATCGATGCATTGTCATCATCCATAGATGATTTATCTTTACTGCTCTGCTCCGATCCTTCATAACTCAGTGTTTCCGAGCAAGAATCTGTCGACTTCTCTGAGAAATCCAGCATCAATGACCTTGTGATCAAATTCTCACCCTCCTCTGCCTTCACCTCATTTATCATCTTTATGCACAAAAAAAACAACCAAACACAATATTCATCTTTAAAGAAAAACTCCCAAAATTCATCTTCTTGAATATTTAATTTCTAAATTTACCAAAAAGAATAATAATTTCATGGAGCAAACAAACCTGTGGGATCAAAAGCTTCTCACTGACAGGGGAGGCCGTGAGGGTCGACAGATCATCGGAAAAGTTGAGAACTTGCGGCGTGTTCGCTGGAGTGGGGGCGGCAATAAGGTTCGCCGGAGAGCGGATGAGGCCTTGAAGGTTGAAGAAAGGCCGATCCTCGAAAGCCATTTTCGACACTTCGGCTTCTTCCTCAACTTTCTGCAGAAGGGATTTCACTTGGCCTCTCAATAGAGCCTCACCTGAACCCGGAGTTCGAGCGCATTGCCCTCTCTTCTTCGACATTGCCGACGACGGCGTCTCGAGGCTCCCCATTGCAAGCCCCACAATCGGAGAATTGTTCGTTATGTCGACGAGTACAGATCGATCTTGATTCTTGCTCAGATGCTTGCCGCTCTTCTGCCTTGCCGCCATTTCAGACTCCTCTAATTTCTCTGCAATTTGAAAAACAGAAAAAAGGGGAAACGAACAAGTCAAGAACACAGAATCAAGATTTATGTGAAAATTGAAATCGGAGAAGACCAACGGAAACGAACTTGACAAGATTAAATTGTTATTGTTGGTGTTGCCGGCGGAAGCAGAAGCTGCGGCCATGGATCTCGTCACTCTTCTTGTGGACAAAGGGGTTTCCATCGCAGACAGAAAAATTGAACTCGAAAATTCTTGAAAATTCGTTGCCGGAGATTTCAGGCTTGCAGTCGCCGGCGTCGGACGGAGAAATTTGAATCAATAGGAGATGTGATCGGAGTTGAAAACGGACGTCTTTATAGAGATAATAGGAGGGCTTAGGGAATGGGTAATATGACCGTTATAGAGCGCGTTTGAGGAAACTAGCCGTTGTGATTTTGAATTGTGTGATGGGTATATGGGCTTTCGGGTTGACCCGTGAAGTGTTGGGCCTGGGCCCAACTGAGAAAATACTAATTTGGAATAGTTTAACGGCTAACTTAGATAGCTAATTACGTCGTGATTAATGTTGTAATTAAATTTGGTGGATTACAATTATGGGAATTTTGTAATCATTACTAGAGATTTTTTCTGCATAAAAATTATTGAGGATCTTGTTTTTGTTTCCTGTGGAAAAAAAATCCAAACTTTTAAATTGTGGAATTGTATTCAATAATTCCTAATTTTTCATTTTTAATTTTTAATTTTCTAAATAAAAGGTCTTTCTTACTAGGCTAATTTGTATTTTTCTGCAGCATTGTGTTCATTTGTTATCAATTAAAAAAAGGAGATGTTCCTTTTTTTGTGTAAAGGTTGAATTTGTAATCGTGATGAAAAAAATATCTTAAACAGTTTTTGTGTATAAATAAATATAATAAAGACTTGAAGTCGGTCATCTAAAGGCATCTAAAATAATAATAATAATAATAATAATAATAGTGTATGAATATAGAAGAGTGTTGAGTATGTGAGTATGAATGACCAAACATGGGTGTTCCTTTTGGTTTGATTTGGAAATTTATTTTTTAAAATCTGATATTAAAATAATCTTTTATTAAATATTGTAAATATTTATGTATATATATATTATTAAAAAATTACAAGTTCAAATAATAAAATTTTAAAAATTTATATTAAAAAAAAAAAGCACACAATTACACACAATAATTCATACTCCAGACTGAGACCGAAGACTCACTACGTAGACTTAACTAAACCACCCATCATTTTCATTCAAAGAAAATTTAAATGTGCCCTCGTCATAAAATAAATAAATAAATAAATAAAAATGATTTATAACCTAATATGAATAAAATACTAAACAAATAAATCAGCACTGACTTTGTCAAAGGCAAATATATCACATCACATCACATTTTTGCAAAAGAAAAATATGTTGGTTGTTTGTTCACACTTCACCTCCAAATCTCTACGTGCTTATCTGCTCTTTTCTTTTTTCCCCTTTTTTTTATTATTTATTTTTTTTTCATGATTTTAAAGTAAAATAATTACTGAAAAATATGTTAAAATCGTGACGAAACAACACTTTTATTATTTTCATAAGCAATAGTTTTATTTCCATAAATAACTATATCACATAAAACTACTCTTATTTTTTCATTTTTATTACACAATTGCAATTACTTTTTACACTAATACATTCACAAAGACAAAAAAAAATTTTATTCATATTTTTTACCCACTGCTAATATAATATCAATATTCCTTACCTAATACTTATTAATGCTTTGAAAACACTTGTGCTGATTCTACAATATGATTGAAAATATATATAGGAGAATTATTAAGTAAATGATGTATAATTGTAAACTCAAATTATGTAATGTGGATAGTTGGAGTAGAGTTAGCAAAAATTGATCCGATATGACAACCCGACATGACCTAACACGAAATAATTGGGTTTGAGTTAAAGATTCAACCCAATTATATATACGGGCTAACACGAATCCGACATAATAATAAACGGATCGGGTTAGAGTTGAGACTCTTAACTCAAACCCGACACGACACCTCCGATTATAAATATTAATATATTTATTATATATATAAAATAATCATAATTTATTAATTTTCTCATGAATTAATTTAAACTAAGTTCAATTTTAAATAATTCAACCTAATTTACGCTCAAACCAATAAAAATTAACATGACAGCACAACAAAAAATTATTTAATTTGAATCAAGAAATTCGACTTAATTATGTATACGGGTCAACACGAATCAACTCGAACCCGACACGATAATAAACTGGTTAGGTTAGGGTTGAATAATTTAACCCGTTTAAAGTATTAACTTGATACGAATCGACCCATTGCCTGAAGACACCATATGCTATTAATATCTTCAAGGATTAGTCGGTTTGTTTGTGTTCTTTTGTGAATTTTACTCAAAAATTTATTATTCATTATTTTTTTTTCATAAAAGATTAAATTAAAATTTATCTTTTATTTTTTATATTATATTAAAAATTAATTTTAGATTTAAAATATTATATCAATATTTATTTATATTGCATCGTATAACTATTCAAATCTTAGACACAAATTAGTCTTGGTAATAACACTTAGTATATACTACTTCCTCCGTCCCGGAATTAAATATCAATTTTCTTTTTGCACGTAATTTTAGAAATATTAGTATTATATTAAGATATAGTAAAAATAAAATAGAAATGACTAAAATAACTTTATTATTACGTGTGATATAAAGATAATGGTATTTGTGTAATATATTGTAAGTTGTAAGGGTATTTATAATATTAGGTAGATAGTATAGTTACTAAAAAAGGAAATAAATACTTTGTTATGGAACGTACTAAAATAAAAAAAATAGATACTCTGTCGTGGGACGGAAGGAATATAATTATCCAATTTGTCAAACAACCATATCTTTATACCAATAAACTAATAATTAATTGAAATTATTTCACACTAAAACGTATCATCATCTGATCACTTTCCTCTCTCCACCAAATTACACACATTATCTATCATTGGCCAACATAATTAATATTAAAAAAATTTAAGTCAATCTCGAGTGCCATAAATCATTGTCGTTGGTTGGACCAATTGGGCCGTGTTCTTTCTTTATTATTATTGTTTATTTTTTATAATTATATTAGAAATTAATTAATTTTATTTTTAAAACATCGTAATAAAAAAATAAAAAAATCGGTAGAGATATGTATTCTTTTTCTATTTTGTTTTAGATTTTGAATTTGAATTATATTTTAATATAATATTTTGCAGGAAAAAGTATAAATATTTTTATAAAGAATTGTAAGAGTTTAGTATTAATATAGGTGTATTCTTCTGCTAAAAAAATTTCAATTTGTTTTTCGATTTATATTATAAAAAAATATAATATATATTTATATAAATTATATAATATGCATATTATATTTATTCAAAAAATATTAATAAATTAATTCAAAATATTATTTTTTGTATTATCTTATATTCTTTTCGTCTCAATACAATAGTCTTATTTATCATTTTTGTCCGTCCCAAAACAATAGTCTCATTTTCATAAATAACCATATCACTGTAAAACTACTTTTTATACTAATACACTCACATGGGGCGAAAAGATCTTTTACCCATATTTTTTACCCACTACCATGTCAAACTCAACCCAAACTATAATTTTGGGACCAAGGTAATACTATCTTATACTAATATAAAAAATATTTAAAATTTAAAAATTCAAAACAAACACATGCACCCTTTTTACCGAAAAATAAATTTTAGATTTAACATGTTAAATAAAAATAAATACTAAAATATAAATTTCTAATTAATTTTTTGTTATTGAATTTAATAATATATATTATTATAAAATAAAAAAGAATACTAAGAATAAAATGTGAAACAAACGCATTCTATAATGCTCCATAATAGAGCGTATTACAAGATTAGGTATTATCATGCTCATTATATATAATTATTTTCAGCATACGTGGCAGCAAATGCTTTGAACGTGTAATAAGCAGTGTTGCACTTTGTGATTTTATTTTATTTTTTAAAATTCGCATTCCCACTAAGCCCATCAACTCGTATAAAATTATATATAGTGAATCATCATTATTTTATTTTATTTTATTTTATATGATATATGAATCTGAAATCGCTTCTCTTAATTTTAAATATTTTTATTGTAATTGCAATGTAATATAATATAATATAATTTTTTTTTTAAAAGTTTAATTATTATTTTTATATTTTATTTTTTTAATTAATCAATAATAATTATAACAATAAAAATACAAATTTGATATTAAAATTAAAATTTAAAAATAAATTAAAACTAAATTTAATTAAATAATATAATTTTTTCCCATAATTTTTTAATAAATCAAAATATTGACAAATAATAATATAATATAATATAGTATAATAATTGAATAAATAATTAATACTACAAATTAAAATTATAATTAAAAAATAATATATATATAATATGAAAATAAAAATTTATTAAAAAATTAGGATGAGTATCTTTGTTATGAATATAAAATAGAAGAGTGTATCTCCGCTGACGTGACAGAAAAAGAATATGATGTAGAAAAAAAAATAGTGAAGATATCCAAAAGCGGATATCTCCAATGTGGATGGTCTTATTATAAAGGGCGGGACAAGTTAAATAACACTAGATTCTAGAATAATGTGTATGATATATAAACAAAATCTAAAGATATTATATATTAAATTCATAAATCTCATAATAACAAATTCACCGTACTTGGTGTGTTTCTTGAAAAAAATTAATTTAAATTTGACATTAAAAAAATATATGATGAGATATTTTGTGATAAAGTATATATATATATTTTTTTTCAAAATATACATAATTCAAATAATAATGAATTATGTTAAGTTTATCAAAAACTCCTTCATCTATTTTTGGCATATTGACAAAAAAATTTTTGCTGCTGTGGTCGTTAGATACCAAAAGCAACAATATTTGACACAACTTGTGGATTCATATCAAGTTGTCTTTTTGTCTTTTCCTAGGATGGTGTATTTTCAAGACAAAATGGACACTTTGAGCTTGTCCTCTTGTGGTCAAAAGTAAATAGATATACACAATTTCTTATTTGTATCAAGGGAATTAATTGCATGTCAACTTCATACCTGCTGTGCTGGACTTACAGCTCGGTTACTAGGAAGGGTGAGAAGAGAGTGGTTTTGAGAGAGTGTGTAGTGAGACAAATATTGTTACAATCCTCTCAACATCTACTCTTCTCATCTCCATATTTTGAGTGAGTGATATACACTATTATCTTGCCGGAAAAGTTCGTCGGTCGAAGGGAGATCGGAGTTCCGATCAGGGGAACATTCAGAATCTGAGCAGCCTAGCTAGTTGTTAGTTGTCAGTACGCGTTTGTGACAACATATGTCTGTGGAGGGAATTTCCCAGGTAATCAACTTGGAGTTTGGGTTGAAGGAGGTTGGAGTGTTTTTTTCTTAATCAACGCTGATTAATGAACCTCTCCTGAATTGGTATCCCCAGATGTAAGATAATTTATATTCGAATCGGGCAAACAAATAACTTGTCATTTATTGCTTTTTGACTATGCATTTATCTCATCTACAAGTTGCCGTTATAGCTATGATGTAACTACACTTCGGGAGTTAGTCCATTTGAATAAATGTACAAGTATTTATTGATACTAACACTTATTCTCACCCCCAACAAATTAGAATTTTGTGTGTCTCTCATGCGGGACATTCTTTTAAGAATATTATTATAAATAAATGATTTCATATTCAACAAGAAGATTTTCCCAATCCACTGGGTTACTTTATGCTTTTGTTAAAAAAAAAATGGTGAATTCCCATAAAATTTTCAAATATTTTAAACTTAGACTTCAGTCTCTATATCATAAAATTACAGAATTTTACTCTTTAACCCTTTACCCATATGAATTTTCTATTTTGCTCCAAAAATAATAAGTGAAACAATAATTTTTTTCAGTGAAATCTTCAAGAAAATAGAAGGATTTAGATTGTGTTTGATACAGAGAAATGAGGCCAGAGAAATGGAAATTGTATCATTACTCTTGTTTGTTTGAGTCAAAAGAAATGGAACTTGAGAAATAAATCATTTCCATTTCTCTGTTTTCATTTCTCTCCCATATGCAGGTAAATAGAGAAATGATGTTGCAGCATATATATTTTTTAATTTTTAAAATTTTTTGTACTATTTAATTTTTATAATTTTTTAAAAATTATATTATTTTAATTTTACAAAAGCCAAACTTAATTTATTTTTAAAGTATTTAATTTTTACGATATTTTAAGAAATTATACTAAAATATAATCTTAAAAAACATCGTATATAATTTATAATTTTTTTTTTAAAAAAAATTTACCAAAAATATTTTTCATGAATTCTCATTCGTTAAAACTATATTTTTATCGTGTTAATCATTTATTTTTGTTTGCTCATTCATATATCTGCATTTTTTTTAAGATTTCTCAAATCAATTCTCTGTTTTATCAAACAAGAGATCTCTACTCAATTCTATTTCTCTCCAATTCTATTCTCTGCTATCATTTCTCTGCAATTCCATTCTCTGTACCAAACGCCCCCTTAAGGCAAAAATGCAAGTGGAATGTCATAAACCAACAATAAAAATGTTCCGTAAGGGATCACCCGAAGATGTGGTGTGTGACTTGTTTTGTCAGATTGCCAGACATATTTTCACATAATTAGGGATAAGAGAACACACAATATAAGACAAGTAATATGGAGTATAATTTTAATAATTAATTTTATATTTTAAATATTTTTTAATCAAAACATGTAAGAAGTTTGATCAATAAACTAATTAATTTATTTGTAAAATATAGTGTAATATTATACTTCATCTGTCCCATTTAATATGATAATTTTAACTTTAACGCGGAGTTTTAGATATTGTATAATTAGTACATATAATTATAGATTAAGATTAATATAACTAAATAGTTTAATTAAAATATATAAAATATGAAATATGAATTTTAAAATGAGATTAAAATGTATAATTATATTTTCAGAACAAATTATATTGGATGAACGGAAATAGAAAAAATGGACAAATTAAGTAAGATTGAGGAAATATATTATATTTTATAATTAAATTTGAATTTAAAATTTAAATTATTATTTGAGTGTGATACATAAAAATTATACTGCATCCGTCCCATAAAAAGAGTACCATGGACTTTCGTGTTGATCTTTAAATATTAATTATTATATCAATACGTAGTACAAATTAAAATAAATTGACAAAAATACTTCTATTAGTCTCCTATAATACAAATACAATAACATTTGTGGAGTAAATTATAAGATATTTTTAATGTTAAATATAATTACGCAAAAGACAAATGGTACTGGTTTTATGGGACGGAGGTAGTATTTTATTATATTTTTTTGACAAACAGTCTTTATTTTTTAAATATATGAAATATTTAATTAGATGGAAAGTGAAGAGATTTTAGAAATTATTTGATGTAAATATATATATACATTGTAAACTGTTTTTTTTGTCCCGTAACTGAACCCCCTTATCATTTTAGTCCTGTAAGTGGAGCCTGTCGCAAACTAGTCCCATAAGTGAAAATTTTTCGCTGTTTTAGTCATCCGGCGCCGGAGATGCCTGCGTGGCTCGCCGGAGGTGACGTGTCCGCCAGGTGTCGCTGACCTAGCGGACACGTGGATTTTTTTTTATTATTTTTTCCATTTTTTAATTTTTTTTTTTAAAACTTATTTTTAATTTTTTTGTATTTTTTTATTTTTTTATTTGGTCCAATTAAAAAAAATTAAAAAAAATAATAATAAATCCACGTGTCCACCGGGCGTCGCTGACCTGGCGGGACACCTGGCGGACACGTTACCTCCGGCGAGCCACGCGGGCGTCTCCGGCGCCGGAGGATTAAAACAGCAAAAATTTTTCACTTATAGGACTAGTTTGCGACAAGCTCCACTTACGGGGTTAAAATGATAAAGAAATCTAATTTTGAGACTAAAAAAACAGTTTACCCTCTGTACTTGTCAAAATTTATCAACTCGTCTGTCGACAAAAAGAATGTTTCAAAATCGTTCTACGTTGTAGTGCTGCTTGTCCGACGTTCGAAATTTCCATATTTTGATTAAAAAAAATCAATTTAGACGTAAAAGATCCATAATAAGTGAGTGCATTGCATTTAATTTGCATGGGTTGAATTAGTCAGCTAATTGTAATTGTCACCGATGCTTTTTCAAGTTACAACAACATATTATGACTATTTATTTATACTCCCTCCCTTATAAGAGTGATATTTATTTTTTGTACGTAAAATCTTTTAATATTAGTATTATATTGAATTTTAGTAAAAAAAAAAGAGATAAAAATACCCCTATTAGTATAGTGTAATATAAAAGTAATGACATTTGTGTAATATATTATAAATTGAAATGGTATTTATTATGTTAGGTAGGTAATACAATTACTAAATTAGGAAATAGTAACATTGTTTTGGGACAAACAAAAATAAAAAATAGTAACCTTTCAATTAGACGAAGGGAGTATCATTATTTTAAAATTTTCATATTCAAGCAAAATCATATATTTCTTTGTTCCATAGACTTTACAATATTTTTGGTACGTTTCAAACATAATAATTAAATATACTTAATTTTTACTTTATATTTTATCATATCTAATCACTTAAATAAATAACATCTTTCTCATTTACCAAACTATTCAGTTTTTCATGTTGATCTATCTCTATCTATTTTCTTTTTTGATAATTTTACTATTTACCTAATATTACAAATACTTTTACAATTTACAATATATTGATATTACACAAATAATAATAAGATTTTTTGAGTTATTTCTACTTCATTCTTATTATTTATCAATAAAATACTAATATACTTTAAATTATGTTAAAAAAACAAACAAATACTTATTTAAAATACAGAGAGAATATATACTCCCTCCGTTCCATTGAAAGTTTGTCACTTTTCATTTTCGTCCGTTCCAAAACAAAGTTGTCATTTAGTAATTGTAATACTTACATAATATAATAAATACATTTATAATTTACACTATATTACACAAATGCCATTATTTTTATATTACAAAATACTAACAAGAGTATTTTTGTCTTTTTTTTGTTACAACCTAATATAATATTAATATTAAAAAGTCTACGTACAAAAAATAAACGACAACCTTTCTACTGGACGGAGGGAATATAATTTTTTTCATCATCCACCTAATTTTCAAATGATCATATTTAATATCTACCTCATACTTTATCCCTTCACATCATCTAAATAAAAAAAATGCAATATACATTTATCTTTCGATCACATCACCTAATTTTTAAATTATTTTATTTAATACTATTCACCTAAAACCCTTGCAAAAAAACAAATATTACATCTTATTTGGAACTGAGAAAGTACTTTTCATCTATACCATACTTGAGACAAAGAAAGTACTAATTAATTAATTTAAAAAATAGTAATAAAAAAAACTAGTAATAATAAATCTAACACGACGAGTGTATTAAGATATTTTATATATTTAATTTTAGATTTAAGTAAATAATTCATTATTTTTTTGCAAAATTTTTAAGATACGAGAAGCTCAATATGTATGTATGTATGTATTTACGTGTATATATATGAAAACAGTAATTATTAATGTAAAGGCGAAGAAATTTAAAGACAAAGGGCGTGGGGTCGGGGCGATGTCGATGACAATAGCGGGGGCGAGAGCGAGAGCGATGGCGAAGGCAAACCCCTTCTTATTATTATTTTTATGCTTTCTCTCTCTGTCGTCTTTCTCTCTCTTCTTCTTCGTCTGCCTTTTACCAAAGTCCGTTTGACCACCGCATCCATTCCTCTCCCTCCCTTCTTCTTCCCGGCTTCCTCCCCTTTGCCTTTACCTATCATCGTTTTCGCCTCCCAATTCCAATCTCCATCTTCATCTCCCTCCCAATATCTCCACCGCTTTCCTTGCCTGTAATTTCGTTACTCTCAATTCATTGATCATCGACGCTAATCTCGTTCCTTGTGTTGCTTTCCAACAAGTCCTTGATTTGCTCGAGGAGGAGACCATAGCCATAACAATCGAGAAGCTTGGTTCCTTTTGTTCTGTTTGCGAGAAATGGGAAGCTGTTTCTCCACCACAAAGGTGAGTGGTTCCAACAGCAACACACCTTCCACCACCGCCGTCGAGACTGCCCGCCCTGTGCCGCCCAAGCGCCCTTCATCCACGACGCCCTACGCGTTTGCGCTGCGGAAAAAGGATGGGGCGGGAGAAAACGACAAAACTCGACAGCAGCGGAAGCATTCGCAGCAGATTAGTAAAAACAATTCGAAGCGACCGAATGGAATGGTTCCCTGCGGGAAACGAACGGATTTCGGATACGATAAGGATTTCGACAAGCGATACACGATTGGGAAATTGCTTGGGCATGGCCAATTTGGTTACACCTATGTTGCTGTTGATAAGTCCAATGGAGATCGTGTTGCCGTCAAGAGAATCGACAAGAACAAGGTTGCCTATTACATTCATTTACTTCTGATTAAGAATTCATTCATGAATATCTACACTAGGATCATATTTCTAGGTTTGGTTCGAATTGGATTTCAGAACTTTGTTGCTCTATGTTTGCTATGTTGGATTGTAGCGTGTGGGAAAACAAGAATTGAAAAATGCCTCGTGAGATTTGTTAAGCTTTAATTAATCCAGATTGATCAGAGATATTTGTTCATTGAATCCTCTTTGTTCTGTTAGTTAGATTTCCATTTTTGAATTGAACCTATGTTTCCTTATTTGGAATTGCATCTTCCTATAGGTTCCCCGGCTTTACTTTGTGGATATGGTTGTATTTAGGCATACGTAAGCCCGGATAATGTGCACATTTATAGCTAATGCCGTGTCTTAATATTCTTGATTTGCTTTAACACCTTCCGAATGACGTATGCGCCTTGTGATGGTAGAACTCATTTGATGAAGCAATTTTCATCATTTCGGCAACGAGGGCGTACCATATTTCCAAATTTCAAATATTATGTGTCTATTTGTCATTTTCTCTAAGTGGTTGCGGAAGATTGATTAGTTTACCTTAAGAAGTTGTGTTGTTAATTGTCTTCTGAATACATGACAGATGGTTCTTCCCATTGCCGTTGAGGATGTAAAGCGGGAAGTCAAGATATTAAAAGCATTAGCTGGACACGAGAATGTTGTCCACTTCTACAACGCTTTCGAAGACAACACATATGTATATATAGTGATGGAGTATGTTTGAGCATTTTGACATAATCACCCTCTCGTGGTTTTTCTGCATCATGGCGTTCATACTGATCTTTCTTTTTTCAGGTTGTGCGAGGGTGGAGAATTGCTTGACCGTATCTTATCGAAGTAAGCATCTCAAACCTCCATATCCAGCCTTTCATATAACTGCATGTATTGTACTGTATATTTTACTCCATCGGGACAATTTTGGTGACAGAAAACTAATATCTTTTAACAGAAAGGAAAGCCGTTACACGGAAAAAGATGCTGCTATTGTTGTTAGGCAGATGCTAAAAGTTGCAGCCGAGTGCCATTTGCACGGTTTTGTACACCGAGACATGAAGCCGGAGGTAAGTGCAAAATCGTTGTAATATTTTGTCGAATCCCTTTTCTCATTGGTGTTCTAAAAATTGCTTCTTTCCTCAGAATTTTCTATTTAAGTCTACAAAAGAGGATTCACCGCTGAAGGCGACAGATTTTGGCCTTTCTGACATCATACGGCCAGGTATCCATTTTTAACACACTCAATTAGTCTGGTACTAATGTTTCTCCATTTTTATAACAAACACTTTTTCTTTTTATCGATCAGGAAAGAGATTTCAAGACATTGTCGGGAGTGCATATTATGTTGCTCCGGAGGTCTTGAAGCGTAAATCCGGTCCCGAATCAGACGTATGGAGCATTGGTGTCATTACTTACATTTTACTTTGTGGTCGGCGGCCTTTCTGGGACAAAACTGAAGACGGTATATTTAAAGAGGTGGGATCTAAGATTACTTTCGATAGTTTTCTCAATCTGCCTATATTAAATTGAATTTACTCTATATATGTATGTAATAATTTGGTTTTACTAATTGTTATCGATGATGTCTACAGGTTCTCAGGAGCAAACCTGACTTTCGGCGCAAACCCTGGTCAGGAATAAGCAATGCTGCTAAAGATTTTGTAAGGAAGTTGCTCGTGAAAAATCCTCGTGCAAGACTTACAGCCGCCCAGGCCTTATGTATGTCTATTCTTCTTATTACCATTACCGACAGATTTATAATAGTATTGATCATCAAAATGATCACACTAATTGTCGATTGATTCAGCTAATTATCAATAAATTTCATGAGAAAATAAATATTAAAAACAACTTATGTGATATTGCCTTGTCCAGCACATCCATGGGTTCGGGAAGGAGGAGAAGCCTCGGAGATTCCTCTAGACATCTCTGTTCTATCCAACATGAGGCAATTTGTGAAGTATAGTCGATTTAAACAGTTCGCTCTTCGGGTAACACTTTTTGTTTCTATGTTAGTGAAATTCTTATCGGCTCTCTCCCTCCATAAAAATTGTTGGATATTGAAATTTATATATTCCAGGCATTAGCGAGCACGCTTGATGACGAGGAGCTTGCTGATCTTCGAGATCAGTTCGATGCTATCGATGTGGATAAAAATGGTGTCATAAGTCTCGAGGAAATGCGACAGGTTTGTAACAGTCGTGCGATTGTTATATCTCGATTTTTCCATTCCACCCATTGTTCATTCACACACGTTTGTTTCCGAGCTTAGGCCATGGAGAAGGATCTTCCGTGGAAAATGAAGGACTCCCGAGTTCTTGAAATCCTTCAAGCGGTATGTTCGTGTTTTCGGAAAATTTCGTGATCTTTTACCCGAATTCCTACCTCGAATGCTATCTCGATCGAATGTGAGATGGATTTCTAATGAATCTCATCTATTTTTGTAGATTGATAGCAACACCGACGGGCTCGTCGACTTTCCAGAGTTCGTTGCAGCAACTCTACATGTCCACCAATTGGAAGAGCACAACTCCGAAAAATGGCAGCAGCGATCGCAGGCTGCTTTCGAAAAATTCGATGTCGACAGAGACGGATTCATAACCCCCGAAGAACTTAAAATGGTACGCATAAAATCGCAACACTCTCATATAAACAGCATATGTACGGATCGAATGATAGATACGACAAATTTTGTATTCGTCTGCAGCACACTGGTCTGAAGGGCTCGATCGACCCACTTCTCGAAGAAGCGGATATCGACAAAGATGGGAGAATCAGCTTACCCGAATTCCGTAGACTCTTGAGAACAGCCAGCATGGGTTCCCATGTGAATAGTCCTCGAATTCGAGGACCTCCGAAGAAGATGTAACTTCACGATAGCGATAATGTAACGGCGTGCGAGAATTCTCAGGTATTGTATTTCCGTGAGCTTGTGTTCGTTCTTGTACGCTCTGTGAATCCCCGTGAAGGGTTGTTGTAGGGAGTCGGGTTGCTAAGCGCCTGTTGTGCCGTCGTTATTGAAACATGGAGTGAGTACGAAACGACGCTGTAAATTCCGTGGGGGTGGGTCGTAGATCGTGCCCTTTACAATATGTTCGACACGTTTATTGTCAGCAATGAGAGAGACTGTTGTCGAGACATTCGACAAATATCGTGTGGATATACTGTATATGTTATTTTCGACGAGAAGATTGGAGACGAAGAGGCTATCGGGTCGGTTCTCCGATCGAAGCCGACGATGTAAAGTTGGTCGGCATGTCGTCGTCCGTCGTCTTCTTCCTCGTCTGGTATTATGGAAGAGAGCTGAAATTCTTGCCATGGAAGTTCGCAGTTTTCCTCGTCTTTGTTTGTTGGGAAGCATTTGTTGAGGACTATAGGAGCTTCGGATATGGAGTTCTTATGACTACTGGAAATGATCTAACTAAAAATGAAACCAGATTTTCAAATAATAATACTAATAATAATAATAATAATAATAATAATAATATCTCAACATTAAAAAGCAGATAAAATATGCAAATATCATATCAAATATACTTTTTTGTCACAGAAAATTCACATCAAATACTAATTCTTTATTTTTTAAAAAATTTTCAAAACTCCAAACACACCGATTCAGTCCACTTAAAGAAGTAAATACTTACCCATCCTGTTTTTTTCATTTACAAAAACATAGGTGTATTCATTTTGTAGTTTTTAAATATACATGTATTTTCATATAAGATATAAAAATTATTTTGATAATATAGAAATTAATATTTCTATGTTCACGAAACATGAGTTCTTTGAGCTGATACAATTTTTAATGAATATAAGACTGTTTATCAAAATTTGTTACTATTTTTTTATTAACTAAATTTATAAAAAGTACTAAACATCTCAATTCACTAGTAATTTTATCATTTTTATTTAGTCAAATATTAATAATTGACGTTATTTTTTGTATTTATAATATTATATTTTCATTAATAATTTAATAAATTTTTCGTAATATTTTCTCCGTTTTGAATTGTGTTTGAAGAGACAAAATCATAGTTTTCACAATTTAAATAGAAAACTTTTCTTGGTCTTGTAAACTGAATAGATAATCGATCATGAAAAAATGACAGCACCCACACAAAAAAAAAAAAAAAGAAAAAAAAGCCAAACCACTGATCCTCTGAAGAGGAGAATGAAGATAGTGACGTACAACGTGAACGGGCTCCGGCCGCGAGTCTCGCAGTTCGGCTCCCTTCGCAAGTTGCTCGATTCTTTTGATGCCGATATCATCTGCTTTCAGGTTCTCCCGTTATCGTTTCTAGAAGTTAGGGTTTACTGTTTCCGTCCCCTCGCTCTACAATTATTTGCTTATCAATGTCGTTGATTTGTTGTCCAGGAGACGAAGTTGTCGCGGCAAGAATTGAGGGCGGATTTGGTGCAGGCCGAGGGATACGAGTCATTTTTCTCTTGCACTCGAACTTCTGAGAAGGGGCGAACAGGATATTCTGGTGCGTTACCGCTACTTCAATATTTTTGGTGTACGAAATGGTGTTTTTGTTCTGCTTTGACCTTTTTTTTTTCTTCGTATATGTAATATGGTGTACTTGATGATTTTCAATCTTTGTGCTTGACGGGGATTTGTTTGGATTTGCATTGAAGTATCTTTATTCCTTGTAAAGAATTTAGCATGTTGTATGAGCTTAATAAATATGTATATATATATAGTCTTTTTTTCCTTAGGGGAGCAATTACTGATTTCAGTTAATAGGTTTAAGATTAATTTCAAGTCTGAAATCTTTTATTGGTCTATCTTGAAATGTAGATATAGCTACTTATTTCCGTGTTTTTAATAAGGTGTGGCAACATTTTGCCGGGTAAAGTCTGCGTTTGCAAGCGAGGAAGTTGCTTTGCCAGTTTCTGCAGAAGAAGGTTTTACTGGTGTTTATTCTAGGACCAGTGAATATCAGCCAATAAAAGAAGGGCTGGGAGATTTTTCCATTGATGATCTGCTGAAAATTGATGGTGAAGGACGTTGTATAATAACCGACCACGAACATTTTGGTTAGTTCCGTTATGCTTGTAGTTAAATTCTGAATGAAAAATCTTATGCGAAGGCATTTTTCTATGCATATGTTGTTTTTCAGAAACTTGCAAATATACAAAACTTGCTTTCTTCATGGTTTTAAAATTTCACTCTGAGCTCTGCATTTTGTGTTACTAAATTGCCATTTTCTTTTCTTTTACAGTTCTTTTCAATGTGTATGGGCCTAGGGCTGAATGTACTGATGCAGAAAGGATACAATTTAAGTCCAAGTTTTTCAACGTCCTCCAGGTGATTCATTTGTGATTGGTCCTTGTGCATGTAGATTGTCTATGTTGAATATGAGAATGAGAATAGCTCGGGGACACTGCTTTATTAATTTTTGTAAATGAATGTGTTCCACCTTAGTTTTAAATTAAATGAAAACGAAGTTAGATTTCCTGGTGTTTTGGTGTTTCTGACAACTAGCAAGTATGCTATATAGATTCATATTTTATTTTATTATTTCTTTTTCAATTAAAGAGTGCTCAGAAGCTCATGTTTCCCTGCCTTTAGTGGATTAGTAAAACTAAAACTAAAATTCCCTCTCCATTCCAATTTAATTGCTAATCTTTGTTCCTGTGCAGTTTTTTACGTCGTATAATTTGGTAGTTCTTTATTTTTAACAATGTTGTCCCTACTTTTTATTTAAAATAGTTTTTATAAATTGTATTTAGAAGAGTAAAATAAGAAAAATTGTAAAATTTTGGGACACCCCAATTTAGAAATAATAGCAAAGATTTAAGACATACGGCCTGACTTCCCAAGGTCTTTTCCAGCATGGTGTACAACACGTGGGATGGGCAGTTACACCACCATATGGGCCTCTCACCATGTATTCAAGCTCCATTTTTATTCTCTAGTCAGCTTCGGCTTCCTTGATTTGTTCCAGTCAGATTTTTGTGTGTTACTATACTATGCTAGCATGCTTAGTTTTGTGTCAGGAAATAGCTTGGGCAGCCCACTTTCTCAAAAATAATTCAAGTAGGTAATGTCTGCCAAGCCAATTTCTATTCTTCCTAGACCAGCAGTTCTACTATGTTTATGACTGACTTCAGCAAAAGCATATGAGCCAGCAGGATTCCAGTTTTCTCAAATGAGCAAGATGAAACAAGATTATTGCTCACACATCAGCGAAATTACACCAAATCTTACAATTAAATCCAGATTGAATTGGGTTGACCCAATCTCCATTTAAGATTTGATGTCTGAATTCACCAATAGCTATATTCTCCAACTTCTTTGGCCCTATTCCAGTCCGATTCAGCTACTTCAATAATGTCTTCTGTAATTCATTTTTTTTTTTGTACTAATTAGGTTACCTTTATACTCCATCCACTGTATACTCATCTTTAGCAAAAACATGATTGGTGGTCTGACCACAATGATTGAATGTCATACCTGCCTAGCAACATTGTGTTCTCTCCTTTTGACTTCTAGAAAAACTTCAATTAAAAATTGTTTGGGCAGGATTTTCAGTAATGGATGACGTAGATATGTCAATATCAAAGTTCCTATGAAGTGCATTTGATAAGATAAAAAAAATTTGGTAGCTAACAAATAATTTTTATTGGAGCCAAGGAAATGGCCAAGTCCAGACTGATAACATGGGTTTCTTTCCATCCCGTAATTTACTAGAGTTCATGCATTGCTATTTCCTTACATATTCATTAAGCAATCGAAGAGTCAACTTCCATATATTATTAGTGTGGAAGAATTATGATTGTTGTCCCATATACCACCCTCAATACCTCCAAAATCAACTGTGCTAAGCAAATTTAGAACTTCCTCATTAGTTGAGACTTGCTGTTCAATTCTTGGATTTAACAAACTGTTTATTTAATTACAGTTGGCCCGTGAACTGAATGATCATTGAGTAATATCGGCAATTTTGTTTTAGAAAAGGTGGGAGTCTCTTCTAGATCAAGGAAGAAGGATATTTGTTGTTGGGGATCTTAACATTGCTCCTTCTGCAATTGACCGTTGTGATGCTGCTCCTGATTTTGAGAAAAATGAGTGAGTTCCTGATTAATTTATAGTTTCTGCCATTGGGATGAGATTTGACAACACTATACATGAAAATAGATATTAAGATATGATTCGTTATTAGCTTTCATCCATGCAGGTTTAGAACTTGGTTTAGATCTTTGCTGGTTAGAAATGGAGGTTCATTCTGTGATGTATTCCGAGAAAACCATCCAGAGAGGTTCTACAGCTTCTTGACTTTGTATTTATAGCTTAATGTAGAAGTGTTACTCCTGTTCTGATATTTATGCTTTGAAATTTATACTATGGTATTACTTTTTACTTACTCGACTTGTTTGTGTTCTTTATTTATATCCACTACTAGGAGGGATGCATACACTTGTTGGCCAACAAATTCTGGTGCAGAAGTTTTCAACTTCGGGTCACGTATTGACCACATTCTTTGTGCTGGTCCATGTTTACATAAAGAGGAAAATCAAGGGCATACCCTGTTGAATTGCCACGTTAAAGAGTGTGACATATTAGAGCAGTTTAAACGTTGGAAACCTGGTAATGCTCCTAGGTGAGAGAAGGAATTGTGATCCCATTCTTGCATTAAGATGGTTTTTGTTTTCAATTAGCTAGAGTTGATTGCATTAGTCACTGCAGTTTCTTTTTTCATTTACTGAATTCTAAGCATAAATTCATGTTTCCATGTATTCTGAGTTGATTGCTCTCTTCTATTCTGATTCTAGACATAAAGACACTAAGGCAAGGCATGTCAAATTGGAGGGTTCAGATCATGCTCCTGTTTGTATGAGCTTGACGGGGATCCCCGATATTCAACAACACAACCCTCCTTCTCTGTCAACTCGGTATTGTCTCCAGGTTTATGGATGTCAGCAGACACTAGGTACGGATTTACCATTCCTGTTTTTTAATATACAAGTTTAGGATAAATCTACAGTGACTGTAGCATGGATTTTTTCCTTAAAAAACAAATTGAACTTCCATGTAGCAGTCCATTTTTTGGCAGCAGCATATCTTGTGTCCATGATACCAAAGTAAATGTTGATCTCTGGTTCTTCAAAGAGATTTGAAATAGTTAATTTAAGCAGTTTGTACCTGTATAGGGTATTTGTATATCTATTTTTGGAACTCATGGTTATAGTTAGTGGCGGATTTAGGATTTGAATTTGGTGGGTCGATAATTAAATTAATTTATCAAATTAAAATTAAAATAAATAATTACATCAACAAAAAGTTACATTAAAAAGAAATACGAAAAATCAAATTAACAATCACTAATACATCAAAATAACTATAAGTATTCACGACGAGATCTTATATTTTGGTATCAGTCTATATTAACTTCCATAAACATAGCTCTTTCTAAAAAGTAACGGAACAATCTTTCAATAATTAATCTCTAAAGCTATTATGTAATTTGTAATTTATGATAGTTGTCGAATATAATCTTTCTACTATTACAATTGCTATAAATAGAAGTTTCGTAGAAGATGTCTTTTTTTTTTTTTTTTTTTTTTTTGTCTCAACAAATTTTATATAAAGTTTATTTAGACTTTTTAAATTCCAAAATATCTCAAACATCAATAATAAAATTATCTAATAATAATTCGAAAATCATCAATTTTGCTTTTGAAACCTCTGTTAGGATACAATTTTGCAAGTAGATGTTATCTCTTTTTATTAAAAGAGAAAAATCAATTAGAAAAAGAAAAAAAAAAAACAAGATATCAATAATTCATTTGGTGGGTCTTGCAGAATACTGCAATCAAATAAAAATAAAACTAATACTTAAGGGTGAATTCGTAATTTTAGTGATAATTAATATTATTTTATTTTAGTTTTTATGGTGGGTCAATTGACCCACCTTGCCTAAGATTGCATCCGCCCATGGTTATAGTAGTGGTTCTTGACTCTTTTACCTTTTTTTTTTTTTTTTTTTTTTTTTGTGTGTGCATTTTGTACCTCGAAATCTTATTGTTTCCTGCAAGATCTTTTATATTCAGGCTCGGATTCTGTGGGATTAAAATTTCTGAAATTATCACCATAATTATGGTTCTTACATCCTCTAATATTACAAAGCTGTTTGCTAGAAGTTGACGCCCATTTAGGCTCTCTATGTTATCAACTGTTAGCTTCCATGTTTATATTTTAGTTCAATAACATATGCATATGGAGGATAATAGGGATTTGCCTCTATTTCATGAATAAAGCAATTCACTGTCTCTATGCTCCCGGGTAATATGCATAATAAGAATAAAGCCTCTGTATTGTTGTATTGTAGGGATAGATTTTAGTTGATGTGTTCTTGCTACTGCTCCTTAAAACTGCTTTATGATTTGCAGTGTCCATGCTTGCTAGAAGGCAATCTGATGAAGACGTCAATTTTTCTGGAGAATCCAATTCGCACAAGGAAGATGCTGGTGCTGTTCAAAGATGCATTCAGCTCCCCAAAAGACCCCTTGAAACTTCTAGTCCTTCATCAGACTTACTTAGTCAGGGTGGCTTTTGCTCATTGGATGAATGTTCTCAAGAGTATAAAGACTCATCTTCAGATTCTCCTCACCATGAAATTGATCACACTAAATCCTTGTCTTTAGTAGTTTTCAAAAAGCAAGCAAGAGAAACACAGATGACTCAGCTCTCGCTCAAATCTTTTTTCCAGAAAAGATCAGGCATTAGTGGCAATTCAATGAACTTTCGTGCTGACAAGTCTACTCAGGCAGATATCTCCACTCCCGACTGCGAATCAAATGAAATTCCATCTGAAAGCGTTGAACAAAGTGCTACAAATGAGTGTCAGTCTAAACAAAGTGCCTCAGGCCAGGAAGAGGAGATACATCAACCATCAAGAAGAGAAAAGAATGATGTGGCATTAGCTGAATGGCAAAGGATTCAGCAACATATGCAAACCAGCATTCCACTCTGCAAGGGCCACAAAGAACCTTGTGTATCTCGAGTAGTGAAGAAATCTGGTCAGAATTCAGGGCGCCGATTTTATGTCTGTGCGCGTGCTGAGGTATTCTGGTACAGTTTCTTTATTGATATATACTGCACATCTGAAAAACCTCAAACATTATTCACTTTTTAGAAACTTTCTGGCGTTAATCTATATGTCAACCTCATGATCTGCAGTTCTGCTAGCTTCTATATCTTACTTAGATTCTTTCCCAATTTCATGTTGATAGTCTGGTTTTTCTGTTAGTCACCTATCTTCAAAAGCCGTGCATTTCCTGTACCAATTACCAAAGCACTTATATGTTTATTCTCATTTTGCTTCATACCAATTCTTTGTAACTTTGTTTTGTGACAAAAAGGTGCTTAGGAATCTGAAAAGCATTCAAAGATGGAAATTTTTGGGAGAGAACTAGTTTGATGCATATTGTGATACAAAAGATGTACATGGTACTTAACAAGAACACTTGTGTCTCAGGGACCTGCTTCCAATCCTGAAGCGAACTGTGGTTTTTTCAAATGGGCTTCCATGGGTACAAAGAACAAAAGATGATTTTGATGGGCAATGAACCACAACGATTTTGTAACAATTCAATTATTGAGGTTGAAAAGTAAAGTCATCTGATGTATATCTATCAGCTTTGTGAACTCTGCCAGTCGTAAGGAGGTATCAATTTCATTTTAGCACTTCACTTCAGCATTTTTTTGGGCTCGTCTGGTTATCAATGGTTTGACTCAAGTCTATGATTAGGATTATATTGATACTTTCTCCTCCGTGGCCAAGATGTCATCTTTGCTTGTTCATTTCTTTTGTTACTATTCGGGATTGGCCTATTTATAGTTTTGATATTAAGAATGATTCCCTCCATGGTAATCTTCAAGAGGATTTTGTTCCTCCATATTCTGAGATAAATGAATAGTAGTAGAAGGATCAGGCGTAGGGCTTTGGTGTAAATGGGAAGCACCAAAAGTCAGTAGTAATATTCAATAATTTTAGTAAGAGTTGGCTGAGCGTAGTTAGTTTAGAGTTCTTGTTTTGTTCATATAGCGAATAATCCGCAGGACATCACTGCTATAGCTATTCAAAAATGGCTTCATTGATGAGGCATTGCCCCAATTATTAGGAACCCACCAATGCTTATATATATAATACATTAGGGTAAAGTATATCATATTATATATACACTTTTGTGTTTTTAGAGACATGCAAAAAAACATTCTATGTTATATTTATTGTATATCAAAATAAAATAAAATATGGGACTGTTATTTGGATGTCTTGTATAAAGTGTTTTGAAGCTTTTGTAATGTAATATTTTAGGAACCACATGCTTAATATTCATAATAAATAAAATAAAAATAAAATAAAGTAGATACTGCCTACGGCTATTTTTCTCTAATTTCTTAAAGAATTTAGAATGTGTGTTTATCTTCAAGGCCATTGTCTAATCGGCACATGAAGAGGTAATCTATGCAAATTTATTTTTAATATAATGAGAACATATTTGTGTATTTTTGATAAAATATATGAACACAATTATGTTGCTTATCTTAAGCATATGTTTAGGGAAGAATAACTACTGTATTAGTACATGTGCAATTTATTAATCGATGTAAAACAAACTTATAGTTTGAAATATTATATTATAGATCCACTTACAATTCTTTTTTCACCATCTCCATTTGGACCTCTTCTTCTTGGTCCCCAACACCTCCAAAAACAGCTTCATCACATCTTTCAATTCCGACCCATCACTATCATCACTCAAATTGAATACATTTTTTTATTCATAATTTTGGGGTGCAAAAAGCTCCATATAAAATTTCAAATCTTATAAGTTTTAAATGCACTCCACTGATAAAAGATTTATTTGGAGGAAGTCCAAAAATAAATCTGCACAGACTTATCCAAAACATACAGTATTTATATTTGATGGGTGTGTTTGTCTGACACCAAAATTTTCTATACTATAATATAATACAATACAATACAATACAATACAGACATATCCAATATTCAATCATAAATATTAATTCTTATATTATTGTTTATATATATATATATGTGGTATAAAGAAACAACTAAACATTTCCTCCGTTCAAAAAAGAGTTGTTTTGTTTTTTCATTTTCGTCCGTCCTAAAACAATTATTTTGTTTCTTTATTTAGCACCAGTTGTCCTCACTTTGTATCAAAATTATTTATACTTTTTCAAACTACTCTTAATTAGTATTCTAACTTATTTTTTAAAATCCTTTAAAAAATAAGAGCATTTTAGTCTTTTATATTATACTTTATACCCACTCTGAATGTTAAGAAAGGATCCGGGCATCCAACCTAAAACCAATTGGTAATAGGCGGAGTGGCCCTTCACATATACTCAACACTTCTCCCTCGAGATGATAATCTCGAAAATCCATACAGGATCCAAACCCAATACAGGCACCATGGCTCTGATACCATGTTAAGATACTATCATTCCTTAATTCCCGTACTAACACCCAATAAGACGCGACTTCTAAATACTATATAAATACTAAGTGAACATTCTAAATGTTTCCTATAAATAATATTGAGAAACTCATTTGGAAAAGTACTTGTTAAAAATATTTGAATATGTTTTACTTAATCGCCAATAAATCACGCCCCTAATTATCATTAGTGCTTTCACTAATGATCTCAAATTTATCCATGATAATTCTACTTCTATATAAATCTTTGAAAGTTTATCAGTAACTTTATTAATAAAAACATAATATATTATACAACTATTTCTTGCCATTGTTATCTTAAACTAAAATTAAAGATTATTATTATCTTTAACATTCATCGATTCAATTTATTTCTAATAATAATTATTATTATTATTATAAATTATTATTATTATTATATGGGTGTAGGAAGACGTGCCCAAAATTAGCCAGCCAGCCAAGTAGTGAAGCTCATTAAGCTGGCTGATTAGTGACTGACTACTGCACTGCCTGTTGTATATATGCTGGCACTACCAGTACCAGTGGCTCCACCTACTTATTAATTTAATTTAATAATAAAATTAATTATTTTTTACCTAATTAATTAATTAATAATACCAGTTTCCTTGCTTTATGGCACTCATTTGATTAGCTGTCTGTCCCCTCTCCCAGATTTATGTCAAAACCCCGTTTTAATCCATTCAGTTTATAAAATTATTTCAATGCTTGTTATAATAATTAACATATATGATTAGTAATAGTAAGCAACAAATCTCATTTAATTTGCAAAATTAATGACGTTTTAATATTTATTTGGTCTGTAAGTTTTATTTATGAAATGGAAAACCGCGTTTGACGATGCGCCGTCTTCTGCCATTTTTGCAATTTTTTTATTTATTCGAAAACCTCTCTACTCAGTCGTTTCGTTTTCTTCTTCTTCTTCTTCACTGATGCGTTAGAATTAGTAAACGGCGGACGGATTCAACGTTTCTCATTCATATAAATCCCCAAATCGAGATCGTCTAGGGTTCGAATTTCTGCGGATCTCGTCTGCGCCGGTGGCCGGAGAAGTGATCGGCGGTCAGGATGGGGGATTTGGTGAAGCAGATCTTGGCGGTGCCGATTCAGTTAACGGATCAGGTTATCAAGGCGGCGGACGAAGCCGCCACGTTCAAGCCGGAATGTTTGGACCTCAAATTGAAGACGGATAAGCTCGCGGCGCTGCTCCGCCAGGCGGCGCGTGCGAGCAACGACCTCTACGAGCGGCCGGCCCGCCGGATAATCGACGACACGGAGCAGGTCCTCGAGAAAGCTCTGGCGCTTGCCCTAAAGTGCCGCGGCCATGGAATCATGAAGCGCGTCTTCACCATCATCCCCGCCGCCGCCTTCCGGAAAATGTTCTCGCAGCTCGAGAACTCCATCGGCGACGTCTCCTGGCTCCTCCGCGTCTCCGCCTCCGCCGAAGACCGCGACGACGGCTACCTCGGTCTTCCCCCAATCGCCGCCAACGAGCCGATCCTCTGCTTAATTTGGGAGCAGATCGCCATTCTCTACACCGGCTCCGTCGACGACCGCCCCGACGCCGCCGCCTCTCTCGTCTCCCTCGCCCGCGACAACGACCGGTACGGAAAACTGATAATCGAAGAAGGCGGCGTCGGTCCATTGCTGAAATTGCTGAAGGAAGGTAAATTAGAAGGTCAGGAACACGCCGCCACAGCCATCGGATTGCTCGGCAGAGATCCGGAAAGCGTCGACCACATGATCCACGCCGGCGTCTGCTCCGTCTTCGCCAAAATCCTCAAAGAAGCTCCGATGAAGGTCCAGGCCGTCGTCGCCTGGGCGGTGTCGGAGCTCGCCTGCCATCAACCGCACTGCCAGGACACCTTCGCGCAGCACAACATCATCCGTCTCCTCGTCAGCCATTTAGCCTTCGAAACAGTTCAGGAGCACAGCAAATACGCCGTCGTCAGCAAGGCCACCACAATGCACGCCGCCGTCGTCCTCGCCAGCACCACCAACACCGCCGAAAACTCGATTCCGGCCAACGATTTGGACGACGAGAGAACGCACGTGGTTCCGCATCCTCTGGAGAACAACCATCCAAACAAACTGCACAACGTCGTCACCAGCACGATGGCGATGAAGGGCACCCCTGCCGTTAAAAACCTCGCCAAGACAAACGCTGCCGGGAAGGCGAATCCGGCGAATCATCAGCAGAGTATTTCGTTGTCCTCGAACAATCGAGCGAGAGAGCAGGAGGATCCGGAGACTAAAGCGTATATAAAAGCAATGTCGGCTCGCGCCCTTTGGCACCTCGCGAAAGGGAATTCTCCGATTTGCCGGAGCATCACGGAGTCGAGGGCGCTGCTATGCTTCGCGGTGCTTCTCGAGAAAGGCGAAGCGGAAGTTCAATACAATTCAGCCATGGCATTGATGGAAATCACAGCAGTCGCAGAGGGAGACGCCGAGCTGCGACGATCGGCGTTCAAACCAAATTCCCCGGCGTGCAAAGCCGTGGTGGATCAGCTGTTCCGGATTGTGGAGAAGGCGGATTCGGGTTCGGACCTACTCATCCCATGTGTAAAGGCGATCGGTAATCTTGCGAGGACTTTCAAGGCTACGGAGACAAGGATGATAAGCCCTTTGGTGAAGCTGCTGGACGAAAGGGAACCCGAGATTACTAGGGAAGCCTGCGTATCCCTGACGAAGTTCGCGTACACAGAGAACTATCTCCACGTGGATCATTCGAAGGCGATTGTGGGAGTCGGAGGGGCGAAGCATCTTGTGCAGCTGGCGTACTTCGGAGAGCAGACAGTGCAGGTTCCGGCGCTGATTCTGCTGTGTTACATTGCGATGCATATTCCAGACAGCGAGGAATTGGCTCAGGCGCAGGTGCTGACGGTGCTGGAATGGGCGACGAAACAGGCGGCGTTGATGCAGATCGGGGAACTGGATAATCTGCTGCCGGATGCTAAGGCGAAATTGGAGCTGTACCAATCGAGAGGATCGAGAGGATTTCGTTGAGCTGAGGTGCAGGTGCATGAATGAGCGGGTTAGTATTTGATTTATTGAATCGAATTTGATTATATGAATCTATGGTATGGTTTATAGTTTGTTCATTTGTTGATTAATTTTGGTTTGTTCCAACTGTGTATATAAAAATTATGATGATTATTATATGATGAAGGAAGGATATGATATGATATTGATATGATGTGAAAAGATTAATCTGCAAGGAGGAATGTTGATGATGCAATGGATAAACCAGTTGTAATTTGTATGTTGGGTAGTATATTATGACAAGAACTCACCTGGGGTGTGGGGTGTGTTCACAGATTTTTTTTTTTTGACGGGAAATCCGCAGCGCCCATTGGATAAACTTCCGGTCGACCTAATACTTCCGGTCGACCTAATAGCTAGATCCAATAAAGAAGTCATATTAGGTTAAACGAATCATGTGTAGCAGATGGATTTAAAGCGTCGGGATTTATAATAATCTGTATATATCATCGTAACTCAGGCCGGAAATGTACATTTAGAAAGCTCTGTGAGTCGGGAAGATATCTGTAGAATTTTGAATTAGTTTTCCTCCTTGAGATGCTTGATTGTGCTGAAGAGATTCAGCTTTAACTCTAGCATTTTGCACTTACAATTTCCATATTTCATAGGTGTATCAATTCTATAATACTATTCAAAGGTTTTTTTAGATGGGTTTTTTTTTTTTCAAAAAAATTAAAATTATTTCCGTTCGTAACGATGTTTGTTATAAAAAACATTTTTATTTTTAGTAAAAAATATACTCTCTCTTTCTCACTTATCGTGTCCACTTTTTCATTTTTATTCATTTATACACTTTAATCTTATTTTAAAAATTTTAATTTTAATATTTTTTAATTTTAATTATATTAATTAGGTATCTTAATATTAATTTAAAATTATTTTTACTATTATATTTTTAATTATTTACTAATAAATTCTCGTGTGTACATTAAAGGGATAACATTGGAACGGAGGAAGTATTATTTTTGTAATTTTCTATTCTAAAAACAAAAAAAAAATAATAATATTTGATAAAAAATTGAATTGAGGTAGAATCTCTTCGCAAAACTTATACACTTCGGTTGTGCCTACTATTTTTCAAGATAAAAGGACGTATCGCCTTTAGATTATGTAGCAATTCAATATTTTAGAGGCTCAACGAATTAAAATGAGGAGAGTTGAACTATGTCAAATTGGTTGAATGATAGGAGAATTACCGGAAAGTTTAACCGGACAATTAGTTGAAAACCTTGCCAGAGAAGAAAATATTAGAGAGGGAGACAGAGAGCTTGGTGTTTGAAGAATCGGGGTGGAGAGGCCTGCCTATTATGTTGACTGTTAGTTTACAATATGTTACTAGCATGCTATTAATTTTTTTTATTCAATATTGTAACTACAGTTAAAAGATTCATACTTAAATTGATAGTTTATTATTATTATTTTGTTATTCTTTTAAAAAAATTAGACAAATTTTCGATTTATAATATTATGTATTATTTCACTCTTATTGGATGTCCCAAAGGGACACTTAAATTGGTGGTTAATTGGTCGCTAAATCTCCAATTCAAATTCTACAGTGTATATTGTTCGAATATTTGCGAAAAATAAAAATAGTATATTTATAAAAAAAAAAAAGAATTTCAGTGTGCATATATATATATATATAGACATATATACGTGGGTCATAAATGACAATATATATAAAATATGCTAACACCCTTCAAATTCAAGGTGATAAAGTATAAACCAATTTGAGTTTGCTCAACAATGTGAAGAACCGTGCTGGGAAGAGGGACTTAGTGAAGATATCCGCAGTCTGATCATCGGAAGAGACAGAAGATAGATGAACAGTGCCAACACGAACATGCTGACGAACAAAGTGACAATCAATCTCAATATGCTTGGTGCACTCGTGAAAGACATCATTTTGGGAGATCTGAATTGCGCTCGTGTTGTCACAGTGGAGGGAAGTGGAAGAAGGCTGAGGAACCCCGAGATCAGAAAGAAGCCGACGAAGCCAAAAGAGCTCTGAAGTCGAATCCGCAAGAACACGATACTCAAACTCTACAATGGAGCGAGAAACGAGAATTTGTTTCTTGTTGCGCCAAGAAACAAGGAAACTCCCAAGAAAAAAATAATAACCTGTGATCAGTCGGATCACCAGCCTAATCAGCATAAGAGAAACATGTAGGAACCAATGGGGAGTCAGCATAAAAATGAAGATCATGTAGGAGTGTTCCCTTGACATAACGAAGGATGCGCAACACAACATAGTGAACTGTCAGCATGAGCTATGTCAGAGCGAGTGACCGTCAAGTATATCAGGAATCCCATTAACTGCCGATAGAGGGAGGGATCCTCTAGTTGAGTGTCGTCGGAAGGAGCAAGTCAGCAGTTCCTCTCGAGAGGGGTGGATGCAATCTGACTATTGAACGAGATATGAGATCAGATGATATATGTCATCCGAAGCGTCAGAAATCTCAAGTCCGAGAAAATAGCGGAGCTGACCAAGACTTTTCATGTCAAAATGTCGATGAAGGTAGGTCTGTAGATAGGATATACCAGAAGTGTTGTCGCCGGTAATAACCATTTCATCCACATACGACAAGAGAATGATGATCCCGGCAGGAACCACGCACCCGTCTGTGTTGTTTTCTTGGGTATCAGATAGAACATAAAGGTTATTGATGTTGGATCCTTTGTCGAATCGTCTACGTATCTTTCGGGATGTTACTTTTTGGGAACATAAGTTCTTTTCCTCTGAATTTAAATTTTCCATTATCTTTGAGTCAGAGTCCACGTTCTTTGTTTTGGATACCCCTCCTCCTCCTGCAGGTCTCGAACCACCGTCCGTTCCTGCTAGTATGTTTGATGATCCTTCCCCACCAACTGACCCTCCTGCGCCTCCTGAGCCTGTGCCCGATCCTTTGGAAATTCTAGTTCCTGCTCCACTGATCGGCGACCCACCCGTGTAAGTCATCATCCCTTTCATCTACTTGATTATCATTGTTTTTTTGCCATTTTATCTCACCATGAACCCAAGACCTTTCGTGAGGCGAACTGTGATCTTCTAGAGGCAGCAACAATGGCAGAGGAAGAGCCGGAAGATAACTGACCAACCTTGGGATTCTTGGGACAATGTGAACGGATGTGGCCTTTCTAATGACAGTAGTGACACTCAACCTTAGGGCAATAGATATAAAGATGATCAGCATTCGGGAAATTGCGACATTTATCAGATTGAGGTGGCCGGGCATCCTTGCGATTATCTCTGCGATGAGGAGTAGAAGAGCGAACTGCTAAGGCCGAATCAAGGGTAGGAGCCTTGAGAATCTTGAGGCGGGTGACCTCAAACAAAATCTCCTTCATCGTTGTCTCCAAGGAAGGCAGGGGATGACGATGAAGCAAGGAAACACACACAAACTCATATTCTGGACCAAGCTTCATCAAGAGCTGAATCAACCGAAAGTGTTCAATCTGTATGTCTGTCTCATCAATGCGATCCCACATAGACTGTATAATATAGATGAACTCATTCATATCTTAGCGCGAGTCATGTGTCAGTGCATTCAATGACCCTATAAGCTGATAATAATGCATGTCTTCAGTATCCTGATATTGATGCTACAAATAATCCCAAGCTTTCTTGGCAGTGTCCATGTGGCGAAGTTGATTCTGAATGGACTTGGAAGAGGTATTCCGAATCCAAGTAAAAATAATGTGGTTCTTACTATCCCACTCATCCAAGGCATTCCGATAGTCCATGAGATCCTTATTGTTGAGGGGCGCCATAGAAATGACAACAGGAGCAACCGGTGCAGAAAAGTCGTCAGTAACATAACGCCATAATCTTTTACCAATCGAGAAACTCTTCATGGATTCAGTCCACAAATCATAATTACCAGAAAGAATAACAGTAATCCCGGAAGCGTCTACACGATCCATATTAAGAGCCATACTATGAAGCGAGAAAATCAATAATAGTATAGTGCATGCAAAAGAATCGTGCAGAAAATCAAACTGGGCAAGCCAACCCAGTAACAGTCGCAAAATAAATTCAAATCAGATGGCAAAACCGACCATACCAGGATATCAGGGATCGAAGCATGAGACGGCGGCCGGCGGCGGGGAGGCGGCGGTCGCCGGAGGGATACGATGTCGATTTGCGTCGGAGGCGCGTGCGGCTGCCAGACGTCGGCGTTTGTGGCGAAAGCAATAAGGATTAGTAGCTATGTCTATCCCAAAAAAAAAAAAAATATGCTCTGATACCATGTTTGAATATTTGCGGAAAATAGAAATTGTATATTTAGCTAAAAAAAGTGTTTCAATGTGCATATATATGTGTATGTGGGCCCCAAATAACAATATATAAAAAATATGCTAATATATATACTCTCTCCGTCCCATAACAAACTTTTCATTTTAGTATGTCCCATAACAAAATATCTATTTTTTTTAGTAATTGTATTATCTACCTAACATTACAAATACCTTTACAACTTATAATATATTATACAAATATTATTACCTTTATGTCATACCATACTAATAATATTCTTTTAATTATTTCTACTTTATTTCTACTATATTCTAATATAATATTAATATTTTAAAACTACGTAGAAAGAAACAAATGGATATCTAGTTATAGAACGTAGGAAATATATATTATATATTTTTAATAATGTGGAAATTTGTCGATGTTACTAGTTAAGTATAAATCCAACCTAATACCTTGTAAACTAAGATTTACAAGGTAAGTTACTTTGAAACACAGTTGGAACAAACCAAAATTAATCAACAAATGAACAAACTAAACCATACCATAGATTCATATAATCAAATTCAATTCAATTAATCAAATACTAACCCGATCATTCATGCATCTGCACCTCAGCTCAACGAAATCCTCTCGATCCTCTCGATTGGTACAGCTCCAATTTCGCCTTAGCATCCGGCAGCAGATTATCCAGTTCCACGATCTGCATCAACGCCGCCTGTTTCGTCGCCCATTCCAGCACCGTCAGCACCTGCGCCTGAGCCAATTCCTCGCTGTCCGGAATATGCATCGCAATGTAACACAGCAGAATCAGCGCCGGAACCTGCACTGTCTGCTCTCCGAAGTACGCCAGCTGCACAAGATGCTTCGCCCCTCCGACTCCCACAATCGCCTTCGAATGATCCACGTGGAGATAGTTCTCTGTGTACGCGAACTTCGTCAGGGATACGCAGGCTTCCCTAGTAATCTCGGGTTCCCTTTCGTCCAGCAGCTTCACCAAAGGGCTTATCATCCTTGTCTCCGTAGCCTTGAAAGTCCTCGCAAGATTACCGATCGCCTTTACGCATGGGATGAGTAGGTCCGAACCCGAATCCGCCTTCTCCACAATCCGGAACAGCTGATCCACCACGGCTTTGCACGCCGGGGAATTTGGTTTGAACGCCGATCGTCGCAGCTCGGCGTCTCCCTCTGCGACTGCTGTGATTTCCATCAATGCCATGGCTGAATTGTATTGAACTTCCGCTTCGCCTTTCTCGAGAAGCACCGCGAAGCATAGCAGCGCCCTCGACTCCGTGATGCTCCGGCAAATCGGAGAATTCCCTTTCGCGAGGTGCCAAAGGGCGCGAGCCGACATTGCTTTTATATACGCCTTAGTCTCCGGATCCTCCTGCTCTCTCGCTCGATTGTTCGAGGACAACGAAATACTCTGCTGATGATTCGCCGGATTCGCCTTCCCGGCAGCGTTTGTCTTGGCGAGGTTTTTAACGGCAGGGGTGCCCTTCATCGCCATCGTGCTGGTGACGACGTTGTGCAGTTTGTTTGGATGGTTGTTCTCCAGAGGATGCGGAACCACGTGCGTTCTCTCATCGTCCAAATCGTTGGCCGGAATCGAGTTTTCGGCGGTGTTGGTGGTGCTGGCGAGGACGACAGCGGTGTGCATTGTGGTGGCCTTGCTGACGACGGCGTATTTGCTGTGCTCCTGAACTGTTTCGAAGGCTAAATGGCTGACGAGGAGACGGATGATGTTGTGCTGCGCGAAGGTGTCCTGGCAGTGCGGTTGATGGCAGGCGAGCTCCGACACCGCCCAGGCGACGACGGCCTGGACCTTCATCGGAGCTTCTTTGAGGATTTTGGCGAAGACGGAGCAGACGCCGGCGTGGATCATGTGGTCGACGCTTTCCGGATCTCTGCCGAGCAATCCGATGGCTGTGGCGGCGTGTTCCTGACCTTCTAATTTACCTTCCTTCAGCAATTTCAGCAATGGACCGACGCCGCCTTCTTCGATTATCAGTTTTCCGTACCGGTCGTTGTCGCGGGCGAGGGAGACGAGAGAGGCGGCGGCGTCGGGGCGGTCGTCGACGGAGCCGGTGTAGAGAATGGCGATCTGCTCCCAAATTAAGCAGAGGATCGGCTCGTTGGCGGCGATTGGGGGAAGACCGAGGTAGCCGTCGTCGCGGTCTTCGGCGGAGGCGGAGACGCGGAGGAGCCAGGAGACGTCGCCGATGGAGTTCTCGAGCTGCGAGAACATTTTCCGGAAGGCGGCGGCGGGGATGATGGTGAGGACGCGCTTCATGATTCCATGGCCGCGGCACTTTAGGGCAAGCACCAGAGCTTTCTCGAGGACCTGCTCCGTGTCGTCGATTATCCGGCGGGCCGGCCGCTCGTAGAGGTCGTTGCTCGCACGCGCCGCCTGGCGGAGCAGCGCCGCGAGCTTATCCGTCTTCAATTTGAGGTCCAAACATTCCGGCTTGAACGTGGCGGCTTCGTCCGCCGCCTTGATAACCTGTTTTGTCGCCCATTCCAGCACCGTCAGCACCTGCGCCCGAGCCACCTCCTCACTGTCCGGAATATGCATCGCAATGTAACTCAGCAGAATCAGCGCCGGAACCTGCACCGTCTGCTCTCCGAAGTATGCCAGCTGCACAAGATGCTTCGCCCCTCCGACTCCCACAGTCGCCTTCGAATGATCCACGTGGAGATAGTTCTCCGTGTACGTGAACTTCGTCAGGGATACGCAGGCTTCCCTCGCAATCTCGGGTTCCCTTTTGTCCAGCAGCTTCACCAAAGGGCTTATCATCCTCGTCTCCGTAGCCTTGAAAGTCCTCGCAAGATTACCGATCGCCTTTACGCACGCAATGAGTATCTTCGAATCTGAATCTGAATCTGCCTTCTCCACAATCCGGAACAGCTGATCCACCACAGCTTTGCACGCCGAGGAATTTGGTTTGAACACTAATCGTCTCAGCTTAACATCTCCCTCTGCCACTGCAGTGATTTCCATCAATGCCATGGCCGAATTGTACTTAACTTCATCCGATCCTCTCTCCAAAAGCACCGCAAGGCATTGCAGCACACTTGACTCTGCCATGCTACGGCATATGGAAGAGTTCCGTATCACCATGTCCCAAATGGCACGACTAACCATTGCTGTTATGTAGTTAGTTGTTTCGACATCTCTCGCCATTTTAGTACCTCCATTGCTTGCTCCCAATGATAAAATTCCGGTTTCATGGCCAACATTGTTTCCCTTATTAGATATGGTATAAACACTCGGGCCTTCGCGTACAGCCTTGAGTGCTAAATTGCTGAGTATGTGAACCGACTCATGCCCTAACTCGGTTACAGCCCAAACCACAGTTCCCTGCAACTTCATTAGAGGACCTCGGAGGATTCTCACAAATGCCGGGAGTACCTTCTGTTTTACGTCATACGAATTTTCTTTACACATCAACGCAATAGCCATGACAGCATTCTCCTGTACTTCAGGTGTTCCTTCCTTCAGTAATTTCAACAATGGCTCAACCCCACAGCCTTCCTCCGCAATCAATGTTCTATAAGCATCACTTTCATTAGCCATGGAAAGTAGCGAGGCCAGAGCGTTACACTGATCTTCAAACGAACCAGTATGAAGAATGGCAATCAGCTCCCAAATAGTACAGAGAACAGGTTCATCCGCGGCAATGGGAGGGATACCTCGGTACTCATCGTCCCGGAGGAGCCAACAAATGTTGGCAATGGAGTGTTCAAGCTGGGATGAAATCTCCTGCAAGGAAGCAGAGGTTGTAGTAGCTGCAAAGACACGTCTCAGGCCTCGACCTCGACATTTCAGCACCTCGGAAAGAGCCTTGAGCAGGACGTTTTCAGTGGCGCTCATTACTCGGCGGGAAGGTTGGGCATATAGCTGGTGGTTCGCAAACAAGGCCTGTTGGAGCAGAAATACAATCCTTTCAACCTTGGATCTGATCTCCGAGCACTCCTGAGTGAATGAATCGGTGATCTGTGTAGCCCTCACGGCATTAATCGCCATTTCCAGAACCGTTAGGAATTGAGATATAACTGTAAATACCGATGAAACTAGGTTTTAAATTGGGGATACGAAATCCAAAATTGGATAATCACTCGATTACACACCAGAGAAAGAGCATAAAATTGAAATACGCAATTTAAATCGTGATTTAAATCTGGAAATTCATCCAATCATAAGAAGTCGAAAGGAAACCGCACATACCAGGCTTATCGTTCGCGGCGGATTTAAACTTGAAATTGAAAGGAGAATTGAAACGAGCTGCTGCAACGGAGCTGCTGAAACTGGTTTCTCTCGAAGAAAGAAGCGCCAGTTCGCGAAACTTCTCTCTGTGGAGCGTCGCGGCAACCAACCTCTCCCAGTTATCATAATTCCTTGACATGAGGAAATCAAATTACGAAGAGAAGCGAAAACTCAAGTCCTGTCCTGTATTAACTATGTTAAATGCTCCTGAACAGTAGCGTTGAAGTTGGAGAGTGAGAGGCAACAACAACGGCCATGGCAATAGCAGGGACATATATATAGGGCAACATTATTTGGTTTCTGTGTAACTGCATGTTCGAGGCTGCTGCAACGAACTTTCTGCGACCTATTGGATGATCGACGCCCGCCGCGTTGACGCTAAGAAGACGACTACTCCGCCCTCGATTAATATTTATCTATTTATTAACTTAATTATTATATCGATATTTATATAAATAAATATTTTAAGTTTTCATAGGAGGACAATAGAAAAATAATAAATATTTAATTTAATACTTTTCATTACATAGCAAGTATTCATTTTTTTTTTAATTTTAATTTATCTCAATAATAAAGTATTTATTTTTACAAGTATTTTTATAATTTTCAATATATTAAACAAATACTATTATTTTTATATTACACGATATTTTAATATAATACTAATACTCTTAAACTACTTAAAAAAAAATAAATGAATACATATTATAGGATGGAGGGAGGATATAAAAAGAATTGTTGAAAACAAACTGTTTTTTAAAAAACTATTTGATGCATTCTATACATTTTTTTCATTTTTGTTTGGTTAAAACAATGAATATTTTTTGTGTGTGAAAATTTATTAAGTTCAAATATATTTAATAAATATAAATTTGAATTATTATATTAAAATATAATTAAAAAAGTTATAAAAATATTTTCATTATTTTTTATAATATTAATAAAATATTTGTAAAAATAATTATACTGTATTTTTAATGTTAAGCCTTGTCCTTGAGTCAAGAAAATTGTCATTTGATTTTTGGTGTCATTGTACTTGAGATATCTAAATAATTTACTAGATAAATATTATTATATATATATGTATTATAAAAAACTAATAAATATATTTTTATTTTTTTGTTAATTTATATTAAGTATTGATATTATAATTAATATTCAAAAATATCAATCCGCATAAAGTGAATGGAAACCTTCTTGCGGGAGTACGCTTAAAAATAAATGTCTTCTTAGGTGTGGACATTGTTTTGGGACGGATTAATAAAATAAAATGACAAAAATCATTCATGCATTCATTCATCGTTTTCTTCTTCTCCGTAGCCTCAGTCGCACCATCGTATTCATGTCCACCATTTACGACAACTGGGAAAGGCTCGTCGCGGCCGCGCTCGACCGAGGGAAGCTCCGGGACCTCGCCCTCGCCTCGTCCATGAAAACCAGCTTCAGCAGCACCTCCATCTCACTCCCTTTCCATTCCCAATTTGATCCGCGCTCCACCAAGCTCCTGCAGGTTACTATATGCACTATATGATTTACGATTCTCATCAATTCATTCCATTCCATTCCCAACTTCGATTTGTCTGCCAATTGTAACCGACTTCGATTCAATTCAATCATCGAGAAATTTCGCAGTGACGACCTACTTTCTATCGGCTGCTCTGTTGCTTGGAGATCCGATCCAACGCCGAGCTGCTGCGCCAGGCGGTGCTTTCCGACCACCGGCTGTACGATTGTCCGAGACTCCACAGGCAACACTCGCTAGCTTCTCCGCGACAGCCTAATCCGCGGCGTTTCTCCCATTGCAGCCGAGGAACCAGTGCTCTGTGATATTTGGGTGCTGGCCCTGTTTGCTATACTCAACACAGGCTCTGCTGAAGATAGGTGTAGTGCTGTGGCATCACTCGTTTCTTTGGTTCACAAAAGCAATGCCTATAGGCTATATAGAGCTTTGATTATTGAGGAAGGATGTAGGATTCAGCCATTGTTGAGGTTACTCAAGGAAGGAACAGACGAAGGGCAGGAGAACGCAGTGGCGGTTATAACATTGCTTGGGAGAGAGCATCCACAAGTGATGGATGATACAGTATACTCAGCGTTTACGCGAGTCCTACTTGAAAGTTCTTCGATCAGATTGCAGGGGAGCTGTGGCATGGGCTGTGTCCGAGCTCGCTGAGCTTCTTCACGATTATGATGGGCACAAATTTGCCCTTGTGCTCAAGAATTAGGCATTCAAGACTTTACCAGGAAACAGAGGATCTTGCTGCCACTGACTACTTAAAATCGATGGCTACGAGAGCCCTTTGGCGCCTTGCTGTAACAGAAGTGGAGAGTTTCCGGATCATTGCACTGTCTTCTAAAGCATTAATGTCTTTTGTAGCATTCAAGCTCAAATTCCATTCCATGTACAAAGCAGTGGCTGATCAGCTCTTCAGGATCATCGATCATCATCGGGGAGATTCAGAAATCCTGATTACCTGTGTTCAAATTGTAGGAAATCTGGCAAGAACATTTGAGGCTACCGAGGTGAGGGTGATAGGCCCTCTAGTTAAGTTGCTTGATCGAAGGGAAGCTGAAGTTTCTTCGGCAGCTTATATCACCCTCATCAAGTTCACTCACTCTACTCTAGTAACTTTCTTGGTTGGATCTACTCTAAGGCGATTGTCGACGCTGAAGGAATGATACCCCTCGTCCAGTCTGATGTGGAGAGTGACAATTGTGCAGCCAATATCTGCTCTGATTGCTCTAAGACTTGCAGGAGTGAACCTTCTTTCAATACTGGAATCGGCATCGAATTTGGCTTCTTTAATGGAAGATGAAGATATCAGAAACCTGCTACCAAAGGCTTTAGAAGTAGCTAGCTTATGCATGTGCTAGAAACACATAATCTAATATGTGAAGTGCAGAAATGTAGATAAGCTTAAACCATCTTCATTTCCAATGTAGATAGATGTAATGTTACCCGGGAAAGGTGGTCCAAGAGGGTAAACCATGAACTTATGACCGTAAGGTCATAAATTTAAAATTATTTAATAATTACTTGATTTTGCATGTCATACATAATTCACCTGATGTAACTTACTTACAGGTCTAGTTTGCAAAATATTAAGTTCTGCCAATAGTTTATCCAAAATACACAATATACAGATGTAACAACATTTAAGAAAATGTTATTATAAAATATAGATAAAAAAAAAAAAAGAGAGAGAGAGAATAATAATATATTTATGATGGGACAATCAAATAAAATAAAATCCTTCCATTCCTTCTGGATAAAGAGAATATTAAAACTATATATATTCATATTTTAATTGTTAGATTTGATGAGTTATTTTTTTATTTATTTTTAATTTAGTTTAGTAGATGAGAATATTTTTTATTATATGTTCAATTAATATTTTAATATCAGCAACATCCATATGCTCTGATGCTTTATACCTTATCTGGTTTATAATATTCATATTATAGTTATTAGATTTCGTAAGTGCGTCATCCCCTGATTTGTTTGGAATTTAGTTATTATTAGTTTAGTTAATTTTGAGATAAACAACATCTATGTCCTCTGATGTTCAGTGCCTGATTTGATCTGTTATATTTATGTTTTAGTTGTTAGATTTCATAAGTGAGTCATCTCATGATTTTTTTGAAAATTTTAGTTATTATCACTTTGTTAATATTTTGAGGTTAGCATAACTTGTGTGCTCTGATGCTCAGTACGATTTGATATGTAATATTCATGTTTTAGTTGTTAGATTAAATAAATAAGTCATCCCTTGATGTTTTTTGGAATTTAGTTATTATCAGTTCAGTTAATATTTTGAGATCAGTAGAACCTACTTGCTCTGATGTTCATGTTTAGTACCTGATTTAATTTGTAATATTCATGTTTTAGTTGTTAGATTAAATAAATGTCATCCCCTGGAGTTTTTTGGAATTTAGTTATTATTAGTTCAGTTAATCTTTTGAGATGAGTAGAACATGTGTGCTCTGATGTTCAAATGTTTAGTACCTAATTTGATTTGTAATATTTATGTTTTAATTGTTAGATTCAAGAAGTGAGTCATCACTTTTTTTTTATTTTAATTTAGTTATTATCAGTTAGTTAATATTTTGAGATCAGCAGCACGTGTGCTCTGATGCTCAGTATCTGATTTGATCTGTAATATTCATGTTTTAGTTGTTATATTCAATAAATGAGCCATCTCCTGAATTTTTGGAGTTAAGCTGAATTGGTGAGAATATTTAATTAATATTTTGAGATCAACAGACCAGTGTGCTCTGATTGTCAGTACCTGATTTGCATGTTTAAGTCGTTAGATTTAATAAGTGGGTCATCTCCTGAATTTTTTGAATTTAGTTGAGTTAGTGAGAATATTCAATTAATATTTTGAGAACAACACCACTAGTGCGCTCTGATCCTCAGTACTCGTTCAGTATTTGATTTGATATGTAATATTCATATTTTAGTTGTTAAATTCAATAAGCTAGTTGTCTTTTGATTTTTTGAAATTTAGCTAAGTCTGAGAATATTTTTTATTATTTATGCAATTAATATTTTGAGATCAGCAAAATCCGTATTTTAATGTTTGACCTAATTTATGATCCATTATTATACTTTTTTTTATTTTTTATTGAGTACTAATTTTTTCAATAAAATGATATTTTTATGTTTTAATTGGAGTCTACTGTTGTATTTGTTTTCATAGAAAAAAATTTCTGTACAACAAAGTTCAATTGTATTGTCTGTATAATTGAAAAAGGTTATGATGTTGATAAATTATTTACTGAAAAACACTTTGAAAACTCATAAGGTGAAACTTGCAAACCAAGATAAGCAAGAGCAACTGAGCAAGCACACTATATATAATCTTAAACTCTAAATGAATTGTACAATTGAGTGAATAAGGAAAAGATAGAGGTAACACTAAACAATCTAATCATCCAAGAAGAGGGAGGGATAAGTCACACTAACAAAACTAAAATCACCATTCATCATATTCAAAACCAAGATTTGAAGACCTAGTTTGGAAAGTATTAGGTTTGCCGGAAGTTTACCTAGTGCGTACTTTCGGTTAACGGCTGCGGATTCTCATATTATACAAAATAAATAAATAAATAAAAATTCAAGATTTGAGGACCGGCCGAGGAGTCGATACAATGGTAGCGCTGATGAGGATCAGTGAGGTTGCGGAGGAGGACAACATTCGAGAGAGGACAAGTGCAGCATTCAAGTTCAAATTCCTTTCCATGTACAAAGCAGTAGCTGATCAGCTCTTCAGGATCATCAATCCTCATCGGGGAGATTAAGAAATCCTGCTAACATGTCTTCAAATTGTAGGCAATCGGGCAAGAAAATTCGAGGCTACCAAAGCGAGGATGATAGGCCCCCTAGTTAAGTTGCTTGATCGAAGGGAAGCGCCCTCATCAAGTAAACTCACTCTGGCACTTTTCTTGGTTGGATCCACTCAAAGGCAGCTATTGACGCTGAAGGCTGCTACTAAAGGCCTTCGAAGTAGCTAGCTTATGTATGTGCTAGAAACACATGATCTAATATGTGTGTGAGATGCCATATTCATTTCCAGTGTAAGTGTTACACTGTAAGAGGTGGCCTAACTTTATAGGAGTGAACTCTTGACTATGATATCATAATAGGGCAAGCATTGAATACATCAAACATGTATTTACTCAAGTTTTTGACCCAACGCTATCATGTCATCCCTTACGAGACCTGAATATGTAACAAGTATCATATCCCAGACCTGAATAAATCCTAACAATACTTCGACCCAGCCACACACAAGATAGAGACCTAACATGACTCAAAACTACATATTATATCGGATTAAATATAAATCCAGATACAACCCAAACCCAAACCCGAAAACTTTACTTGATTAACCACTCGTGCCCTGCTCGATATCCAAATAGTTGAACCAGACTTTAACTAAACAAGCTGGATCCGGGTCAGATATTGGATATACCCATTCTCATTGTCATCCCTAATCATGTCCAAATGAACACTACAAGCCAATATACTATATAGAATACAAGCTAGCAAACATCCATAGAACCTATAACCTTCGTGGTGAGAGGGGTGGCCTGTGAACAATGATATGTCAAACAAAACTACCCCACCATTTGTACTAATACTCATTCATGCAAAAAAAAAAAAAAAAAAGCAAAAAAAGATCCACACACATACAACTGAAAGGCTTAAATTGAGAGGTTTGAAGTTATGAAACATTCTAGTCAAGAACTTCTAACCTTAAAAGATGCCCACTCAAATACACCATTTTTGATCAAATTCATTTAAACATCCTCAAATAGGCCATGTTTGTAAAAGAAATTTTGAAAGAAGTTAGGTCAAAATCAAGCTGTGGAAAGTGCCTAGCAATGTGCATTTATCTGCCTATCGACATTGTGGCCGACCAGTAACAACAAACAAACCATGCCTTAAGAAAAACATAACCTGAAGATATAGTATGGCATTACCTAAAAATGTAATTATTAGAACATCTACACTTGAGAGTCACAAATGATCAAAACTTCAATTTTGATCCAAGGTAGACGCATCAAAGATGCTGAAAATCACTGTAAACAGTGAACGGGTTTCCCCAAATAAACAATTCAGACCACAGTACTTACAAACCAAAACCAATACACCTACAAGCAACTCATTTCAAACTCAGAATCACATAGGGTCAATAGAGATTTAAAAAATCCACTAGACTTCCTATCTCAAATTCCCCAATTAATCATCCTTAACAGGCATACCAGTAAAACTGAAACAGTGCCTACTTGGTTTGACACAAAAACAACAAACAATAAACTCAAAATGATTCACATATGACAGCATAATTCAAGATCACAAATAAAAGGCCACTCTTCATATCTGTATACATCACAACATACACTCCCAGCATAAAGAACCTCCATTAAAGAAGAACAATAATTCTTCCCAGAGGTGCAGAATGCAGAGCAAAGTCAGAATTATGCAAAGAGGGCACAAAACCACCACATTGTGCGCTTAAAAACAACCAATTCGATCGAATTTCAAATCACAAAACCAATAGATAGCAGCATGCCCAAAACAATTTCAACTTCAGCCAAAAACCATTATAAAAATACTATCAGTTTATCACCATCATACCATAGGTATAAAAGCTCATCCGACACGATCATCAAATCACAATCAAAGCATATTAGCTCGTCCAAAAGAAAGCATCAACAGAACCCAAAAATAAAACAGATAAACTACCAAATTCAGGCCTTCAATCACGCACGAGGCGCCTCCTTGCATTCCCTGGCGAAATGCCCAGGCTCCCCGCAGTTAAAGCATTTACCTCCACCGCCAGCACCTCCGCCAAACCTGCCAAAGCCACCACCGCCACGGCTGTAACCGTCGCCTCCACCGCCGCCACGCATACAGTCCCTCGCCATATGGCCAGGCTCCCCACAGGTGAAGCAAGCGCCACCGCCGCCACCGCCACCGCCGCCGCGGGATCCGGTAGGGCACTCCCTGGCCAGATGCCCAAATCCGCCACAGTTGTAGCATCCACCTCCATTGCTACCGCCTCCGCCGCCGCCTCCGCCGGCGTTGTTGCAATCCCTAGCCATGTGCCCGAACTCCCCGCAATTGTAGCACTCCCCGCCGCCTCCGCCGCCGCCTCCCCGATAACCGTAACCATTCCCATCGTTCCTCCGATCGCCAAATCCGTAACCACCGCCGCGGTTATTGCTGTTTCCCCCCCTCCGAGAACTCGAATCCACAGGACCGCCGCCGGGAGCGGTGACGTCAACAGCCTTCGTCTTGTCCCCATCTAGAATGATGGTGAACTCGACGGCCTGACCCTCCCGCAGCGTGCGATAGCTGTCGGATTTGATTGCCGTTTGGTGGACGAACAAATCCTCACCGCCCTCTTCGGGGCGGATGAATCCATAGCCTTTCTGATCATTGAACTTGATGACGACGCCGGTGGATCGATTCGCCTTCTCCTCCGCCATTGATGAAAATGAATCTAGAGATTTCCGAGTGACTGCGGATCACTGCAGGACTGTATCTGCCTATATATAAACACTCTGGAAGCCCTAAAAAAAATCTTTGGGAAGGTTGTTAGGTCTGCTTTTTTTTTTTTTTTTGTTATTTTATTTTATTTTTTTTTAAATTGTAATCTGAGCTGGAATGTTATTATAGTCATTTTATTATTATAATAGTATTATATTCAATTGATAATAAAATTTATCCAATACAATTAAATATTTTGCCCACGTACAAAATATTGAAAAATGATACTATAAATTTGGGACGACACTGTTATTTGTTTTACATTTTCCATTAATTTATTTTTCTATAATTATATTGAGAATATATATGTATATATTTTGTGTGTTTCTATCCTGATTTTTTTAATCTAATATAATTTTTTATGAAAAAATTGACGTGAAAAAGAAGATTAATAGTAATATATAACCTAAAATTAAAGAATTCATTATAGATATTTTTTTTATTCTATTTTTTTTATAATTTCTTATTATATAATAAAATTGTTTTGAATAAAAAATATATTTATTCTCTATGGAAAATATCGTTTAATAATTATTTCAGTTATATAAAATAAAATCACAAACATCCGTCCCTCTTTTTTAGCTTTATTTGTATTGACTATGAATTAATTTACCACATCTTATATCTTAAAATATATATACTCATCGGATATTTTATACTATTTTTTATAATTAAAATATAATTTTATTTTTAATTTCATTCAATAGATTATATAAAATAATTATATTTTTATAAAGGTTATTTTTCTCTCAAGATAAAAATGTTCATTTTCTTTTTCATCGATTTAAATATAATAATATTTCATATGTAAATATAATTGCGTTTTGTGAAAAGCCAAAAAAATAACATTTGGCTTATGATAATTTTTTAAAAATTTTATTGAATTGTATTATTATAAATATGTTGAATTTTAAGAATATTTTTATAAGAGAGATAAAAAAAATTGATATATTTATATAGAAATATCAAATAAAATAAAATTATTGTATTACATTTCTTCTCGAAGGTGAGAATATTAAATTATACATACATATATTCATATTTTAGTTATTAGATTTAACAAGTGAGTTATCTTTTTATTTTTTGGAATTTAGCTAGGTCAGTGAAAATATTTCATTATCTGTTTGGTTAATATTTTGATATAGCAGCATCCTTGTGTTCTGATGCTCGCTATCTGATTTGATATGTAATATTCATATTTTAGTTGTTAGATTCGATAAGTTAGTAATTTCTTAAGTTTTTGAAATTTAGTTGAGTATGTCATAATATTTTTCTATTATCTATTTAATTAATATTTTGAGAGTCTGTGTACTCTGATGCTCAGCACCTGATCTGATTTGTAATATTTAAATTTTAGTTATTAGATTAAATAAGTAAGTAATCTCTTAATTTTTTGGGAATTTAGTTGAGTCTGTCAAAATATTTTTTATTAACGGTTCAATTGATATTTTGAGATCAACAGCACTCATGCTCTGATGTTCAACACCTGATCAGATCTGTAATATTTATGTTTTAGTTGTTAGATCCAGCAAGTGAATAATCTCTGAGTTTTTGGAATTTAGCTGAATCTATCAGAATATTTTCTATTATACGTTCAATTAATATTTTGAGATCAGCAACATCGTGTGCTCTGATGTTCAACACCTGATCTAATTTGTTATATTCATATTTTAGTTATTAGATTCAATAAGTAAATTATCTCTTAATTTTCTGGGAATTTAGTTGAGTCAGTCAAAATAATTTTCATTAATTGTTCAATTAATATTTTGAGATCAACAGCATCCATGCTCTTATGCTCAGCTCAACACCTGATCAGATTTGTACTGTTTGTATTTTAGTTGTTAGATTCAGTAAGTGAGTGAGTAATCTCAAAGTTTTTGGAATTTAGTTGTATCTGTCAGAATATTTTCTATTATTTGTTCAATTAATATTATGAGATCAGCAACATCCGTGTGCTCTGATCTGATTTGTAATATTCATATTTTAGTTATTAGATTCAATAAGTAAGTCTGCCAAAATATTTCTTAATTAACTATTCAATTAATATTTTGAGATTAACACCCATGCTCTGATGTTCAGCACTTCATAAGATTTGTAATATTTATGTTTTAGTTGTTAAATTCAGTAAGTGAGTAATCTTTGAGTTTTTTAAATTTAGTTGAATCTGTCGAAATATTTTTTATTATCTGTTCAATTAATATTTTGAGATCGGCAGGACCAATGTGCTCCAATGCTCAACACCTAATCTGATTTGTAATATTCATGTATAATTTATTAGATTCAGTAAGTAAGTCATCTTTTAATTCTTTGGAAATTTAGTTGAGTTTATCAAAATAATTTTCATTAACGGTTCAATTAATATTTTGAGATCAACGGCACCCATCAGATCTGTAATGTTTATGTTTTAGTTGTTAGATTTACTAAGTGAGTAATCTCTAAGTTTTTGGAATTTAGCTGAATCAGTAATAATATTTTTTATTATGTATTCAATTAATATTTTGAGATCAGCAACATCCATGTGCTCTAAGTTTAGTTATCAGTGATCTAATTTGTAATATTCATATTTTAGTTATTAGATTCAATAAGTAAGTCATCTTTTAATTTTTTTGGAATTTAGTTGAATCTGTTAAAATATTCTTCAATAACTGTTCAATTAATATTTTGAGATCAGCAACACCCATGCTCTAATGCTCAACACCTGATCAGATCTGTAGTATTTGTGTTTTAGTTGTTAGATTCGGTAAGTGAGTAATCTCTGAGTTTTTGGAATTTAGCTGAATATGTCAGAATATTTTCTATTATCTATTCAATTAATATTATGAGATCAGCAACATCCTTATGCTCTGATGTTCAACACCTAATGTGATTTGTAATATTCATATTTTAGTTATTAGATTCAATAAGTAAGTCATCTCTTAACGTTTTTTAAATTTGGTTGGGTCTCTCAAAATATTTTTAATCATCTATTCAATTAATATTTTGAGATTAGCACCCATGCTCTGATGTTCAGCACCTTATCAGATTTATAATATTTATGTTTTAGTTGTTAGATGTAGTAAGTGAGTAATCTCTGAGTTTTTTAATTTAGCTGGGTTTGTTAGAATATATTTTATTATATGTTCAATTAATATTTTGAGATCAGCAGCACCGCGTCTGCTCCGATGCTCAACACCTAATGTGATTTGTAATATTCATATTTTAGTTATCAGATTCAATAAGTAAATCCTTTTTCAATTTTTTTTTGGAATTTAGTTTAGTCTGTCAAACTATTTCCATTATATGTTCAATTAATATTATGAGATCAGCAACACTCATGCTCTGATGTTCAACACCGGATCAGATCTATAATATTTATATTTTAGTTGTTAGATTCAATAAGTGAGTCATCTCTGAGTTTTTAGAATTTAGTTGAGTCCATCAAAATATTTTATATTATCTGTTCAATTAATATTTTGAAATCAGCAGTAATAAATTAATTAATATTTTGAGATCAGCAGCACAGGTGTGCTCTAATGCTTAGCACTTGATCTAATTTGTAATATTCACATTTTAGCTTATTAGAAATAAGTAAGTCATCTCTTGATTTTTGGGATTTAATTGAGTCTTACATAATATTTTTCATTATTTGTTCAATTAATATTTTGAGATCAATAACATCTATGCTCGGATACTCAACACCTGATCAGATTTGTAATATTTATGCTTTAGTTGTTTGATTAAATAAGTGAGTTATCTCCTGAATTTTTTTAATTTAGTTGAATTTGTCAGGATATTTTTTATTATATGTTCAATTAATATATTTTGAGATCAGCAGTAATAATTCAATTAATATTTTGAAATCACCACCTCTAATGTGATACGATGCTCGCACCAGATTTGATATGTAATACTTATGTTTTAGTTATTAGATTCAATAAGTAAGTCATCATCTCTTGACATTTTTTAAATTTAGTTCAGTCTGTCATAATATTTTTCATTATGGGTTCAACTAATTTTTTTGAGATAGCAACACTTGTGTTTTATGCTCAGCACCTGATCAAATTTGTAATATTCATGTTTTAGTCGTTAGATTCAATAAGTGAGTATCTCCTGATTTTTGGAATTTAGCCGAGTCTGTAGAATATTTTTCATTATATGTTTGGTCAATATTATAATCTATTGTTATATTTTTTTTTACTGAGTAATAAAATTTTTCAATAAATGATATTTTTAGGTTTTAATTTAATCGATATGAGATTTTTTTTTTTATCGGAATATTTTTTGTTATATGTTCAGTTAACATTATTTTAGATCATCAGCACACAGTGTGCCCCGATGTTCAGGGCCTGATATGATTAAGATTCATGTTGTAGTTATTAAATTCAATAAGTGAGTCATCTTTCGATTCTCTCGAATTTAGTTGAGTTAATGAGAATATTTTTCATTATTTGTTTAATTATTATTTTGAGATAATCAACACCGGTTTGTGTTATGTGATGCTCAACACCTGATTTGATATGCAATATTTTTTTATTCTATGATCCGCTGTTATTTTTTTTTTTTTTTCTGAGTAATAATTTTTTTCAATAATGATATTTCAAGTTTTAGTTGACTCAAGTGAGAATATTTTTGATTATATAATCGATTAATATTTGAAATCAATTGGGTACTCTGATGCTCAACACATGATTTGATATGTGCAATATTCATATTTTAGCTGGTAAATTCAATTGGTGAGCATTTTTTGTCTTTTTAAATTTAATTGAGTCAATGAGAATATTTTTTATTATATTTTAATTATTATTTTGAGACAAGCATCATCCCTGTGTTGTTGTATTTTTTATTGAGCAATAATTTTTTTAATAAATGATACTTTGCAGGTTTTAGTTGGAGTTTATTGTTATATTTGTTTTTATTGAAGAATAATATATATATTTTCAATAGTTTTTGAGAGTTTATTTTATGTTATTTTATCTCTTCTTCTTAATTTATGCCTAGTTCAACAATTTTGGCATCAAAACCGAAATTGGTTTTGTTCTAGGAGTAAGATTATTAGTATTATACATTACACACTTCCATTTTTATTTTATTTTATTTTTATTTTTATTTTTTATTTTATTATTATTATTTTTTTTTATCTATTGCCATTTGCACTATCAACCTAATGGCAATAGACAATTATGTTCACTTGGTCATTCCTCATTTAGATAATCACTATGAACATTAAAGTATGCTACGAGGTTATGTAATATAATGTATGTGCTTAATTCAACTAATTAATACATTTTGTGTAAATGGATGATTATAGTTTTTAAACTTTATATTGTAATAGGCTCCATTTTGAGTTTTCACATAAGGTTTTTCTTTTTGGATTTTATATTTTTCAGAAAAAAAAAAAAAAAAAAAATTCTTTTCCAAATATTATTCAAATAAAAAATTCAAAATTTCAAATTCAATCTGAGATGAAAAAAAAAAAAAAAAAAAAAACAACACACATTATTCTATTGATGTCTAAGATAACTAGAGATTTGTGTTAAAAAAAAAATTATAAAAAATTATATAAAATACTTCCTTCATCCAATACAATAGTCTTGTTTACCATAAATAATTATATCGTCATAAAACTATCTATACTTTTTCATTTTTATTTACACAATTGTCAATATTTTTTACACTAAGGCAAAAAAATCTTTTATTCGTACTTTCTATCGACTACCAATATAATATCAATAATTCTTAAATCTTGTGTCCAACCCAATTAAGACTATAGTTGAGGGAGTATTATTTTAATATTCAAACTCAGTCTAGATTAAAACATGTACATAATAGAAAAATAGTCTTGCGGTGACACGATTGACATGTCATCGCCACGTTATTAACACATCGGAGAATCATTTCGGTGAAAATGTTTTATTTGCAAGATTATTTTTTATTTAAAGTTCCATCGCATACTAAAAGAACTGTTTACTAAGACATTACGTAAAAAAAAATAAAAATTGGGAAACTTGTCAGACGTAGCATGCCAGCGTAGCGAGTTCGGCACCGGAGAACTTATTTAGAAAATTTTTTTAATTACGGGGCTATTTCCAAACAAAATTATTTCAAATCCTAAAATGGAGAAAATGGTAAATACGGAACTAATAAAATAGTTTACCCCTACTTTTTCCCTTCTTTCTTCCGCTTCTCTCCTCCTTCGTCAGCTGCTTCTTCTCCGTGCATTTTTATTTAAATTCTGGATTTGATTCAATCTTGGGCGCAATTTTTTTGATAAATTTGAGATATTTGGGAATCAAGAAACATCTTCGAGTCTCTCAAACTAGAAGTTCGATTCAAATAGACCTTCAATACAACTTCTAGGTTTGAAATTGCTATTGTAAAGAATAAATTGAAAAAAAAAAAATAGAGTTTGGAATGAATAGGCTCTCTTAGTATTTCTCTGCATCTAAAACATACTATTGTACAATTTGATTCTTTCAACAATCAAAAGTCCATCGCATGGCCTAGCCACGTAGGCTAAAGAGGCCATTTTTTTCCTTTTTTTGCCATTGCAATTGCTCTCGGTATTTTTTGGGATAGATAGTGATTAAATTTTGTTTTTAATAAAACTATTTTTATTTTTTATTTTTTATCGGAAGTAAAATTGATAATTTTTTGTTGAATTAGGACTATTTTTTATTTTTTTTTTTCCTTCAAGGCTTCCTAGCAGTTTCACCGAAGAGTTATCATTCTTGCCTTCGAAGCCTTAAGACCATTCACAATGGGCGCATCTCCGAAGCCTTAGTCCATCACTATTTTTTTAAAATAAAAAATAAAAAATAATAGATACTTTGTTTTCCAGCATCTCTTAGCATTTATGTATATATGTGTATATATATATATATTATATATTATATATGTTTATGTTTTTTTAATTTATATTGAATTTATTGTTATATTTAAATTTTGTAATATTTTTAAAATTCATAATATTTTGTATTTTATAACATGATACAAATATTGAATATATTTTATCAATTTAAAATTTTAAATATATAAATACAAATATTATACTCCCTCTGTTCCAATACTATAGTCTTGTTTACTATTTTTGTCCGTCCCAAAACAATAGTCTCATTTTTATAAATAATCATATCACCGTAAAATTATTTCTACTTTTTTATTATTATTACACAATTGCCACTATTTTTACACTAATATACACAAGGGCAAAAAATTCATTTATCCTTACTTTTTACCTATTATCAATATAATATCAATATTCTTTAAATTTCGTGTCCAACACAATAAGACTATATTTTGGGACGGAGAGAGTATAATTCTATTGAACAAATCAATATTAATAAATTTAATTTAAATTATTAAATAAAATATAATTATAAATTTTAAAGCAATTAAATAATATAAAATTATAATTAAAAAGATAATATATATAATATGAAAATAAAAATTTATTAAAAAATTAGGATGAGTATCTTTGTTGCAAATATAAAATAGAAGAGAGTATCTCTGGTAACGTGGGAGAGAGAATATAACACAGATAACAAAAGTCTTAAAATTCGCCGACATGTTACCAACAGCCTCGTTACAAGGGTTCATTTGCCTTTTTTATGAGAACCTAGGTTCGTACACCGTGGCTTTTGTTGAGGTATTTAAATATTTAGTTTTAAATTTAAATTTAGATTTGATATTATTTGAGTTTATCGCGTCTATATATTATATATATTTATAGGTCGCTATTATTTTTTTTACTAATAATAATACAATTTTTGAGTGTTAAATTGCTTAGTAAACGAACCAACACATGCCCTAACTCGTCGAATGAAATCTCCGCAAGCTCGGTTACTGCCCATATCACGGCTATTCGGACGGTGTCAATTCAATATTAGTATGATATTGTCTTTTTCTAATTGAGTTGGCACGAATTTGTTTTTGAACTTTCTGACGTAATCACGACTATTGCGACTATTGTAAAACATCCATATACATAATCAATATCAATATATATATACATAATAAATAAATAATTAAGCATCGAAAGAAATAAGTCGTTTCATCTACAATTTTACACGAAGAATTCTAATTAAAAGTACAATGTGTAATAATAATAATATTACGATTGCTACTTACCTGATTTTATCTACAAAAGATGTTCTTAACTTCACAACAAAGTATGCACCCCCCCAACCATCCAAGGCCATGTTCGCCGGAGTTAGTCCCAAGAGTACTAATGCAGCATCATTCCCGGCAGCCGGCGATCGACGTCATCGAATTGTACCAACGACGCCTGTTTCAACGCCCACCGAAGTGTCGTAAGCACCACAGCTTCGTCACACATAAGATTCGAAGCAACATGGCAAAGCAACGTCAACGCAGAACGTCGAACGGCAGCAGTCTGCGTTCCACCGCGCACGAGTCGAACCAACAAGTTCTCCCCTCCGGCATCGACAATCGCTTTCGAATGGTACCATCTGAGCTTGTTATCCGAGCACACAAACTTAGCCAGCGCGACGCAAACTTCCTTAACAACGGTAGCCTCCTTCGCATCCAGCAGCTTCACTAGAGAGGTTATCATCCTCGCCGTCTCGGTAGCCTTAAACGTCCTCGCAAGATTTCCGAGAATCTTGACGCAGGGAATCAAATTCGCTGATTCTGCATGATCGATGACTTTGAGGAGCTGATAGACCACGGCTTTGTACGCCGGCAAGTTCAGCTTGAACGCCAACCGTCTCAGCTCGGTGTTCTGCTCAGCCTCGGCAGTGATCTCCGTCAACGCCATGGCAGAGTTGTATCGAGCTTCCTTAGGTCCTTTCTCTAAAAAGAACGCAAAGCACGTCAAAGCTTTCGACTCTGTGATGATTCGGCAATTCCACATGTTGGCAATGGCGAGGCGCCAGAGGGCCCTCGTAGCCATTACTTTTATATAATCATCCGTCGCAAGATCCGACATTTCTAATGTTTGATCACAATTACAGGACATCGAAGCTCCGCGCTCGTCGCCGGAGCTATCCGACCTTGTTGCTCGCGCCAAGTAGACCTTCCTATCTTCCGGTAAAGTTTTGAACGCTAAATGGCTAAGCAAGTGCACGAAATTATACCTCTCGTAATCGACGAGAATCTCGGCAAGCTCCGACACAGCCCACGCCACAGTCCCCTGCAGCTTGATCAGAGGAGCTTCTCTGAGGATTGACACAAATGCTGTCGAAACCATGTCGTCAATCACCCAACGATGTTCCTTCCCGAGCAATGTGATCACCATAACTGCATTCGCCTGCGATTTCGGAGTTCCTTCGAGTACTAATCTCAAGAATGGCTCAACTCCACCCCCTTCTTCAACAATCAACTTTCTGTAAACATCACTCTGGTGAGCTAAGGAAAGCAGAGAGGCCACAGCATTGGACCGGTCCTCAGCTGAACCGGTGTGAAGAATTGCAATCAGAACCCAAATGTCACAGAGGACCGGTTCGTCGGCGGCAATCGGAGGGACGCCGTGGTACTGGCCGTCGCTGAGGAGCCAACGGATGTTGGCTATGGAGTGTTCGAGCAGAGAGGAGATGTTCGGGAAGGAAGAAGGAGCAATTGCTGTGAACACTCGTTTTAGCCCTCGGCATCGCAGCACCAGCGAAATCGCTCGTTTCAGTACGGTCTCCGTCGATTCCATTACGCGGCGCGCAGGTCGATCGTACAGCTCGTGGTCCGCGAGCATCGCCTGGCGCAGGAGCTGAGCAACCTTTAGAGCTTTGATTTTGATCTGAGAGCATTGTGGCTTGAAGGAAGTAGGATTTTCGCAAACCCTAACTGCATCATCCGCCAATCGAATCGCCGAACGGAAATAGGGCATCCCTGCGAAATTCGTAATCGAACTGGGTCACAAATCGAAATTCCTAATCGAAAGAGATTGAAATCAAATCAAATCAAATCATGAATTGATTGGGGTAATTTGGATGAGTTAAGGTGGAGAATTGAAGAATTAATCAGCAATAGTTAAGAGTAAAATACCAGAGACATGGTTGCGCGAGGAGGATCTGAACTTGAAAGTGAAGGAGGAGTCGAAACAAGGTGGGACGGAGCTGGTGAAGCTGGTGTCGGCGGAAGAAGCAAGCGCGAGGTCCCGGAGCTTCTGGCGGTCGAGCGTGGCGGCAACTAGCCTCTCCCAGTTGTCGTAATTCCTCGACATAACACCTTTTGCCAATCAGACAAATTAAACTGACGGCAGAAAGGTTTATTTACTTTCATGATTTTCTGTGTTTTGGTAATGTTACGTGAACTTCAGGTTTGTACTACGTCAATCGTCATTGGCTTTTGAATTTGTTTGTTTAATATTTTAATCTAACAATTTTTATTTTTTATTTTATTATTATTATTATTATTATTATTATTATTATTATTATTATTATTATTATGTAATTTATATATAATTGTGATAGATTATATAAAAATAATATTAATTTTTTATTGGATTATTAATTTAATTTATTTTATTTTTAGTAAGAAAATAGAATATAAATATTATGTGTATTAAAATTGTATGGAAAAATTTTTGATTGGTTATTTGTTTTACACATAATTTTGAAATGATATAATTTTAAAATTATAAATAGAGTAAAAGCTATATATATAATAAAGGAAATTGTTAGTATTTTAATTAAAATAATGACAAATAAATTAATACTCATTTGTCCTTGTAAGTGCACACCTAAACATAGACACAGGTAAATTATACTTTAATAAGTGTATCAATAAAATAATTATATATTAAGACAAATATAAATAAATAATTTAATTAAAATTAAAAAAATTATAAATTATAAATTTAAAATACGATCTTTACAAAAATAATAATACTACTTTCGTTCGGCTATAAGAGTTTCATTTATTTTTTTGCGTATTGATCTTTGATATTAATTATTATATCAAAACATGTACAAATTAAGAAAAAATTACAAAATATTTTAGTGTCTTATAATACTAATAGAAAAATATTTGGACAAAAAATTATACAAATATAAACATATTTTTAATGTTAAGTCTAATAATAACGCAAAACATAAATGTGACTCTCAAAGGCACGGATTGATGGTGTACGAAGCAAACAAAATATGCCAAAAGAAAATAATTAAAAACTTTGATAATATGGAAATTCACAAAGAAGACAAGAAGTTGTGATTGAAATTTCTTTTATTCATTATTTTTTTAAATAATTGAATATTTAACTTGTAAGTATTTCTATATTATATTATTTTATATATGAAACATATAGTATATATTATATTATTAAATTTAAAATTTTTAGTAAATTTATCAATTTTAAATATATTTAATAAATATAAATTAATTATATTAAAATTTTGATATCATACATATAAATGAGTACAAATAATTAAAATAAAACAATTTATCTATTTTAAATTCCGTATGTAGTGTAGATTAAATAAGGATTCTGTCGTTTTTATTTGATAAAATTGATAAGTGTGGGGTCTACATGCAGTATCATTTCGAGAATATTCGTGTGGCCTGTGCACAGTCGATTAATTAAGGTTTATTTGTTTGGGGTTTGGATTTTGAATTGGGATTTGAACAGTAAAATTTTTGAATTTAAATAGTTATATGATGTGATATTTTAAATATTAAATTAATTTTTAATATAATATAAAAAATAAAAAATAAATATTTAATTTGATATTTTTAGAAAAAAAAATAAAATAATGAACAATAGGTTTAAAATCAATTAAATGGTTAAGTACAAGGACTGGTTATAGGGCTGGTGCTAAGTATATTCTAATAATATAAATAATACCATTGTTACTAGTTCAAGAAAAAAGTTCATTTCTTAACCATTAAGGTGGTCTGTTTGGATTTATTTATTTATTTTAACAAAATGGTTTGTTTGGATGGGTTTCTACTTGGTTTTACAATATTTGTTATTTTTTTCATAATTGAGTTTGTTTGGGTGTGTTTCTATTATTTATCGATAATAATTTTTTAAATACATATTGAATTATATATAAATTACATGGAATTTTTTTAAAAAAATATCAAGTTGAATATCTATTTATATACCATTAATTATTACTATTCTCTCTATCATTCAATTTTATTCATTTTTTTTTTCATCTATATTTTTGTTTTCATTTTTATTAAAAAATGACATATTTTCTATTTTTTATTTACCAAAGTAAAAATTTCTATTTATATCTTCTTCTTTTGTTTATTCAAATAAACACACAATTGAACGATTAAAAAAATATAATTTAAAATTTTTATTATTTCCAAAACGTCAAAGCACAACTAAATAAACCCACATCAAAATATTATATCAAAAATATATTTATATCATATTAAGGTATCAATTTTTATTTTTATTTATTTATTTTGTCTCAAATACCCAAACTCCAAACACTCCCAAATATATTTTTTAACATTGAAATTTAACCACTAACCCCAACGATGAATATTTCGAAATTAAATAACGTAATGTGAGTAGAAGTGATATTCATAAGTTTTATTGGTATGGTACAAGTCAAGTTGGCCATATGGGCCGGGACGTATTGGACCGGTCCAAGCCCGCTTGACTTAAACCCGGTTCAATTTGAGTTCTCATAAAATTAAAATAGTTTTAGGTTAGATCAATTTTTTTATAAACTAGCCTAACTCAGCCCATGGGCTAATTTATGTAGGGTTGATTAGATTGCACTATATATTTCTATATAAAATAAAAATTAGGTAAATTGTTCTGTAATACTCCCTCCGTCCGGCTAGAAAGTATATATATTTTTATTTTGGGCGTCCAATTACAAAGTAAATATTTCATTGAATACCTCATTTTTTTCCACAAATACTCCTATTTTACATCACATCATTACTTTTACACCAAAAACAAGAGCAAAAATGTCATTACACTACTTTTAACTACCAATTATAATTAAAATACTATTATTTCTTAAACACCGCGCCAAAAGTAATTGTATACTTTATATGTGGACGAAAAAAATATTATTTTACATTTTATACAAATACGTAAATACTTTATATTTTATTTACTACTTACCTACCCAAACACAAATTTAAATTGTGTACTTGCAAATAATAGAACAGTACCTACACCTGTTATTTATTCATTTTGTCTCACCGCCTGTCATGTTGATTTTTTTATTTTATTTCGTCTAAATTTTTTTTTAAAAAAAGAAAAGAACTATAACATTAAAATCTTATTTCAAATTTTTAATTTATATTTTTTTTATATTCTAAATAGACTAATTATTTATTTTAATTTTAATTTATAATTATTTTTATTACATGATAATTTTTTTACTAATATATTTTTAATTATTTAATAATTATAGATCTCCTAAATTCTCGTGTCTACAGTAAAGTGGTCATAATAACTAGACAGAGGGCCTTCCGTCTCACATATAATGTTACACTTTTCATTTCAGTTCGTCCACATTTTATGTCACCATTTTCTAGAAAAATATTACTCCGTCCCGCGACGGATGACTCATTTTCCTTTTTTGCCCGTCTCATTAAAGATGACCCATTTCTATTTTTAATAAATTTATTCATCTTGAACATATTTAATAAATATAAATTAATTTAATTAAATTTCTAACCTCTTACACGTAATCATATGTAAAAATTTCAAATTTTAAATTTTTTTAATATTTAGTTATACCAATTAATTATTTTAACATTAATTTATAATTATTTTTATTAATATATTTTTAATTATTTACTGATCATTGTCTTCATAAATTTTTGTGTCTACCATAACCATTATATTAGGAAATATTAGATTTAATTATGCGCCTGGTTAAAATGGGCTGGATCAATCCAGGCTTCGGCCAACCCGGCCCAGCAAATAACTTGTTGTACAACCAGAAATATGTAGTCCGGATAAGCAACAACAACTTGCAGTAGATTTGGATTTGTCTGCTTGTAATTTTATACCTTAGATATTTTTTTAGAAACAAAAATAAAAAATAGTCAAGTAAATAAAAAATAATTAACTTTATATTTGATATAAAATACTTATCAATTTTTGTATTTTAAGAAATAATTTTAATTATTTTTATTTCATCTTTAAAAAATTAATGGAAAAAATTGATGTGTACACGTAACGAAACTGATGTAATTATATGATTTGGACTGAACACCATAACCTTTAGAAAAATACGGCCGTGTATGATTTTGCCTCGTTTTCACTTTACTTTGTGTGTTTTTGTTTCTGTAAATTTTAAAATTAAATAGTAACCGGATGTAATGCTATATATAAAAACTTGAGCATGCAAAAACATGAGAAAAATATATATATATATATATAAATAATATTTTATTCGCTCTCTGGTATTTTTAAAATAAAAATTAATATACAATAATTTTAAAAAATTAAAATATATGTTAAATATTTTAAATATTATATTTCAATAAAAAATATATATAATATAAAAATTATTTTGTAGAGAATAAATTTTTATATAATATAAATAAATAAATAAAATATATTTATAATTAATATAAACTAATTTTATAATAGAGAGATTTAAATAAACAGTATAAAAATATTTATTTATTAAAAAGATGTATAAAAATAAAAGAATTTTGAATGAGTGATATGTTAAAAATTTAATTAAGTTATTTATATTTGTTAAATATATTTAATATTGATATATTGTGTGTTAATATGGTGGGATAGACAGATTAAAAAATAATAATAATAAAAAATAAAAAATCGTATATAAATGTTTAAGTGAAACCCTGAAAACCCCGCCAAACACGACTTTGAATTGATGTAATATATCCATCCACATCAATTGGGAAGAGATAGATGGATAATGCATTTAGGGTGTGTTTGTTTGGGAGTTTGGATTTTGAGTTGGGATTTGAATAGTAAAAATTTTGAATTTGAATAGTTATAAAATAGGTGCTGACGTGATGTTTTGAATGTAAAATTGATTTTTAGTATAATATAAAAAAATAAAAAATAGGTGTTTGATTTGATGTTTTTGGGGGGAAAAAATTGGATGAATAGTGTAAATCCAATCCAATCCCCCAAACAAACACACCCTAACTAACTAGTCGGGGAAAGGGTGTTGAGCTTTCTAATTATTTTTAATTTTATATTTTTATTATGCCGTATTTATATAATTTTTAAATTCTAAGTAATTAATTATCTTTATAAATTTAACAAAAATATTATTATTATATATATTTAATTTAAATATTAAAAAAAAATTGGTTCAGATATTTCAAAAATATAAAAATATTTTAAAAAGATACAATAAAAGAAATAAACTTAAAAATTGTTTGTAACATTTTTGTAAGTTTTAATCATATTATACTTCCTCTGTCCCTTATCAAATGCGTCTTGGTGTTTTATAGTAAATTAATAAATAATAATATTTCATTAGTCAGCGAAAATGTGTTAAAATATTTTAATATTTTTTTATTATACTTTTTTATAAAATAATTGTATACGTAATAATATATTTGTAATTTAGATAAAAATTAAAAGTATTTTAATATTAGTGTATAAATTTTTTTCTAAAATAGAAAAATGATACTTAAAATAAAACGAACAAAAATGATAAAAATGATATTTTAAATGAAAACGAATGGAATATAATCTTTAAATTATTTTTATATTATATATATATATATATATATATTCCAATCCGTCAATTTTATTTTATTTATTTATTTTTTTAGCTCAGCCACTGCATGCATTCGTGTACAATCAAATTAGTTGACAATTAAGAGAAGGTTCCTCGACAATACTTAGCTTGCTAACGCGGGAACCACACGTTGCTTAGTTGACAATCCAATCGTTTTTTTACTACCATTTTTATTTTATTATGATATAACTTTGAATATTTTATTTTATTTTTTTATTTTATAACGTGATAATCTACAACTGCTATTCGACGAGTGCGCTCTGGTAACCTCCTATCGAACCTAATAATCTTCAAATAAAATAAAATAAAATAAATCATACTAGACAAAATTATGTGTGACAGACAAGACCTTATACCTACATACAATATTATTTCTAAAAGAGTATATAATATTAGACATATATTTTATGCACAAAATACTATATTAAATATTTATAAAAATACTCACTATATCTCACTAAAAGTGTCAACGTTACTATAGATAAGACAATTTAGTTAAAATATAGTAATTAATAAATAATTGATAAGTGTATTAGTAAAAATAATTATTATATAATAAAAATAATTATAAATTAAATTTTTAAAAATTAAATAGTTTAATTAAAATTTTAAAAATATAAAGTATAAAATTTAAAATGTAATTAAAATATATCATTATTTTCCAAAATAAATAAATTATATGGGACAAATAAAAATAGAAAGGAATGATTGATATATTTTAATTCTTTTTCTTTTTTATTTTTCAAAATGTTACTGCTAAACAAATTCATAATATTTTTTTTTTACTACTATTTAGAGTCAATATCTTTTCAAAAAATATTTTTTTCTTAAAATATAATATTAAATACTATTATTTAAATGAAAAATTTAAATATCCAATTTTAATCTAGATTGAAAAGAAACATAACTTACATATATTTATGTATAAATTTTCAAATAGCTGTATTTTTTTTCTTATTTATTAACATAATTCTATATTTTATTAAACAAGAGAATTAATTATTTTGAAATTTATTTTCTCCGCAATTTTTTATTTTCTATATCAAACACTACATGGTAATTTCCTATAACACTCTTTTCAATACATATATATTTATATATATAACACGGAAACGTGTAATTTTTTATTTCCGCATTTATCTACATTGTACTGTTTTAATATTGTGGTATTGGAAATTATTGATATAGAAGCTATATTAACTTCAATAATCTCAATTCAAATGATTGATTAACTTGTTAGTACGTTATGGTTTATTTTTACATTTTTACTATTTGAATTATAAATATATATATATATGCATTTTTACAATATATGGTATTAAATACTCCCTCTGTCCACAAGAAAAGTATACAATTACTTTTGGCGCAGTGTTTAAGATATTTTTGCCCTTGCTTTTTGGTGTAAAAGTAATGATGTGATGTAAAGTAGGGGTATTTGTAGAAAAAAGTAAGGTATTTAATGAAATATTTACTTTGTAATTGGACGTCCCAAAATAGAAATATGTATACTTTCTAACTGAACGGAGGGAGTATTATATAAATAAAAATTTCAAATAGTCAAATACAAATATCAAAAGAAATAATTTATATACATATTCTTGAAAATTCTGGCTAATTAATTAATATTATTTTTTTTCAAATATATTACATTAAATATTTATTTTTCTAATAAAAATCACCCAAATACACACTTTTTTATTTTTAATTTTTTAAAAATTCAACAAAATGGCCATCCAAACAAAGTTTAAAATAATAGCACCAAATTAGTTAATAAATCGATGCACTTATAATAAATAATAAAAGTTAGGATTAAATTTATAAAAATATCATTCATTTGTACCTTTGAAAAGTGTGTTCACGTACATAATTTTTTTATTTATATAAGTTTTATTGATATTCTATTCCCTTACAAAAATTAATAATACAATTATTTTTTTTATTTACAAATACGATTTATTATAAAAAAAAAATAAAAAATATTATTCAAACTAAAACATACTCATCTTTCATAAATAATTAAATACAAGCAAAGTCGTAGCAATGTCAACTTCCTCGAAATGACCTTTAACAAACGTGTTTGTATGTTGAATTGATGTTTACGCGTAAATGTGCTTTTGTTTATATATATCTTTTTTTTTATAATCCCTCCATCCCATATCTATCTAATTATTTGCTTTTTATACATAATTTTAAAAAATATTAGTATTATATTGAGATATAGTAAAAATTAAAAAAAAATTAAACTAACTTTATTAGTCTTCTATGATACAAAGATAATAACATTTGTAGACCAATAGAAAGATGGTTAAAGAAATGAGAGTATACAAAATTTACAGTTTATATAAAAAATATTATATAATTAATTTTAAAATATTATATTAAATACAAAAATAAAGTAAACAATTTTTTTTTAAAAAAAAAAATCTGAAATACTAATGTATTATTTAATTTTAAAAATTAGTTTTATTTTTTGTTTTGTTTTTAGTTTAAACACGTAGGTTGTATATATTTTGTGAAAAAAATAAAAAGTTACTATACTTTTTACAAAATATCATATTTAATCACTATTTAAATTAAAATTCAAAATTAAAATACTAAACAAATTAATACTAATCATAGCATCCTAAAAAAAAAAAAAAAACTCCTCTGTGTACAAATATATATAATATCTTTATTATTTATCTACAAAATTTATGCAAGAGAAAATTTACACACTTAACTTATTTTTTATTAACATTATACTTATTTAGCTATATGTTACAATCATTTACATATTCGATTTAATAACAATGGTCAAATTTTTCATTAATTCATTTTACAACTTCTAAAATACTAAAATTATATCATAATTAATTAATACTCCCTCCGTCCTAAAACAATAGTCTTATTTTCATAAATAATCGTATCACTATAAAACTACCCTTACTATTTCATTATTATTACACAATTGCCACTAACTTTTAAACTAATACACTCAGGTCAAAAATGTCTTTTATACGTACCTTTTACCCCCTATCAATATAATATCAATATTTATTAAATCTCGTGTCCGACACAACTATAATTCTGAGACAGAGGGAATATAATATTATCTCTATCGAAATTCGTGTTCAGCTCATTTGAATATATTTTTTCAGAAACGTATAGACTATATTACAAACAAACAGATCCTTAATAGACTAACACATCATCCGCTACCACTCTCTATATATACATATTCCCATATTCATATAAACTATGGATTGATTCATTTGACATATCAAAGCAGCACATCATTGCAGGTATGCCTTTTTCCCCTTTCTTTATTTTCTCTGGCACACATAATTCATCTATAATTTGTGTTTAAAACAAATCTTCCAATATGGTTTCTGTCAAATTTTAATTGTATAGTTTATTATTGTGTTAGCCAAAAATAACTTTGCATATAATTTGTTAGGTCTGTTTATATAGAAGTTTGTGAATTTAGAAAATTTGGAAAAATTTTAACAGTAGTAAAAAAGTATTTTATACAATGTTTTATAAGAAAAAAATATTTAATATTGTATTTTTATAAACATATATATATATATATAAACGAACCCTTAGAAGTTTGTAAAAAAGATAGAATTATGTAATATTTTTTACTCGGTACTTACAGAATTATTGTAAAATATTATATTCCTTCTGTTTCATACATGGTGCAATATTTATTTTCGATACATAAATTTAGGTAGGTAGTATTGAATACTCACTATGTCCCTTAACAATACATCTATTTTTTCATTTTGATCCGTTTCATCAAAATATTTATTTCATTTTTTACTAATTGTACTGTATACCTAATATTACAAATACCCTTCTAATTTACAAAATATTATACAAATGTCATTACATTTATATCATACAATACTAATAAGAGTAGTTTAGTCTTTTTATCTTTATTTCTACTATATCTAAATATAATATTAATATTTCTAAAATTCCGTGCAAAAAGTAAATAGATCGATAGATATGAGACGAAGAGAGTATGATAATTTGAAAATTATGTGATATGATGAGAGAGAATTCTTACTAGTTACTGTAGACTCAGGAATTTAAGAAGGATATTATTAACAAATAATTAAAAATATATTAGTAGAAATAATTATAGGTTAAAATTTAAGTTAACAATTTAGTATAATTAAACTTAAAAAATCTTAAAATTATAAAATTTAAAATGTAATTAAAGTGTATAATTAATTAAAGTGTATAATTCTTTTATAAAACAAGAAAGTGACATGATATGTGAGATGAACGAAACTAAAAACTGTGACATGATAAGTGAGATATCATAAGTATTTAATTATTTTCTATTTTAGAATATTGCATAATGGTTATAAAAGACAAAAAAAGAAATATTGCAGATGTTTTGGACGGACGAAGAATTTTATAATAGTATAATTATACAATAAAAAATTAACATATCATAATATATTATTAGAAGGGACTTTTCAATATTTAAGTTAGTGATCTTTTTAAAATGAATATGGCATGCGTTTGTTTGAAACGTATTTGCTTCGTAAATTATGTTCCAATAAATGAATATTTGGTCGTATCTGCTAATGTTTTAAATATACATTTGTCTATCTAATTATATACTTTTTTTTTTTAATCATATCATATATACTTAATTTCGAATATTTAGATAAAACTTTGTAATCGTAAATTAATATATATTATTATTTATCTAAATTTCATTTGAACTTAAATTTAATCATTTGAGCCTAGAAATTTAAAAATTATACAATATATTATTCCAAAATATTATTTGCAATAAAATTGAGCTCGTGAATTGATCCAAATATTCTATACGAATAGTTCCGCGGGCGGCCCGATGTAAGGCCCAGATGAAAGTTCGAACAACGGTTCAACTGATAAATAGATGATATAACCTATTGTTTAATGAAGTTGTTGGAGTAGGGGTGAATTTTAGGGATATGATTAAATCTTTAGAAATTTAGATTTAGGTATTAGTATATACTACCGGTGCTCCAATACAATAGTCTTGTTTATCATTTTTGTCCGTCCTAGAATAATAGTTTTTTTTTTCATAAATAATCATATAATCATAAAATTACCTCTACTTTTTCATTTTTATTACATAATTGCCACTATTTTTTACACTAATACACTCACAAGGGCAAACAAGTCTTTTATCTGTATTTTTTACCAACTATCAATATAATATCAATATTCCTTAAATCTCGTGCACAACCCAATTAAAACTATAGTTTTGGGACGAAAGAAGTATATATTTTGCTTTTCTTTTAGGACACAGGATCACCGAATTAATTCATTTTCAGTTTATTTTTTCCTTTCCCTGCATTGCTTTACTTTCTTGTCTGGTATATTTTTTTGCTTTCCGTTTATTTTCTTTCCGAACACGCTTCCAGATCATTTCTTAATAAAATCGAAGAACCCATTCAAATTTTGATCAGCTCGCTCCAATAAGAGCGACAATAATATCATTAAGCCCGAGCTCAATAAATTTATTTAGTTTATCTTTCTTAATAAACAAATGTGATTGAAATTTTTTAAGTTTGATTAGAACTTCTCTAACACCTATTCTATTTCAATGTAATGTGTTGGTTGAGTTTTTCTCATATTTTCGAAAACATTGATACAATACGTTTTTTTATAATTCAATTAATGATGCTAACATTTGACAGTGTTGTAATCTTTACGTTTTTATATTAATTTCTCATGCTCTTTCTACCATTTTTATTTTATTTTTTATCTTTATTCGTTCTTTCATTTTTCTTCAATGAACAACATAATTTTTTCAACAATTGAAACCTTTAATGCAATTGATCCAATCAAGCCTAAAGTTCTCCTCAACTCTATCTCTTTCCTCCAATCAAATTCTAAATTTGTCATCTCATATATGTCTCGTATGGTTGATCCTAGAAATGACATTGTATTAAAACAAACAAACATTGTTAAGATATAATTCAAATACATTGATAATCGTCACTTAGAAAAATTAGGGAAAAAAATAATCGCTAGTGTAGCTCTTTTAGAACATTTTTCTCTGCACCCATCATTGTTAGCTTAAATATCTTCTTGATGCAATTTTTCAATAATAAAAAGTAAAATTGGAAGATAGGAAATTATTTTTGAATTTGATATAATTAGTGCCTAAGATTAGGAATCTCTAAACACGGTAGGATACATAAATAAAAATAGGAAAATAAAACTACAGACTGCAAAATAAAGTGGTGATCCCCAAAGACAATTCTTTTGAATTTGATGTCGATTGAAGATCATTTTTCAGAACAGACCCAAATCCTTAAATAACCCCTTGAAGAAACGGTTTGAACCGTCGTCTGGTCGGTTACAGCAACCACTGTCAACCGCCCAGAAAGTCCTCTTCTGTCGACACGTGTGTTAACCGACTCACTAACCGCTCGCGCCAGTTACAGCACTCAACTGTCTCGGCCGACCGCTTCTGAAAACCTCACCCCCTTAAATGGGCGGTTGGTCCCGACCGACTACTCAACCGCCCAGCAATAACCTCTGACTTCTTAGACTGGTCGCTAGACCAAACGACTCATCGGCCGCCCCATCAAGCGACCACCATCTGATTTCTCCAATTGGCTGAACAATGAATCATCCAGACGATTCAATGGTCGCCCTAACCAAGCGACTAAACTACTGTTTACTTAAGTAGGCGACCAATTAATAGACCTTTTTTCGACCGACCTCCGTATCAGCCGTCGTTCTTCGCCCGACTTCCTCTTTCGACCGACCTCCGTATCATCCGTTCTTCTTCGCCCGACTTCCTGTTTCGACCGACCTTAGTATCAGCCGTCCTTCTTCGCCCGACTTCCTCTTTCAACCGACCTCCGTGCCCAATCTTATCTTGTCTGATCTCCGTGCCCGACCTTATTATGTCTGACTTCCGTGCCCGACCTAATCACATGCGACCTCATTGCCCGACCTTATCACGCCTGACCTTCGAGCCCGACCTGATCACGTCCGACCTCAGTGCCCAACCTTATCACGTCTGACCTCCGTGCCCGACCTGATCACGTCCGACCTCAGTGCCCGACCTTATCAGGTCCGACATTCGTGCCCAACCTTATCACGTCCGACCTCCGAGCCCGACTTGATCATGTCCGACCTCAGTGCCCGACTTTATCACGTCCGACATCCGTGCTCGACCTTATCATGTCCGACCTCAGTGCCCGACCTTATCAGGTCCGACATCCATGCCCGACCTTATTACGTTCGATCTCCGTGCCCGACCTTATCATGTCCGTCCTCAGAGCCTGACCTTATCTCACCGACCTGAGTACGTATTGCTCTTCCCTTTTTCGTTCTGACCGACCTCCGCGTCTGCCATCTCATCTTTCCTCGCCCGACTTTAATCCTGACCGACCTCATCTTGCCCGACCTTCGTATCGGCCGTCATCTTTCTTTGTCCGACTTTCTTTTGCCCGACTTCTGGGTCGTTTGGCTTATATTCAGACCCATCCAGAATCCTACTGTCATTACTTATTATTATTATTATTTTTTGTGCTCAACAATCTTCAATAAAAAAAAGTTTATCCAAATACCTCAAAACTGAACTCAAACCTTTTATTTTTCACCGTTTTAGACACAAATGAATGATTATCATTTTTTTTCAACAGATCAATATGCCAAGTGGTCATTTTTCTCCAAATTGAATTTGAAATTAGATAGTAGTGGTAGTTGATGTTGCTGCAAACATTTCATAATGAACAAAAATAAAAGAAATTAACTTTAGAGAATGCACATGTTAAATGGGCAGTTCACTTAAAAGTTTGAACTTGAAGAGATACATGAAATGAAGTCAACCAACACACCTTATACGTGCAATGTGAGATATACATCATATATAAATCTTACACATAGACAATGATAAATGGGGGTGATGACACTCGAATACGGGACGCCTCAATTCTGATACCATGTTAAATGACCACATCTTCTAAAAATTTAAGCTTTAAAAGGATACGCATGATTTATTCATTTATTATGCAGTTGACTCATACGTCCGTTCATGTGCAAAGTGGATATACATCACATACAAATCTTATACATGAACAACGAAAAATGGGGGTAGTGAGATATGAATACGGAATATCTCGGCTCTGATACCGTATTAAATGATCACCAATCCTAAAATTTAAGTTTTAAGAGAATACACACTATCTATTTATTTATTTATTATAAAGTTAACAAATGTGCCCGTTCACGTGCAAGATAAATATATGCCATCTCTTGACTCTGATATCATGTTAGAAAAAATGATCTGTTCACCTAAATATATCTAAAATATACATCTTTAAAATTCTAAAAATATATATAACTTGGTATTAGAACAACGATTCTTGGAATGTACCTGAAGTTCTCCCAATTTTTGTCTGTAATTGATTGTTTGTCAAAATTTTCCTCAATTTATTTTTTCAATTTTAATAAATTTATGTTTGGCCTTTGATTGTTTGTCGTAATTCCAATCAGAGCCTATATTTATTGCATTGAGAGTCATATTTTCGACTATAACTTTTATAGGTGTAAGTCTTATTTTTGACTCTGACTTTATTATGAGCGAACCCTATTTTTAAATCTGACTTTATTATGAGCGAGTCACATCTCTGACTTTAACTTAGTCGACAAAACTACTTCTAATTGTAACACAATGGAAAATTTTTGGCGATATCATCTTCGATCTCTCTTAATAAACTCAAGTTGTTTCTTCATCACAACTTGAATTTAAAGGAGAATGTTATAGGTATTTTAGATATTTAATTTATATTTTGGATTAAATTTCTATTATCTAAATTAAGTCGTTATATTTGGTTATATCAATTAGATTAGGTTGTTATTATTTGAGTTTATCGAATTTGTATTATGTCTATTAATAGACTCGTAATTTTATTGCTAGTAATATGCATATCTAGAATCATGGAAAAATGTAACAATAATTAAGACCTAGAAGAAAAGAGAAAAGAGGAATTTGTGTTCTTAATGTTGTTGAAAGTAACGATTAAAACCTGGAATGAAAGAAAATAAATGAATTTGCATTCTTGATGTTTTTGAAAGTAATAATCAAAACCTGGAAGGGAAAAGAAGGTTAAGAGAGGAATTTGCATTGTCGAAAGTGAGAGACACAATCAAAACATAAAACGGAAAGAGACAACATATGAATAAATCAATATTGATGGAGGTGTCTATACGAGAGGTGAATGATAGAATGTATAAACTTGATGAAGGATTAAATTTAAAAAAAATTCCCACTATGATGTCTTTTAACTAATAATAATTTAATGGCATCCACGTGCAAGGATCGTATGTGGCATATATCCACCTTGCGCATGAGAGTACATGTTGGTCGAGTTCATAATAAATGATGTGTATCCCTTCAAATTAAGTTTTTAGGTGAACTGGTCATTTAACATGACATTAGAGCCGGGACGTCCTGTGTTTGAGTCCCACCCCCTCTATTAATCATCGTTCACGTGCAAAATTTGTCTGTAGCGTATATCTACCTTGCATGTAAGGACCGTGTTTGTTGACTTCATAATAAATAAATAAATAATATGTATCCCTTTATATTTAAGTTTTTAGGTGATATGATTATTTAATAGTATAAATTAAGATATATTAACTTAGAGTACCAACACAAATTGACAAACAGATGTAATCGCATTGCATTGCATTATAGTTGAAGAATTTATACAAATAGGATATGGATCAGAGACTACAGAAGAAGCAAATTCACTTTTCATGTTGTTCTCACCTCAAAGCAATTAAATTAAAGGGGAACTGACTATCAAGGGGATGTCTGGCTCAAGGGATGATGCAGTTATGGCACTTGTGTTCTATCATTAATTCAATTAAATTAATTCTTATTAAAGTATCAATAAATTGGTTATAGTTATCAACAAGCTCTGACAACCAATTTTTCCTTACGGTGTAGGTAATTAAGGTACGACCATTAACTACCCCTAATTAAGCAAATAAACCTAGGTGTGCCCATAAGAATATTGTCTAACCGCATTCCAATCTAGAAAAACCCAATTCAAAACAATTACTATCTAAGAGAAGCAATTAGATTTGATTGTCTAACCCCCGGGAAGGAACTATTCAACTCGGTTGTCACCTATTCAAGTGCGAATACAATTACGGATATCCTACTTGAATTGACTTTAGATTATCAGACTAATTTAAATATCGGTACCAAAATATTCAATCAATCTAACAATCACAAACGCTATTCTCAGAATTAGACGAATATTGATAATCAAAAAGAACTTTTATAAAGAAAATCAAGAATCTCCAAAACAAAAGAACCAAAACATTATCACCCCTCAAACCAGAAAAGTATCTACTCCATAATTAAATAACAAAGAACAAAAGAGAAAGATGAAGTCATAGTGGGAGGGGGAAATCTTCTCTGTCGATTTGCTCATGCGCGATCTATGAATCTGTCAGTCTCCTGCTCCTGTGTGTTTCTGCCCTAGCCGTCCTCTCTTTTTGAAACGTGTGATCCCTCCTTTTATTTAATGTTTGCCCTAATTATTCTGTAGATGGGCTTTTGGACCTTTAATTAATTTTATTTCTTTTTTCTGCCAATTATGCCAAATTTAATATTTGCCCTCTGCACACAGCAAATAAACAATTCGCATATAAATTAGGTAGAATCCAATCAAAATCACCCAATTATCGCATATGATATGAATATAAAACGCATGCGATTTCTAACTATCAAATATGATTATTTAATAGTATAAATTAAGATATATTAACTTAGAGTACCAACACAAATTGACAAACAGATGTAATCGCATTGCATTATAGTTGCAGAATTTATACAAATAGGATATGGATCAGAGACTACAGAAGAAGCAAATTCACTTTTCATGTTGTTCTCACCTCAAATTCATTCTAGATCCAACCTATCATTATTACAATTGATGACCTCACTAAATTGATAAATCCTACCAATGTTGTCATGTTCTTCTCTCGATAAAATTAAACAGAGAACAACAAGGAATAAGATCGAACTAAGCTTGTCAATAACAATTTCAATTGCTTCATTGCAGCGAATCTAGCCGGTCAAAAAATAAGATGATGGGTAAATGTGTAACATGATTTTATCACAGTTTTATATTCTTATTTGTAAGAACAATACATGTTATATAAGTTCCATTAAGTACACATATTTGAGATTACTATGCAGTATTCTTAAATATACAATTAAGGATTACACAATTTTTAAATCATATGAGAGAATGACAATGATTTTTTAAATCATTAGTGGGTTATGGACAATTTTGCATAGATTTATAAAAAGAAACACTAAATTTAGGGTTCTTATCTAAACTTTTCTTTCGATACAATTCACAATATATATTTTATCATCTCTTAAAAATCAACATTCAATATAAAATATTATATTTTATATTGCCGACACAATTTTCTATAGCTCACATAAAAAAATTTCTTTAAATCAAAACACTAAACAAACAAACCAATATCAACAATATATTTTTGTCTGTTGTTCTTTATCATGGTTGTAATCATCAATATTTTATATCTATTTTGTACATTCAAAGCTTTGAATGCATGTGTTTATATACGTAAAAATATATTTAATAGAATGATAAAACTATAAAAATTGTAAGTAATCTCATTTTAAAAATTGAAATATATGTATTTTGATAAATTTGAAAAGCATATGATGTCCAAAATGATATGATATGTCCAATAAACATCCTATGTGTTTTTTCTTTTTCAGGGTGAGAAGAAAGTTAAGAATTATAAAAGAAATCAAATCAAGGTTAACAATGGCGGAAAGTCCTGCAACTTTTTTGTTGGACAAATTGTCATTGTGGCTACAAGAAGAAAAACATCTATTGGGAGGGCTCACACAAGAAATACAATGCATTCATGATGAGTTAGGTCACATGAGGGAATTTTTGCGAGTTGCGGATGCAAGAGAGGAAACTGATCTCAACCTCAAACAATGGGTTAGACAAGTTCGAGAAATCACTTATGATATTGAAGATGTTCTTGAGAAGTACATGTTTCGATTTGGACGGCGTGACAGCAATGGTCGGAACAATGAATTTACCCGACGCCTAAGAAGAGTGTACGATTCAATAAGAAGCTTGAAAGCTCGGCGTCGGATTGCCATTGAGGTTCAAGAAATCAAAACCCGAGTGGAAGACGCAGCTAGAGCTCAACAAAGATATAAAGACATGTATACGACAACAACACATGACTACAATTCTAACTACACAGTAGCTGATAATAGGTTGTCTGCAGTGGCGCGTGGAGATGCACTCTTATTGCAAGAAGAAGACGTGGTGGGAATCGATAAGTCTAAGAAAATTATACTTGAATGGATGATTTCTGCGGCATCGACTTCATCTAGTCACAGACTTCAAGTAATTTCAGTCGTCGGGATGGGCGGATTGGGGAAAACTACTCTAGTTAAGAAGTTGTACGATGAGGCAATAATGAAGATGGATTTATTTGAATATCATGTATGGATTACTGTCTCAGAGACGTATACGGTGAAGGATCTTTTGCGAAGCATGGTTAGACGACTAAGAACCCGTGACAATGAGGGTATCAATTTACAAGGATTATTAGAGGATATGAATGTTGATGACTTAAGGGAATTGCTTTACAACCTTCTCCACCACAAGAGCTACATTATTGTTCTTGATGACGTTTGGAATGCATCTGTATGGGAAGCCATTCGATATGCTTTCCCGAGGCGCGATGGTAGCCATGGAAGCGTCATAATAACCACACGTTTGTATAGTGTAGCCAACGCTGCGGGTTGTGGAGAGAATGAGAATGGACATGTGTATGACTTGCAACCATTGTCGGAGAAAGAGTCGAGAGAGTTGTTCCACCGTAAAGCTTTCCCGAGGACAACATGCCCTTATTATTTGAAGGAGATATTTGAAAATATTTTGAGAAGATGTGCGGGATTGCCTCTTGCCATTGTTGTTGTTGGAGGGCTATTAGCAACCAAAGGCAATCGAATTGAAGAATGGGAGATGTTTAGCCGAAGCTTAGGCGATGAAATGGAAGATGATGGAATGAAGAGAATGTCAAAACTACTTTCCCTTAGCTTCCATGACTTGCCTTACTATCTCAAATCTTGTTTCATATACCTCAGTATTTTTCCAGAAGATTACCTAATTGACAAGTGGAAACTCATAAGGTTGTGGATCGCCGAAGGATTCGTACAACCGAAGCAGAAGAAGACAATGGAGGAGGTCGCAGAGGGCTATCTCAATGATCTTCTTAACAAAAGTTTGATCAAAATAGCTAAGAAAACGATTGATGGCCGCCCTAAGAAATTCATCATCCACGATGTTCTACGGCAATACATTATATCCAAGTCTAGAGAGCAAAATATTTTAGCGGACAATGTCACCGGAGATGACATAACTTGGAACTATAAGACTAGACACCTCTCGGTAAATAGTTCCATAAGCCGCACATTGGATACTTGTACGTTCGAGCATCTTCGATCATTGCATTTGTTGGGCTTTGTAGATTCCGAATCAGTGGAAATCTTAAACAAGGTTCTAGAGGGAGGTTGCAAGTTGCTAAAAGTATTGGACTTAAGAGGTGCACCAATTGAAACAATCCCTACTGGAGTTTTCAAACTATATCATCTCAAGTACCTGAGCTTAAGAAAGACAATGATTAAATCCATCCCAAAATCCATCCAAAATCTCCAAAAGTTGGAGACATTAGATCTCAAGGAATCAAAAATCGTTGAACTTCCAATAGAAATCTTGAAGCTTCGCAAACTTCGACATCTTCTAGTATACAGCCATAAGGTAATATATCATTACATTCCATTCGACAACTTACAAAGCTTCAAGGCTCCATATGAGATAAGCCAAATGTCATCCTTACAAAAGCTTTTGCACATCGAAGCTGATCACGAAAATGGAGTTAACATATTGAAGGAAATTGGGCAACTGACTCAACTCCGGAGATTAGGCATTACGAAGCTAAGACAGGAAGATGGAAGTAGGCTATGTTCCTCATTAGCTAAGCTTATAAATCTTCGATCATTGAGCATCACTTTAGTTAAAGGCCACAAAGTAGACTTGCAACATTCAACGCCGTGTTTGGAATTACCATTTCTCCGAAAGCTCGTTCTACATGGCCATTTGGCAAGCATGCCACATTGGATAGCATCGCTTAATGGTCTTACAACATTGATTTTGCGATGGAGTAAATTAAGAAATGATCCGCTCAAGTACCTCAAAGATTTGCCCAATTTGAGTGTATTGGGAATGTACTTTGCTTATGAAGGCGATGAGTTGAATTTCAGTGCCGGTGGATTCGAGAAACTCAAGAAGTTGTGGTTGTTGAGCCTGCGGAAGCTAAAACGGGTGACGATCGAGGAAGGCGCTATGCGTCATTTGGAAGAGCTCTTCATGTGGGATTGCAAATCGATGGAATGGGTGCCTGACGGAATGGAACATCTTGAAAACCTTCGGTACGTCGAGTTTTGTGACATGGCTGAGGGATTCGAGGCCGAGCTCGATCCTCGAGGAAGCAATCAAGAAAATCAATGGAAACTCAAGAATGTCGCCAAAGTTTGTGTTTTCAATTTGATTGATGGTGCATGGAGAGGAAGACGCTTGTAAGTATAATTATGTTGATTTGATTAAAAATTATGTGTTTGGTATCATATTTTAGACTATAAAAAAATCATATAATATTTAAAATTAAAAACAGGTGTTTGTTACTATGTTGTTTACTATTAAGAAATTTGATAAATATTACAAAATCATGTTACAATACTAGTGATGATATAATTTTTATTGTATGGCATGCATACTTTGACTTATTATTATTATTACGAGTGATCTTAAATCCAAAACCTCACCGAGCACAAAAGCATAAATAAATTATCTCAAGAAAATTCCAACTACAAGTAAAATAAATAAAATGGGCCGTATTCTACAAAACTATGTCATGACTTTATGTATGTAATAAGTTATATGCACTTGTACATTATTATTGCCATGAAAGCTTTATTTTAAGCCCATTAAATCTAACTTTATTTTAAGCCCATTATCATTGTCCATTCATTTCATTTAGATATACATTTAGTTTTATTAAAAAATCATATGGATAATAATACTATATTAGAATGTTATAAGATAAAAAATAATATAATGAATTTAATAAATAATTATATTAAACATTTAATTTAAATAAATAAAAATAAACTATAAAAGATATTGATATATTAGATATTAATATAATGTAAAATTAAATGGATTTGTTTATTTAGTGTTTTGATTTGAATAATTTTTTTTATGTAAGACATAATAAATTGTGTTGATAATATAAAAAATAATATTTTATATTAAATATTAAATTTTATAAAAGTATAAAATATATATATTGAAAATATATTAAAAAAATTAAAATAACAAATCCAATATAATTATATAAAAAAAATTGAAGTTAAAATTTTAAATATTGAAAAATAGTAAGAGTACTATTTATTTTTTATGTTAGTATAAACATTAATATTAGTTTTATTTGAGAGAAATTAAAATAGCCACGTTGAAAATAAAATCATCAATTTTAGCAAAATTTTAAATTCGAATAAAAATATCATGAGATATAAATAAAAATTGATTTTATATATTTATTATATGATTAATTTTTAATATAATTATAAAAAAAATAAATATTTATTTTAATTCTATTTGCAAGGTACGGTAAACGGCCGTGTTTTGTAGAATTGGATGCCATTGGCATCAGAATTTTTAACCCTAAAACTAAAATTAATTAAAATTATTTTCATTAACACTAATATGAATTTCAATTTATTTTTTAATAGATTACTTTTTATTTTTATAAAAAAAATAAATAAATATATACAGTATTATGAATTATGATAATTTTTTAATTATAAATATATTATTTTTATAATATATATACACAAATTTTGCCCTAACTTTTTAATTTAACAGCTTTTCATTTCACTCCCAGCCGCCGTCCTCCATCTTCTTCTTCGTCGTTCTTCTTCTCCCCCGTTCTTCCTCTTTTCTTCTTTTTTCCTTCCTCTTTCCTTCTTGTCTTCATAACCTTGTTGTTCCGCGACGTGACTTTCTCTTCCTTTTCACCTTGCTGCTCCGCCACGGTGACTGTCTTATTCTTCGCGTTCATAATAGTTCACGCGCAAGTTCTATTTGTTTGTTTGATGTTTTGCTATTTTTATTGCTATATTCGCAAGTCCTCGTTGAATCTTTTCTGATGTTTTGCTATTTTATTGGTATATTCGTAAGCCCTCGTTGAATCTTTTCTGATGTTTTGCCATTTTATTGGTATATTCGTAAGCCCTCGTTGAATCTTTTCTGATGTTTCGCTATTTTATTGGTATATTCGTAAGCCCTCGTTGAATCTTTTCTGGTTCAGTAAATTTTGGAAATTGTTTGATATAGGCCTAGTTACATTGATCAATGGACGAGACAGTTAATTATCTGATTTGTTATTGATACTGTATTGTAATTTTCTGTGCTCTTTTGAATCGCCTAGTTGTACTGTGACTAATTGATGTCCTATTGGCAGAACATACTTGTTGGGGGCACAAAGAGATTCTGGTAAGAAGGCTGCGAATTAAAAGAAGAGAAAAGGGAAAGGAAGTAGTGGCTTAACCATGGGCGGAATAGAGGGGCAGAATGAGGTTTTTGATAAGAAGACCGATAAGAAAAGGAAGAGAAAAAGAAAGCAAGAGAGTGATGATAGTGGTTTAACAATGGGCCGAACAGATTTATTAGAGACGGTCAGTGGGCACAATGAGGATTTTGGTAAGAAGATTGAGAAGAAAAGGAAGAAAAGAGGAAAGAAAGAAAGCAATGATAGTGGCTTAACCATGGGCGAAACAGAATTTTTGGATACAGTTACTGAGCAGAATGAGGTTTTGGATAAGAAGTCTGAGAAGAAAGGGAAGAAAAGAGGAAAGAAAGAAAGTAGTGATGATAGTGGTTTTAAAATAGAAGATTTGTTAGAGATGGCCAGTGGGCATGATGAAGATATTGGTAAGAAGGCCGAGAAGAAAAGAGAGAAAAGAGGAAAGAAAAAAAGTGATGACAGTGGTTTAACAATGGGTGGAACAGATTTGTTAGAGAAGGGCAGTGGGCACAATGAAGATTTTGGTAAGAAGGCCGATAAGAAAAGGGAGAAAGTAAGAAAGAAAGAAAGTGATGATAGTGGTTTAACAATGGGTGAAACAGATTTTTTTGAGAAGGCCAGTGGGCACAATGCAGATATTGGTAAGAAGGCCGAAAAGAAAAGGAAGAAAAGGGGAAAGAAAGAAAGTGATGATAGTAGTTTATTTACAATGCAGCAGGACTTGTCAACTGAGCATAGTCGGGAGGAATGTGAGAGGAAAAAAGAAACCAAAAGGAAAAAGAAGTACCAGGATGATTCATCGAATGCTCTGGAAGAATATGTAGAAGATGGCAAGATCAATGTAGTGGACAATAGCTGTAATAAGAGAAGATATAACGAAGCAGATCATGCTGAAAAAGAAAACAAGGGGAAAATGAAGAAGAAGAAGTCCAAATCAATGAAATATGGGTTTGATGAAATTTGGGATGACAAATTGTCTACTAACAAAGGAAATAATCAAATTGGCAGGCTAGAGGAAAATGATTCTCATGACATGCAAGATGGTTGCATAAAATCAGCTATGAAAGGATCGAAGAAACGGAACAAATTTGTGGAGAATGGTTCAAGTGACCAATTACCTGATAACAGTAATAAGAAAGTGAGGTTTACTGCCCAGGATGAGGTTTTCCCTGTACCAAGTGATTTGAATACTGAGAAAGAAAATGATGATAAAGATAAAATGGTGTTAGGGAAGCGGTTCACACGTGAAGAAGATGAGATTGTCAAAGAGGCTGTTCGAAAGTACATAGAAGAACATGACCTGGGTGAGGAAGGTTTGGACATGGTCTTGAACTGTAAAAAGCACCGCCGTCAAGTGAATGGCTGTTGGAAAGAAATAGGGTCTGCCATACCATACAGACCATATGTAGCTGTCTACTACCGCGCTCAAATTTTGTTTCGAAGGTCTGAGAATCGGAAGTGGACTCAAGAAGAGTATGATGAGATTTTGAAATATCAGAAAAAGCATGGCAACCGTTGGAAAGAAATAGCGGAAGAACTTGGAAAGCACAGATTTCATGTGAAGGATACTTGGCGGAGAATAAAACTAGCTAACCAGAATAAAGGGCATTGGACTCAAGGTGAATATCAAAAACTGTTCGATTTAGTAAACCTTGACCTACAGTTGAAAGTATTTGATGAGAAAAAGTCCAAGTATGGAATGCTGCGAGACAATATTCCGTGGACAGCTATAAGTGATAAATTGACCACTCGGTCTCAAGCAAATTGCTGCCTTAAATGGTACAACCAGTTAAGCTCACCTATGGTATCTGAAGGCTTGTGGGCTGATGTAGATGACTATCGCTTGCTAGATGCCCTTTATAGCTACGACGCCACTTGCATGGAAGATGTCGATTGGGATAATATTCTTGATAACAGATCAGGAGATGTGTGTCGGAAGCGTTGGAACCAAATGGTTCTGCACATCGGTCAGCATGGTAGCAAGTCATTTTCTGAACAAGTTGAAGTATTGGCCCAACGGTATTGTCCCCATCTTATTGAGGCAAGAGAGACATGGGATAGCAAACCAAGGATTCCATAACACTACTGATCATAGGGTATGTCTGCACTGTTTGAAAATATTTGCATTAATTATCTATGTGTTGTTTGTTGGTTTTTAAGTTTGTTATTTTTGTGTGCCTCTGGATGGTTGATATATTTGCACTATTCTATCTAATGTTTTTGTTATTGTCATTCTTAAACCTTGTTTGCTAAAATATTTTTTTAATGCTTTCACTAGGGCACGGGATCCTCGGCACCCAACCCCTCCCAGCCCCTAGCTCTATCCTATGTGTGATTCTGCTTCTAACTCTATGCTCCACCCACCATCCATTATCGAGGATGCAAAGTCTGTGCTGAGAAAATTTTCTCTTGTTTCCTCAGATTTCGCATATTTCAGTTAATCTGTAAATTTCTAAAATCTTGTTTATTCCTTTGGTCACCCAGCTGAAATTCCGGTTGCCTGTGGTTTGTGATTTTGTGAGTTGTGTTTGGAGAGAGGTTTGATTTGAGTAAGTTTTGTTGTCGCACTGCTCCCCGTGGTGTATGAAGTACATCTCGTTACATCAATGTTCAGGATCTTTGTTACTTTCAGCTATTCTCCCGGGAAGAAGTAAAATGATCCAGATCTTTATCTTTCTTTTTTTTGTTAATTTTATATATAGTTATATACTATGACATGTTAACTTACCATGAATTGAATACTTAATATGATTGTTGTGGAGCACGATGAAAATTAAGGTGTTGCTCTGTTCATGATTGCTGAATCTTGGAACTATCGACTTAATATCAACTGCTTACTATTTGATGTAAATTGCATTACAATTTGAGTTGAAATGCCATTCTCTTGTGTTATACCTTTTTATACGGAAAGTAGAAATACTTCGCAGAATATTATTTTTTGTTTGTGGAACATCATATATTGGGATCATTGTAGTGCTGCTCGACAAGAAGATAAGTTTTATGCACCTTCCATTAATTCTTCACTGTGAACTGTTTTTCTAAGAGTCTTTGGCATCAATATGATATATTTTCAGGTTGATACTTAATTGATACTTAATTTTCCAAGTCAACTCTGATGCTTAAACATTTGTCTCTCTAGTGCTTTACATGTATGTATGTATATTATTTTGTCCGACCTTGTGCTGGGTTGAGCGCATGTCGCTTGATAATGAAATTTGATTCGACCTTGCCTGTATAAAGATTAGGCCAGTTTCTCGACTACTAGCTACTGATTATTTTGCACCAGGTTATTTTTTTTGGGCAGTTCTAATGGCCAACTTGGCTCGCATTGTGTATATGTACACGGCGGTTTATGATTGAAGGCTCTCATTCCAAAATACAGAGGTACCCTACTTCCATTGTACTCTTTGTTGAAAAGCTACGATTGGAACCAGCAATTTAACTAAATAAAAACAGTATACCTATTGAAGCAAAGGATATAGTCATTGCAAGGTTTTGGTTTTGTTTTTCTATCCTTGCTGATCAACTGATTGGATAATCTTGTATCAATGTGCTTGTCCTTCAATTTATTTTAATTTTTCCATGATTATAAAGTTGCCAAACTTGGTCCTAGGTGCTCATGATTTTATTGCAACAGTGATAGCTAGGTTCTATGCCGTATATCTTTTGATAATTTAAACCGGATGGCGTTCTTTCATCTCTGTATAAACCTATTGATCCCATCTCCTCTGTTCGGAAAATCCGTTGTTGATTGCAAAATTGAAACTTTCAAAAGACCGATTAATTATGACAATTAAACCATTTGCTGTGCTGTGGAAATACATTGGTGCGGAGATATCTCTGCAGATGATGATCAATTAGGACTAAAAACATATTGCAACATACCTCATTATATTTGACTTTGTGCATTTCAGCAAAAACTTTCCAGAAGAGACTATCTGCAATTTTTGTTGATTTAGCAATGAAATTGTACTTTCTGATACCCTTTATTGTCTGGTATTTTTTACTAGTTTGGATCATGATGGCTGTGTTTTATGTTGTTTTGGATGTTTAGATTGATTATATGCACATTTGTACATTTGACTTTGTGAAAATTGTTGGTTAAAAAAAGAAAAGAAGAGAAAATTGATTGATTATAGCTGTAGTTTGGCTTTGGAATGATTAGTCTTGAAATATATGTCTTATATATATATATATATATATATGTATGATTTAGGATTATTATATGAGCATGTAGATTAATTGAGAATGTGCTAAATTAATCTTGGCTGTATGTCATATACATTAATCATGGGTGGAGATGTAGCTGGATCATTTTGTCGTTTTCTAAATATTTAGATTTAAATATTTTGTTGGTTGAGTTAATTATTTTATTCTGTGAGATTGATTGGACAAAAACATTTTTTTGCTTGAATTCTGAAGTTATTGACGGAGTCTGTCTATTATATTGCTCTTTAATTTTTATTTATTTTTTTAATGTGTTTACACAATAATATTTCACCCTTGTATCGATTGTAATAATCTCATATTTAGTATAATTGTAATATAGCAGTAAAAATATCTGTTTCAATATTCGTTTTCTATTTAAAACACAAAAAGTAACATATCGTCGTCTTAAAACTTGCAAAAATATATGAATGATAACAAAAATTTGAAAAATATCTGTATAAAGAGACTAAACCATTAACACAAGTTTATATGAACATACCCATAGATCTATTTTATTTGATTTTTATTTTTATTATAAAAATTTATTTGTGCGTTTCAAAATTTGCATTTTACTATTTATTATTATTTTTTAAAAAAATCAAACCAAATATATATATATATTTATAGTATATTAAATATCAATTTAATATTTAAAATTATCATGCTATTTTCCATTTGCATAAAAATTTAAAAATAAAATATTTAATAAAATTATTACAGGTATGACTGAGAGAGTAATTTTTTCTATAAATAAAATATGCTAAAATCATATTTATTATTTTTATATTATATATACAAAACTCAAAACAAATATGTGTTTTGTGAATAAATAAAAATAAAATTAAGCATATATATATATATATATACACATATATAATCAAAGAAGATAGAATTAATATGAAAATATAGTATTCATTTTCCAAAGAATATTTCATTCAAAACAAATATAAAAAGACCACACTGAAACTCAATTCTTGAAAATAAATAATAAAGTCATTATCGTGAGGGATTATAAAAGAAAAAAAAAAGTAACAATCCATTATTGATGTTCTTTTAGAATTGTCGCTTCGTCCACGTCTCTAGTGGCCGCCCAGAAACAAAAGTTTAAAAATAACGGCCAAGGCCCCGTGGCCATGCCTGCAACAACCAGAGCTTTTACTTGGGAGATTCTTCCACTCAAACTCCATCGCCATCGCGATCCTCGTTCTTAACTATTATTCTCTTGTCTTCCAATAATGGCTTGCAATTAATGATTGATATTATCCATAAAGTTCTACAGCTGCACAGACACTTAAAATGTCAGACTGTGGAGCTCGCACGCGCCTAAACTACAAAGGAGAAATCAATGCCATTTGTCGCTTCTCCTTGGACTGTCTGCACATCTAGTCGGTGCGGTCTTTGTGTCTCTGGGCTATATGTAATTCGGAATTGCAATAAATTTCATGCTTTGTTAGAAGCCATAATTGGCCAAACATTTGTTGTGCTTGCGGATGGGAAACCTAGTGCTGTTTCTTTCCGCCTTTCTATGGATTTTGGGTGTTGAGGGGTACAGAGAATATAATACAAGGAGTGGAATTGTTGATGGGAAATTGAATGTGCACTTGGTTGCTCACACGCATGATGATGTGGGATGGCTTAAGACCATTGATCAGTACTATGTTGGATCGAATAATAGCATTCAGGTTGGTTTTTGCTGCTATGTGTTCATGGAATGTTTGGTGTTTGGGGATGTTTGTTGATCGTTGTTTTTGGATGTGTTCTTTGGTGGATGCAGGGTGCCTGCGTGGAAAACATTTTGGATTCTGTGGTGGATGCGCTGCGCCGTGACCCGAATAGGAAGTTTATATATGTCGAAATGGTAGCTCAGTTGATATGGTTTTTGTTTATCTATGGTGGATTTTGTTATTAAGTCAATGTGTATGAGAATTGTCAGTTTTTGGTTTGTTTTTTGATTAGATGATTGTGTGTTTGTTTATTTGCTTGCTGTGTGGAATTGGTTTAGGCCTTTTTCGATAGATGGTGGAAAGAGCAAAGTGTAGAAACTCAAGCAGAAGTAAGAAATTTGGTTGATGCTGGCCGGCTGGAATTCGTGTATGATGAGTCCATGTGGTAGCTTGTTAGTATTCGGAAATTTCTTGTTTAGAATAATGTTAATTGCGGCGTTTATGTGCAGAAATGGCGGCTGGTGTATGCATGATGAAGCTACTACTCACTATATAGACATGATTGACCAGACAACTCTTGGCCACCAATTGATCAAAAGTCAATTCAATAAGACTCCCCGTGCTGGATGGCAGATCGATCCTTTTGGGCATTCTGCAGTGCAAGCTTATCTGCTGACATCTGAGGTTGGAAACATTGCAAGATCAAACTTGCTGCTGTCCCTCTTATTGGAATTATTTATGTAATTATATTACTTTATTGTTTGCATAATGAATTTTTATTGAATGGGATATGCAGCTAGGATTTGATTCAGTTCATTTTGCACGGATTGATTATCAAGACCGGGCAAAGCGTAAGGAAGATAAATCTCTTGAGGTTATATGGCAGGGTTCTAGGACATTTGGTTCCTCTTCTCAAGTAAGAAATACAACCCTTTGTTCTTTTAATTTTGTTTGCTCGATCACCTTTAAGGTCCGATATGGTGCAGATATTTGCTAATGCATTTCCAGTTCACTACAGCCCACCGACTGGGTTCCATTTTGAAGTAAATGATGACTTCAGTCCAGTTCAGGTTTGTTGGCTAAGGAGCATTAAGTTTTGAGGTTATGGTTATCTCTCTAACATCCTTTTTTCAAGACAATGATCGCATCTCTACACTGCAGGATGATCCTCATATCTTTGATTTTAACGTTGACGAAAGGGTTAATGATTTTATTGCTGCTGCAATGACTCAGGTAGAACTTGTGATCACAAAAGCACACCAAGCTTACTTACTTATTGTTTGAAATATCCTGCTACAGCTATCATTTGGGTTCGGTATGTAGGCAAATGTCACAAGAACAAATCATATTATGTGGACAATGGGAGATGACTTCCAGTATCAATATGCCGAGTCATGGTTCAAGCAGATGGACAAACTTATTCATTATGTTAACAAGGTACACATACTATAATGTTGATCAGCAGCATTTTCAATAAAAAGGATGCTGTATGAGTCTAACAGAGTTGGCTGGAACAGGATGGTCGTGTAAATGCATTGTATTCTACTCCAACGATATATACGGATGCCAAACATGCAGCCAATGAATCTTTTCCTCTGAAGCTTGATGATTATTTCCCGTGAGCACCACCTATTATGATTTCTGTTATCTGCACTGTTTGATTGGTGAATAAATTTGAATGTACTTCTGTCGATTATGAAAGATATGCAGACGATGAAAATTCTTACTGGACTGGATTTTTTACAAGTCGCCCAGCCTTAAAACGATACGTCCGGGCACTGAGTGGATACTATGTGGTAATCTCTTGAATTGATTTTTGTGAGTGCATAAAGCCGAAGGGAAAAATAATTGACTGTTTTCACCTTTGCAGGTTAAAGTTGTCTCTTGTTGGGATTGAAAATATGTTTTTCAGTCTTTTCCGGAAAATAAATATAAGAAGTTTCATACTAAAGGAAGAGAATCATACTTCTATCAAATAACTAAAAGAATTATACTTGTTTGCATTTGATATTTATTATATGCAAATTTAGTATGTAAAGATTAGAACATAACTAAATAACTTTCGAGCATGAAATTACGCAGTACAAAGATCTACTACCATCTTATTATAATCAGTGTTTTATTTTTGAATGTCTATCTTATTGGTACTTCTTCCACTGAAATTAATTTCCTTTTTGTTGTGCCAACATTAAGCCTTGTTACAAAATTTTGCATGAGTTTAGTGTTTTTGAAGAAGATAGATATTGATTCTTATATTAGCTCTGTGTATTATAGGCAGCTCGCCAACTTGAATTTATGGCGGGGAGGAGATCAACTAGTCCTAATACTGATGGATTAGGCGATGCTCTAGGAATCGCTCAGCACCATGATGCTGTTACCGGTACTGCTAAACAGCATACTACGAATGACTATGCTAAGCGTTTGGCTATTGGGGCTACAGAGGTAAGTTATATCATGTAGTATTGCTATGTAAATACTCTCTATCCATATGCATTACTTTACTGAAATGGATACAGTCAATACATGAAGTTTGGAGAATGTCTCTTATCCTCCTATAGAGATGCATGCATGAATAAAGTTGAAAAAGGAAATAAAAAGTAAAAAACAATCAACTGCAACTTTAGAAACTGATGACTGCAGATCAAAATTGCCAGTGGGAATTTTGGTTTGATTCCTATTAATATGATCAGCTATGGTGACCGTCTAACATCTACAACTGATTTTCTAATGTTGCAATGTTAATGAATTGTCTTATTTGCACAGGCAGAAATTGTTGTCGACTCAGCTTTGTCTTGTCTTCTCAGTTCAGAGACGAACGGAAATTGTACTGCATCTAAATCAACATTTAGCCAGGTTAGACATTTCTGATCTCACTTTAAGTGTTTTTGGTGATTCTAATGCTCCCATGAAATATAATATTTTCTTGTGCTCTTTTGGTTTGTGAACAGTGTCAGTTACTCAATATAAGTTTCTGCCCACCAACAGAAGAAGATATTCCTCAAGGGAAGAGCTTGGTAACAATTTTTTATTTTCATGAAAGTTTGGACACACAAAGTGATACACCAAAAACCATTACTCACTGAATATATATACCTATGTATGTATATCCTTTGGTTAGGTGGTTGTGGCGTACAACCCACTGAGTTGGAGCAGGACTGATATGATACGGATTCCTGTGAGTTGGAATATTTTTCTCTATACTTCTTCGATTTTTGTATGATATCTTTTTTTCATATTCTTGATTGACTCAAGTGTTTTCCTAAATCTCATCCCAATTCAATTAAAGCTCACTTGCTACTGGTTAAGCTGTGAATCTGTTCCTCATAATAGCTTAGGTAAAGCACTTCATTAAATTGACTGGTTAAATGTATAGAATAATGTAAATGAATACATTTCGAAATATAAAGATTATATATTTTGTCAGGAATTTCACATTCAAAACCATGTCTATCAGCTCTAATGAAACCATTGTAGAAAAGTTTCTAAGCCAAAGGGGAATAATCTTTTTTTTTTTTTTTTTTTCAATTTTAAAAATATTACATCCAACCCGTATTTTCTATACAAAAACATCATATTCAATAATTGTCATACAATAATAACTCCCCCCCCCCCCCCCCAAAAAAAAAACAAAAAAAAAGAAACTTAATAAAAATAAATATCAAGTGAATAAATCCAAAATTTCTAGCAATTTCCCTCTAGTTAGAAACCTCTATGAAGTGGACTTCTGATACAAGTGATTTATTTGAGTCTACAGGTCAACAATGATAATCTTGTTGTAAAGGATTCAACGGGAAACGTTGTAGAATCTCAATATCTAGAAGTCGATACTGTGACAGCCAAGTTGAGAAAGGTTTATGTGGAGGCATATACTGGAATTTCAGACAAACATGCAGCAAAGTATTGGCTTATCTTTCCAGCATCAGTACCACCATTGGGTTGGAATACTTATTTCATTTCGAAAGAAGCTGAAAAAGGTACTACTCACAAAATACATTACTCTCAACAAACCATCAGTCCTGAAATTCTTACAAGTTCTTTAAAAAAAGCCAAAAAGGCTAATTAGATATATCCCAGTGTGGATTAGTTTATGGTCTGCTCTAAAACTATTGATGATTTTATCCTGACAAGTTCTTGCATTTGGACTTCAATGAAGCAGGAAATATAGACAGTTATGTGTCTGCTGCGGATCAGCCTACAGAGGAAACTATTGAAATTGGACCAGGAAATCTTAAGTTATCATTTTCCTCCACATCGGGGCAACTTAAACGCATGTTCAATGCCAAAACAGGGGTAAGAACTATCTTCTTCTGAACACTTTTTAATTATGCATTGGTCTAGTTGTTTTTAGATAACAGGGTATCAGAAATTATCTAGTATCCTATGCGACACTGAAACTTAACAGAATTATCTGGACCAAGTTAATTAAGAACACACCACAGGAGTCATGATGTGTGGATATTCGAATGTCGTGTTCCAATGTATGTATTTTACTTGAAGATCTAAGTGTAAGCTAAAATTGAACTTAACCCACTTCTCACTATTTTCTATGGAAGAGTATATCTTTCCCTTTACTAGAATGTTAAAACCAAGGTAATTCTTAAGGTTAAAAGCTTTTCCTACTGTATTGGTGTAATAGTTTTTAATATTTGTCAGTTGCGGTTGACTGTTATTGGCATGTTGAAATTCTTAAAATTTCTATTTTCAGAAACTTCATGTTGTTACTCATTTATTTGTATGGCTATATGAAGTCACCTGTTCTCAGCCACTTGTTTCTAATTTATCTCTGTTTGTAATGAATATATGTTCTTTTATACGGTTAATGTATCCATACCAGGTCGATATACCAGTACAACAAAGCTATCTTTGGTATTCTTCAAGCACTGGAGATTCTGATGGACAGGTATTTGCACTTGAGTGTACTTAACGCAGCTTCATATAACTTGCCATTTCTTTCAATGCTGTCATTGCTACATGTATCATACTCAACTTTTTCAGGCTTCTGGTGCATATATTTTCCGACCAACTGGATCAACGCCTTCTGTAGCCTCTAGATCGGTGAGGGATCCCAGTCTTTCTTTAATCTTATATTTAAAATTTGGCTTATCCATGCCTTGATTTGCAAGATAACCATTTTTCTTCTCTAATTCTTCTGAATGCTTCTGTTTCTCCTTACAGGTTCCTCTAAAGATAATCCGAGGGCATTTAGTTGATGAAGTCCATCAACAATTTAGTCCATGGATTTCTCAGGTTGGGTATTTTGAAAAGTTCTCCCTTTCTCAACATCAATTTTCTTTTGATGGAAGAAATCATGTAGCTTCACCTACTGAAGTAACTTGTCGAAATTGCCAGATAATTAGAGTATACAAACACCAAGAGCATGCTGAATTTGAATTCACGGTTAGTGATTCTCAAGTAGATTCCCTATTCTAGATTTTCTTTGACTGTCTTCTTCTTTCCCTGATCACCATCCTAATCTCATTCCATTTACATGCTTATAACCCAAAGGTTGGTCCAATTCCTGTTGACGATAGCATCGGAAAAGAGGTCATTACAAGATTGACGGCTAACATGGCTACCGATAAAGTGTTCTATACCGATTCCAATGCAAGAGACTTTATAAAACGGGTTTGTCTTCCATTCATCACTGAATTCTATCCCTTCTTATAGTGTGACTTGATTCCTTTTTTAGTTCTTATACTATTGTTCCGTTCACCATATTAGTAATTATGCTTCTGCATACTTTTGTTTTATATAATCCGGAAAAGTTTGCTTTTCTGTCTTGAGATCTGCCTCTGAACTATAGTTATTATCTTCTTAACAAATGAGATGATACGAAATCTCAAAAAGGCAATGATGTGAACTGTATAATACCTTTTGTTAGAATAACTTCCTTACCTCGAAATTTTAAGCCCTTAGGTCATATAATTAGTAACATTCGATAGCACCACATTGCGCTACATCTTGGGTGATATAGGCAAGTTGAAGTCGGGGAATATCACATCCATGGTAAAAACTGTAGACTACAGTATATCTGGATGGACATTTTTCATTACTTTGTGTGTTTTACTATTCTACTAGTTACCTTTCTTTGTTAGTTATGTGTGCATTTCCCTGTAAAATTTCAGATCAGAGATTACAGAGCTGATTGGCCCCTCACAGTTACTCAACCTGTAGCCGGGAATTACTATCCGGTAACGTTCTCAACTTCAACCTATCTTTTGTGCTAAACTGGATTTCCTTTTTCTAAAATTTATGTGTAGAGTAAAGAAACTTTCTGCATTTGGTTGTTTAGCATTGCTTCTGTCCCCTCAACATTAGGAAAAAAATGGCTTTGATTCATTGATTCCTTCTCAGATTAATCTTGGAATTTACATGGAGGATAGGAACTCGGAGTTCTCTGTTCTTGTTGACCGGGCCACTGGAGGATCAAGCATCAAGGATGGAGAAATTGAGCTGATGCTGCACAGGTATACAAATCATCAGAATCCCTTTTCCTTCAGATGATCGCATTTCTAATTTATACTTTTTATCCAGGCGGATGCTTAATGATGATTCTCGAGGAGTTGGTGAGCCCCTTGATGAGCTCGTCTGTCTCAATGTTACATGCGAAGGACTCACGGTACAAAATTATGCTACATTTCATCATCTTGCAACAACTCATGACAAATCTTCAGATGCTAATATTATCCACTAGTTAAATACATCCATGGCGCAGCTCATAGTTTCTATCGAATTAAACTGGTGGCTGATACATTTGATGCAAATATCAATACCATAGTTTCTGACACTGCAATGGTGATATGAACATTTAGGTACGAGGAAATTATTACGTAAGCATCAACAAGCGCGGCGCAGGAGCGCAGTGGAGGCGAACTGCAGGCCAAGAAATATATTCCCCCCTCATTTTAGCCTTTTCGCACGAGGTTAATACTTTTTGATACATCGATAACTCTTAGTTGTCATCTGATTAATTGCTTGATGCTAACTCCACAGGACTCAGAGAAATGGAAATCTTCTCATTCTACGTCGGCCACATCCATGGAACCAAACTACAACTTACCTGGTAATGTCGCATTGATCACTCTCCAAGAAATGGTTGATGGCAGCGCGCTCCTTCGACTGGCACATCTATATGAGGTAAAGCCCGGCCTGTTTTTAACATATGTAGTTGTTGGTTTAAGTTTTTAACAGCTACCTCAAATTATTCGACTTATTTAGCTCGTTGTCATGTAGGCAGGCGAAGACTCCGACTACTCCAAACTAGCTAAAGTCGAACTTAAGAAGATGTTTGCCGGGAAAACAGTATGTCAAATTCAAGAACAATCCTTTTGGCAAATTACATGGAATTTTTTTTAACCGTTGAATTTGCAAATAATTTGAATCGAGCCAATGTACGCAAATATGTATATATATATATATATGTATGTATATAGTGACTAATATACTCCCTCTTTGTTTTAGATCAAGAGTTTGAAGGAGACAAGCCTATCGGCGAATCAAGACAAGTCGGGGATGAAGACGAGTTGGAAAGTCGAAAGGAAGGCTTCTGGTCGGGACCAGGTATCGATTCGAGGAGGCCCTGTTGATATGTCGACTCTCGTGGTCGAGCTGGGGCCGATGGAGATCAGGACATTCATCTTAACGTTCTGAAGCAAATGCAAATTCAAATGCAGATAGAATGTAATGTTATGTTTCATTTCATTTAGTTTTGAACTGTGTAATAAGCTACCAACTGTCTTGTGGTTTGCTATGAAATAATGTATCATTGTTGTGAAATAAATAGGAAAAAAAATGTTTGATTTGATTACATTTGTGATTTTTAAATGTAAAATATTTGTGGGATGAAAAGAATGTGATAGTAAGTGCAAGTGTTCAGCACCTCCTGATGTCTTAATTTAATACTTAATTATGTTATTAAATTTTTAATTTTTAATTATGTAATATAATTATATAATTATTACCTATCAGCACAAGTGAGTTGAGTTTTTGGTAGGAAAGAAGAGTGAAAAGTAGAGTGTGTTTTGGTTTATATTTTAAAGTAAAATTACTATATTTTGATAAAAATATTATTTCTTATGAAATGATTTAAATACTTTCTTCCTCTATAAAGAATATAAATATTTTTGTAAATTACAAAAAAAAAAATAATAATAATGAACATAATTTTAGTGAATGAAAAAATAGTACTCCAGTTTGATATTTTGTGTGTTTTTTTACACAAAAAAAATATATCAGGTTTTTACTATTTGAACTCAGCTAAAAAAAATTGTTTCCTTATAAAAATATGTCATCATATATTATTTTAATACCAAATTCAAACCAAAATTTTTAAAATATTATGAAAAAAAACAAACTTTTTGTAACATACAAATAATAATATTTTATTACAAGTTGTATAAATAAAATATTAATTTGAATTTGAAATTATAATCAAATACATCTTTGGTATTGGATCAAAAACATAATTTTTTATCTTAAAAATATTTATTAAAATCAGGGGTTGTTTTGTTTCAATTTCAAATATAAACAAAACAATCCCTGATTTTAAGGTTGACAATAAAAATTTTATACTCTCTTCGTCCCACATGATTTGATCATATTTTGGAAATATAATTATGCACTTTAATAGCATTTTAAATTTTAAATTTTATAATTTTCTTAATTTTAATTAAACTATTTACTTATCTTAATTTTAATCTATATTTATTTTTACTAAATAATAATTATTTTTATAAATACATTTTTTAATTACTTACTAATTATACTTTACCTAAATTTATGTGTCTACAGTTATAGATGGACGGAAGATAGATTCTGAAGTTTTCGATTTATCTGAAACAAAAGAAAATAGAACAAAGAAGACACTTAGGGTAGGTTTGTTTGAGGGTTTGAATTTTGAGTTGGGATTTGAATAGTAAAAATTTTGAATTTGAATAGTTGTATGATGTGATATAAATAGGTGATGATGTGATGTTTTGAATGTAAAATTGATTTTTAGTATAATATAAAAAATGAAAAATAAGTGTTTGATTTGATGTTTTTGGAGGGAAAATTTTGGATGAATAGTGGAATTTAATCCAAATCCATCAAACGAACACACCCTTAAAGAAAATTAAAACAGAGCCGGCAGAACAACTCAAAAATAAAGAAATAAGTATTATAAAATATTATTTTAATTTAAATTTAAAACTTTATCTTTTAATATTTTATTTATTTATTTTCAAAACTCGAGAACCCTCCGCCAAAAAGCGAGCCAAAAATTTTTTACACATCTTTCAAGTAACAAAACGTGTTCCCTCCGTGTCTTGTCTCACCGACCAATGAATGATAGATATTATTATTATTATTATTATTATTTCTTCTTCAATTTGTTGGAGTGGCCGTAAATGTAAATTTTAAAACTTCTGTTTGTATCGTCGCACCTGTGCTCTGTGCATCGATCCGAAGAGCTTAATCTGTCCATCAATGGCGTCCCAAAACCCTAACCCTAATCGTGTGCCCATGTACCCGCAAGTCATCGACCCCACCGCCCCTCCCATCTACTCCTCCAATTCCTCCTCCTCCCTCTACCCTACAATCGACATGACAGACCTCGCACAAAACCTTTTCCCCAATTCCGACGAAGGAAAGTCGCCTGGATCGCAACCCGCCAAAGCCTCCGCCCCTCCGCAGTGCGTCGACGAGACGCTCATTACAATTCCCGGCGTCATCCTCCACCTGATCGACAAGCAATACTCCGTCGAGCTCGCCACCGGTGATCTCCGTATCGTGCGCCTCCGCCAGGGCGATAACACCCTCGCCGCGTTGGCTTCAGTCGCCGACGACGTACAATGGCCGTTGACCGCCGACATCGCCTCCGTTAAGCTCGATTCTTTCCACTACTTCTTCTCCTTCAAGGCGCCCGACGATCCAGACTCCGGCGAAGACGCCAAAAAGGGGAAGAAGAATCACGATAAAGATAAAGTGGAAAACGAAATGTTGAGCTACGGTTTAACGATAGCTTCCAAGGGTCAGGAACGCCTGCTCATCGAATTGGACACTATCCTGGAAACATTCAGTAATTTCTCCGTGCAAAAGGTGGAGGAGAAGGCGGCTGTGGCCATGGCAGGAGCGGCGGCTCGTGAGATCACGCCAGGGGAATTAAAAGCAGACACAAAGAAGAAAGCTGAGGTGGAAGGGCAATGTGCAGCTTACTGGACAACATTGGCTCCAAATGTAGAAGATTACAGTGGGACAGCTGCAAAGCTCATTGCAACAGGCTCCGGGAAGCTGGTTAAGGGCATCTTATGGTGTGGAGATGTCACCATGGATCGATTAAATCGTGGAGATGAAGTTCTGAGGAGCAGGATGGCTCCTGGTGAAGTCAAAGAAATCGATCCTGCTACATTGAGGAGGATCAGAAGGTCTGTAGTATCCTTGATCAGAATTCACCTTTTTGATTGCCTGTTCTTGATTGGGAATAATTTTTTGTCCCATTGTAGGAGTTTTGGAATACACGTTCATGGTGTTGCTAGATTTGGAGTTTTGTAGATTGCTTTAATGTCTACAATGTGGTTATGTGTTAAAACTATTGTGGTTGATTATCGGTTTGTTTGCCGCAGGGTTAAGCGAGTGACGAGTATGACAGAAAAAGTAGCTTTAGGGGTGCTCTCAGGAGTTGTGAAGGTCTCGGGATTCTTTACTGGTTCGATTGCGAATTCGTCAGTTGGAAAGAAGTTTTTCAGTCTCTTGCCTGGGGAAATTGTGCTTGCTTCTCTCGATGGATTCAGTATGTTAAATTATAGCATTTCTATAATAGCTCAAATAATTGCTTTATTCGTAGTTAAAGTTGCTGGTTAGGATTTGATCTTTTTGGTTATTTGCTAGTCGATACTCTGCTAGTAGAAAATGGAGATTAACTCGTTATCAAAGGCTCCGAACTCAATCCTGGTGAAATCATGAAAAAGGGTTCTGTAACATATTGAAGACTATCATAGTTAACTGTCGTAAATCTTGAAATACTTGGAGGTAGATTTGTTACCTAATCGATGGGTTTTTGTTAATTATTCTGCATTGGGAAACACATAGACAATGTGCCATATTGGACATTCATAGAATTTCATCTATATATGTTGAATTTGGTTTGAATGATTGTGCATTGTTCTCGGCCCCTAGAAAAAATAAAAGAAACTTGTATACTAAAGTTTTCTGATCCAGTTTTCCCTGTAAATGCATCTAATCACAGGCAAAGTTTGCGATGCTGTTGAAGTATCCGGGAAGAATGTGATGTCAACATCTTCCACCGTGACTACTGGACTTGTATCTCACAAGTAAGTTAATTCTTTTCATTTGATGGTCTGAAAACTTGTTGAATTCGGATTCTGAAAATTTTCATTTCTTGATTTGAAGGTATGGCGAAGAGGCAGGCAAGGCAACGAGCGAGAGTTTGGATGCTGCAGGGCACGCCATAGGGACGGCATGGGCAGTATTTAAGCTCCGGAAGGCACTAAATCCTAAAAGTGTATTAAAGCCCACAACTCTTGCCAAGTCTGCGGCTAAATCAGCCGCTGCTGAAATGAAGGCAAAAGGCTCCAAGTAAATTATTCAATCCGAAGGTACGATAATCCATGTGTTTGTTGTGTGTGTGTATATATAAATATGTTTACTTGTCTTCACGGCATCATTCATTCGTTTCTTGTCAATTATGCTATGCTATGTTAGTTGCAAAGGCTATTGAACACAGTTGATGACATTGCAATCAAAATTTTTGCTACCTGCTTTTGTGTAAGCTTTCATTGAAAATGTCTTTGTGCTACAGAGCTGATTTTCATCTGGTGTTTTATTTAGTTGAATGTTTTGAATTGAGATATGAGAGATGAATGTATTGTTTTGATATAGTCCACATCGGAAAATTAGAAGAAGTACTTAAGTCTCACGTATAATTCCACTAATATGAGGTTTTTCGGAGAAAGTTCAAAAACAAATTCATGCGATCTCGGGCCAAAATGAAGAATGTCGTACTAGTGTTCGAGTTGACTCAATCCTAACATATACCATTTCTTTGGAAATTTAGAAGGCCACATTACCAAGTTTATTCATGTGTTGATTGTGGATTGTGGTTATGCCGTTTATCAAACTCATTTATTATTATTATTTTTATGGCGTGGAAATCCGTAACTTTTACTTTTCGAGTACCGTAAATTCTTGACCGAATTTAATAACTTGCAATTTATGTTTGTGAGACATGTTACATAAGACGAATCATATGCGAGGGTTGAGGGTTTTAACCAATGACCTTGTGATTACGAGTTCAATGTTCAATATATTGTTGGAAAAATAGGACAATAGGTAATATGATGTTTGTTGATGTAGTTATGTTGTTGTTCTGTGCTTCTGAATTTTGTAAAAAAATTGCATTGCAATGACATGTAAAAGTTTTTATTTATGGTGTGTATCCTATTGATTGATTGATGGGCATGAATATTCAATTTTTTTATTTTTTTTATATGAAGTAGAAATCCGCAGCCATTACCTGAAAGTGCGCACTGGGTAAATCTTCAGCAGAACTTAATATTCTGCAAATTAGGAATTCAATCAATATTGTTTGTTGTTGTTACGGCTTTGTTTACTCGTAAGATTTTAGCATTGATTTTACTGTTGGCTGATATTAGAGTGGAGTAATTGCTCTATTCTTATTGCTTACGTTACCAAATTTTTGTACTTTGGTCTTATATATACACGAATGTTTACTGATGTATAGAGTCTTGGTTTTAATGAAATATATATATATATAAATTTTTATTTGAATTTGATATTAAATTAATAGAGATCTAAATAGTAAAGTAAAAGTTTGAAATTTGGAGATTAAGATTTTTTTTTAAAAAAAAAGTTACATTAAAATATTTAATTCAATATAAAAACAAACAAAAATACAAATTAAGCAAGCTTCATCGATTTGTAAATTTATTATTATATTATTTTTAAAAATATTTTTAATTTATTTTTGAAAATAAAATAATGTATTTCTATCTTTTTTTTTATTATTAAAAACATAAAAATATCAACAAAAAATAAACACCATAAATGATGCCTATATATAATGAAAATATATAACTATAATTAAGAAAGCAGTATATATTGTTGTGTATTTTTTATTTTATTTATATATTTTTGAAAATTATGATTAAATAATTAGTATCCTACTCCTTTTTATTACTCCCTTCGTCCCGGATACCATGTCTACGTTGCCGTTTCTGTCCGTCCTCCCACGTACCATGTCACTTTCATTTTTTTGGAAAATGATTACACATTTAAATCTCATTTTAAATTTTTAATTTTTTTTTTAATTTTAAGTAAACTAATTAGTTATTTTAATCTTAATTTATAATTATTTATATTATAGGATAATTATTTTTACTAATACATTCTTAATTATCTACTAATTACACCCCTCATTAATTACATCTCTCGTAGAATACAGTGTCTACGGTATCAGACGTTATATATATACTAGTACTAATATTTTAACATCAACTCCCTTGTAGTTTATACTTTATAGAATGGCAATGTTAGGTCAAGTTTTGTTTGGTAAAGCATATATATTATGTATGTGTTTACAATATATTATTATCTGTTCGTGTGGTAAAGCATATATATTATGTATGTGTTTACAATATATTATTATCTGTTCGTGTTGGCTTTACTATTAGTTGGAATTTAGTGGAGTCACATTAATTAATTAATTAACATTGCACCTTTTCTATTTATTGCTTTATCTTATATAAAAAATAAAAAATAAAAAAATAAAAAATCTATTGTATGTGTACATTCATATGATTCTTTTGTGTACGGATGCTTGTCTATGTACCCTATTTATTATTGAGCATCATTTATCTCTTATTTGAATAAAACAACTTTTTAATATTATAAATTTAAAACTTTTGTCTATTGTCACTTCCTTAACTTTATTATGGTTGGCATGACAATGACACACATGTATGTAATGCTCCTTCCCTCACCCGCCTCTAAAAGTCGTTGTAATTAATATTAAAAATATTCTTATATTTGTATATATATATTTTTTTTTGTATAAATATTTTTTTATTAGTATTATAAAACACTGATAGAAGTATTTTTATAATTTTTTCTTAATATACTATATTTTAATATAATAATTAATATTCAAATATCAAGGAGAGCTTGGTTTATTTAATAATCAAGCATATTGATAGAGGAGTTTGGTTGATATATGTTGAAATTATTTTATAAAATGCTATATAAAATCTTTCAACTATGTGATATCCTATTTAAATTATGTTCTTATTATTATTATTATATATATATATATATTAGTAATAACGTCCAAAAGATCATTGAAGAAAAACATGTATCTTAAATTTAAATAGGATTGAAAACCAAGCAATCAATTCCACACCATTTAATTTATTTTATTTTATGTATCAATAGATAATTATATTGTAAATATCATAATATTTATTTTTTACTCTCATTCACAAGAGTATATATGTTTTTTATTTTTATTTTCATATATTATCAATAAAATACTACATATGTTCGGCTCTATGGATATCATTTACTTTTTTTATTTAATTTTTGAATATTAATTATTATATGAAAATATAATACAAATTAAAAAAAATTGCAAAAATGCTTTCACTATAAAAATATTTTTAATATTACTTACAATGACGCAAAAATAAATATAACCTTGGAAACGAATAGAGAGAATATAAAATACATATGACTTTAGACACAGACATCCTGAAGGAAATATTATTTTTTAATTCACTGAAAAAATAAAAATTCATTTGAAATGGAACTGAGAAAGTATATAATAGCATACAGAAATATTAACGATGTTACTGAGTTTAATTTGAATATATTTATAATGTATAGTCATATTTATAATATATATACTTTGGGTTTTGATCGGAATCCATATATATTTACTTTATTTTTGGTGATATGCAAATCACAATCTATATCTTAATAACTAATGACACAAAGGAGTATTATTCAAAAATGGATGATATAAAATAGGTATATATTAATATAATAAAAAATACTTTTGTAACACAAAATTTTTTTATTTTCTATTTTGAATTTGTCCACATAATTTATATATATTTGTTAGAAATATATATAATATATTTTTAATTTTATAATTTATAATTTTTTAAATTTTAATTTATAATTATTTTTATTATACCATACTCATTTTAATTATTTATTAAAATGATCAAGTACAATATATCCTCTCTCTCTCTCTCCCGGCAAAAACATCAGACTCAAACGAACAAATCCGACAGGCTAAAAAGATGTCACAAAGACACAAACTATTGGATGTCCAGAGTGATGACATAAACTAATATATCTCATGGATCTGCAAAATCTCCTATCTCCACTATCAAAACCACGTACAGCTACAGCTATACAGCAGCCATTGCCGAACCAGACCAGACCAGGTCACAAAGTGGACGTTCGTATTCCAATATGCCATTTTCATATATTCAAAAGTGCTTCCAATTCCAATATGCCATTCCAATTCCCAAATCCTCCCTCCAGATTTCCCCTCTTTTTCCCTCTACTCTTATAAAATTAAATGCCTCTTTGAGGTGGGAATGGGGTGGTTATGCTCCTTCTCCTGCTGCTGCTGCTGGATTTTTGGCCATTTGAGTTGTTGAGAAGGTGCTCTGCCAAATCCAATCATGTCTCCAGGCTGCACCAGAAGATCCTTCCAGAAGGATTCTGAAGATGAAGAGATTCAGTATGGGAATAGCCTCTGTCTTTCTTCATCCTATTACAGCGTCTTCGCAGTTCGCTTCGCCATTATGGTAAATCGGATTTCTGCTTTTAATGGTGTTTTTAAGTATTGTTTGGAGGAATTCACACTTGCTAGCTGCATGCCATGTGTTTGATAATATGCTTGAGCCGAACAAAGAAATTATGCCTGGACTGGATGATCCTGCAAATTTCATCTACTTTTAGCTATTATTTTGCGTACGAGCGCGTCTATACATACTCTGGAAGGAATTTGAATTGTTGATTCTTCTTGATGGGACGCACGAATTGTTGTTTTGTTCTGTTGTGCAGGTGATGCTTGCAATTTTGATCGGCTTGTTGACGCTACTGACATGGCACATCACGAGAGTCGACACGACACGATCATTGAACACATTGGCGTACGGTCTCCGCCACGAGCTTCTGCAGCGGCCATTGCTGCGTATGTGGAACATCCTCAACTCCACTGTCGAAGTTGCCACTGCTCAGGTCAAGATATCCGAGTCTGTAATCCGGCGCTACTTCAAGCCAACAGATCGAGCTCGCCAAATCGAGGTTAGGGTCAAACCATTGGAAATTCGTTTCTGCAATGCATCTGTTGCACTTTGGAGTCATACACCTGATAGATCGATTGATCGCTCTGCTAATTGATTCAATCAGTTTTATGAAGTCATGAAGGACGTGACATGGTCGATGTTTGTGAGCAGCAGAGCTCTGAGATCCATCACTCTGAATTACAGAAACGGTTTCGTCCAGGCGTTCCACAGAAACCAAAGGAACAACAATACCTACTTCATATACTCTGATCTAGCAAATTATTCGATAACAGGGATGAATGATGCCGATCTTCTAGCATCCGATCAAGGATGGAATGATCAAACTATTCGCAACAACATCTCTGCGATTTGGTACCGCGAGCCTGTGAATCCATTGACAGGCCAAAAGACTGGAAAAGCCATGGCAATTCCGCCGGACGAGCTGATAAACATAGCTGGCATTTCACAAGTCCCTGACGGCACAGCCTCCTGGCATATCGCCGTAAGCAACTATGCTGATTCACCGCTGCTTTCAGCTGCACTGCCAGTTTGGGATCCCTCTCACAAAAGCATAGTTGCTGTAGTTGGTGTTACCACGGCGTTCTACAGTGTCGGACGCTTGATGAAAGAGATAGTTGAATTCCACAGCGGACACATTTACATAACCTCTCAGCACGGATGGCTGCTTGCCACTTCAACAAATACTCCACTGTTAGTTAATTCGTCAACCGGGCACAAACTCATGATGGCTGTAGATTCGGAGAATGAGGTAATACGCTCGGGGGCTGAGTATTTGAAGAAAGTGTATCATGACAAGCTTCCTCCAAGTCAAGAAGTTCATATAGAGAACGCGAAGCTCGGCCACCAGCTATATTACATTGATTCTTTCTTCTTGAACTTGAAGAGGCTTCCCATGGTAAGAAGATCGGTTACACTGTTGAAATTTTAATTTGGAGTATGTTTTTGTCATGCGTCCATATGATGTAATTGATTACAGGTTGGTGTTATAATGATACCGAGGGAATACATAATGGGAAAGGTTGACGAAAGAGCTTTCAAGACACTGATGATATTGATATCAGCTTCAGTATGTATACTAGCAGTTGGGTGCATTTGCATCTTCATTTTGACAAATGGAGTGTCGAAAGAGATGAAGCTTAGGGCGGCTCTGATAAGCCATCTGGATGCACGAAGGAAGGCGGAGGCATCCAGCAATTGCAAAAGTCAGTTCTTGGCAAACATGAGGTGAGAGATGACAGATAATTTCATCTGGAATGGCTTTCCTGTTATGTTCAATGATGGGTTTTTCGATTTTTCTGTTACAGTCATGAACTTCGGACACCAATGGCTGCAGTGATTGGATTGCTGGATATCCTTGTGAGCGACGACTGTCTCACAAATGAACAGCACACAATGGTAGCACAAATTCGTAAATGTTCTAATGCTTTACTCCGGCTTCTCAACAACATCTTGGATCTAAGCAAGGTCAGATGAATGTCATAATTGTCCTGCCTAAACTGCGACAATCGTTTGAGTTTAATTCAATTTGAGTGATGTAAGTAAACTGGAAAACCATGAGCTTCGTCTTCAATGGAAATATATCCGAATTTTGTTTCAACTGTGCAGGTTGAGTCTGGAAAACTAATACTGGAGGAAACTGAGTTCAACTTAGGTCGAGAACTTGAAGGGCTTATTGATATGTTCTCAGTCCAGTGTATCAACCACAAAGTAGAAATTGTTCTTGATATTTCTGGTATAATCTCATTCGATCTTGATCTTTCAATGCTCGTTATATGAATTCATGTTGGCACCGACGCTCCCCATTTTAATGCAGATGACATGCCACAAACTATCCTCGGGGACTCTGGTAGGATTCTTCAGGTTTTCGCAAACCTTATTAGCAATTCAATCAAGTTCACGGGATGTAAGTCTCGGCAGCTTCCTCATTAATTTGTTTGTGTAGAGCATCTATTCTTCGAATCATTTTACTCAAAAAAATCATTCTTGAAATTAACCTTCTGCTGCTGATGTACAGCTGGATACATCATCGTGAGGGGATGGTGTGAGGCTGCAAATGGCGAAAACAGCATAATGAAGCCTTTGCTCCATGGAAATGGATCGAGTTTTGCAGATAAAATGAACCGGAAGCAGGAATCAAGCCATGGAAAGAATTCCCACAACAAGGACAACAGGGTGATTCTTTGGTTCGAAATTGATGACACTGGTTGTGGTAAGAAACGATGCTGATTCATTGTGTTTGTTATCGGGCTCTACACAATATTACATGACCTCTGTCGTTTATGATTTTCAGGAATTGATCCGAGTAAATGGGAATCTGTGTTCGAAAGCTTCGAGCAAGCTGATGCCTCCACAACTCGTCTGTAAGCAGATTATACATTTACAGTATGTAGTGATTGTTGTATTTGCAAAATGTCGCCCCTCCCGGAACTCCAAATGATCTTTTTATTTGCAGGCATGGTGGCACTGGTCTTGGCCTGTGCATTGTGCGAACCTTGGTGAGTTGAATCAAGTTGAGTGAATTTCAAATTTTACTATACATAAGCAAAGATCGATATTTTCAGTTGCATTGAATTTTGAATGGATTTTCGACAGGTCAACAGGATGAATGGCGAAATCAAAGTGAAGAAAAAGGATGGACACGGCACGCTGATTCAACTATATCTAATCATCAGGACACCAACCGAAGCCGTAGGACAACAGCACTGCTTAACACTGGGAGAGCATAAGCTGACAGTGAGTTTCACTCTATGCTCGAAAACATCTCTGCAGGCTTTAAGTATTTTGCTCTATCCACACATTTTTCTGTCTAATCAACATCGCGAATCTTGTAAAATTCGAAGAACTATTGATTATTTAAGCTGAATGCAGGTGCTGCTTGCGCTTGACGGCAGAATGACTGCATCGACCATGGAAAAATGGCTGCAAAACAACGGGGTATGCACCCACACCGTATCTGATTGGAATGAGCTAACCGTGCATTTACCAGAGCACTTCAAGGCCAAAACCGGTCCTCAAACGCTGACTGAATGTCGAGAATCAGATGTTGAATGCGGCATCACCTCAGTTTTCATCATGATCATTGAAATAAGCTTGCTAGACTTGCACTCCGAGATATGGCAGCAGCAGCTTGACTTTCTTGACGAATACAAAACTAGCGTTTATTTTGCATGGATCTTAACTCATGACGCCTCCAACGCTATCAAGACGGAGCTCCATCGAAGAGGGCATCTGTTAATGGTTAACGGGCCTTTATACAAGGGAAAGCTTATTCAGATATTCGAATCCGTAGTAAAGGACATAAGTTCCCGGCAGGTAAAGAATCCGACTGCTTCTTCGCAGCAGTGCCATGAATTTCTTGAAATCGACGAGCATCACTCTGGCTCCATCAGCTCGGATGATTCTGGAATATCAGTAGGAGCGTTGGTCGACAAAAATGGCGAACATTTCGCCAGGTCCTATTTCTCGCTGCTTACTGACTGCTCTATTGATACAAGCCATACGGTTCGAGAGGATAATGCTCCCAACAGGGCCGGTGACCTTATGCCCAAAAATGATACTGACGGCCAAAGCGTCGCATCCAAGCGACAAAGATCACTCGAGGGCCTGCGCATACTTCTTGCTGAAGACACTCCTGTTCTCCAGAGAGTTGCAATGATAATGCTGGAGAAAATTGGTGCGAAAGTTGTCGTCGTGGAAGACGGGCTCCAAGCAGTCCGTGCCTTCAAAGGCACGATCGGATCGTTTGAGCATGGAGGCGACGAATCTCTTCTCTACATGCAACGCGGAAGAAGGCCTGAAGAAACTCGCGCATTCGACTTGATTTTGATGGATTGCCAAGTAAGTCCGAATAGTGGTTTCGTTTCGTTTGTTATTGTCGATATCTGAATTTATGTATGTGGATGGAGTAACAGATGCCGAAGATGGATGGATACGAAGCGACGAAAGCTATAAGAAGAATGGAGTCGGGGACAGGGACGGGGATGGGGATGCACACCCCGATCGTGGCGCTGACTGCTCATGCAATGTCTTCGGACGAAGCGAAATGCCTGGAGGTCGGAATGGATGCTTACTTGACGAAGCCGATCGACTGCAAACTCATGGTATCGACGATCCTTTCCTTAGTTAAAACGACGTGATGGTGAAGGCAGCGAGCCGTGTTTCGAGTTCGACGGCATAGCCATGCCGTGGTTAGCTAAGCTTGTGGTCTGCTTCCTTCTTAGGTCACCATTTTGGCCTTCAGTTAGGTGCTCCCCTGCTGCTGCTTTCGTCCTCCCTGAAATAATGTTAATGCATGAAATCTTTTACTGAGGAATTTTAATGTACATAGCCCGGGGATGGCTGTGACGTAGATGTTGGATTGTGACTGTGTGACGTCATGATTCCCTATGGACTAACTTCCAGGGTGTTAAAGTTCGGCAGGAGTTTAGCCCGTAAGCATAAGAAAAAAAAAGAAAAGAAAAATTAGCTTCTGTCGGATTTATCCAGAACCGAACTCAATGAGTTGAGCAGGGGCACCAATAATTTGATGAGTGTAATATTATGGATTTAAATTCTTAAAAATTTAAATATTAAACGAATAGAATTAAAGAAAAAAAAGAAAGGAGATAAAATATGTACGTTTCAAGACCTTAACAAATATCGACAATTAAATAAAAATTCTTCAAAAAAAAAAAAAAAAATAAATAAATAAATCAAAATACCCTCCGGAAATAAAAGCAAGCCTCCTCTCCTAGTTGAAGGTTAATCCACGGCGAAGCCATTCCAGCAGATTCATTCATCTTTTTTTAAAATGATAAGTAGCTTTAGAGTTGGGGGCCTCCGCTTTCATCGCCCACAGCCGGCGCCTCTTTTCCGTCCTTTCTCCCGCTCAATTCGACTCTTCACCGCCTCCTGCTCGGCGGCGCTGCCAGGAGAGCGGCAGAAAGTAGTGGTAATATCTGGCCCAACCGGCGCCGGAAAGAGCAGGCTCGCATTAGAACTTGCGAAACGACTGAATGGAGAAATCGTAAGCGCTGACTCCGTGCAGGTATTTACATTTTCTTCACCTGTAATTTCTTGCCAGGGTATGCAAATCCTTATTCATTGGTTTTGGATTTTGTGTGGCAGGTTTATAGAGGACTTGATGTTGGTTCTGCCAAACCTTCAGTTAGTGAAAGACAGGTTTATTCATTGTTTCTCGATTTTGTGGATTAGTGTGTGGTTTGTGAGTTAATGCTTTGCTGTTAATTGGATTTCACAAGTCTCTGTTATTGGATTTGCTTGGAAGGAAGTAGGGCGTTGGTTGTTAACTATGCGACAATCGTTAGCTGATTATTATAATAGTAACCGTTTTTATATTTGAAGTAATTAATTGCATGTCTGAAATTTATCCTATCAATTTCAACGAGAGTCATCCATGTAGAGCACAGGCTTCAGCACTATATAATGTTATTTGGTCGTGAAGAAAGAGGTTCATCGTAGTAACAATTAGGAAGAAACTAGCTATGTGGAGAAAGGCATATGTAATGGTCCTGCAAATATAGCTCAAGCTTTGATCTGTAGATTTTAGTGAAATGTGCTAAATCACCATTTTTGTTTTGATTCTTTCAGGAAGTTCCACATCATTTGGTTGATGTATTGCACCCATCTGAAGGTAACGGCTGATCAACCATTTTTAGTTTTAACGATATTCGTATGAAATCATTGCTTGGCTATGAAGCTTTGATTGTGTGATGCTCTGTTGAAAATGAATGTCCTATGAAATAGCAACAGACTAAATATTTAGCTGCTTCTTCACTTGGGGTTGTGAGTTAGTGCTGTACTAAGTTATGAAGGTTGTTGTGTTGTGTGTTATCTAGGATTCATAAATTAGCTTTATTGTGTTTAATTTATATGCGACGACTGAACATGTTATATTCGACCCATTGTGATAATGCAGTTAGGCATGTTCGATGCAATGAGATAATTCTTTACCATTCATTGTTTTCTCTTCTTCCTTTCCCTTTATGGATCTTGTTTGAACTTTCCTAATCAATAGAGCAATTTTTATGATTGGCATTTTGTGTGGATCTTGTGTTCATATTAAAATTCTTGTAGTTATCTCCTATATTCCTAGCAACCTGGTCAAATCAACTAATTCTTATTTAAGAGGTATCACAAAAATACATTTAATCGTTATAACCTGACCGACCTTGGTGAAACCTTGACATTCTTTCATTTATAAACATCTATAGCCACAATTTTTTGGTACTTTTACTTTGTATCTTAATATTAAAGGTTTTTGGATGATCAGATTATTCTGTTGGACAGTTTTATGAGGATGCTAGGAAAATAACTGAAGAAATTCTCAGTAGAGGTCGAGTCCCAATAGTCTCAGGTGGTACAGGGTTGTACTTGCGGTGGTATGCCTGTATAATTTAGTTACTGATATTCTCTCTCTTTCTCTTGAAAATTGTCCATTTATGCAACAATATAATAATTAAGGAGGTATTTTCTGTTCCTATTGTTTAAGGTTCATTTATGGGAAACCGGATGTTCCAAAAGCCTCTCATCAGATAACATCCGAGGTGCATGCAGAACTTGCAGATTTACAGAGAGATGGTAATTGGTATGAAGCTGTACAGCTTGTGATTAAAGCAGGTGATCCAGGTGTCCATTCTTTAGCTGCAAATGATTGGTACCGGTTACGCCGTAGGCTTGAAATTCTCAAGGTTGAGTAATGAGTTCCTTGATTTTGATTTTGGGTTCATCCTACCTCCAGCATATATGAGATAGTCTGCATTTCCGTTCAAGTTGTCATATTAAGTTGATTTCTAGCAATTTGTTTTGTATGCAAAAGAAAAAATTGTTTGTTAGATTGACCTTTTTCTTTACAGTTGGATCACAAGAAATACAGATACAATCGATATGCAAATTTTTTCACCTTAAACCAGCCGCCAGTGTTCTTAACTCTTGTTTTTACCTTACAGTTAACTGGGGCATCACCATCCACCTTTGAAGTGCCCTATAATTCTTTTAAGGAGAAGTTTGAATCAAGTGCAGTAGATGATTCTGGCATAAATTCTTCAGTTGCTGAGGAGAGTAGAGCAAAGGATTTGAAGTACAATTTTATTTGTTTTTTCCTATCAACCCAAAGGCTAGATCTTTATCGATCAATTGATTCTCGGTGTGAGGAGATGCTTTTAGGTAAGGTGAATTGTGCCTTATAATACCTTTTATATGTTTCCTTATTAAAATCTTCTTGAAGTGTACGGTTACAGGATACAACATATTTTGCTAGGAACGTATATATTCTTATACTGCTCCTTTTGCTGTCCAGGTGATGGACTTTTGTCTGAGGCAAAGTGGCTTCTTGATTTGGGCCTTATGCCTAATTCAAACTCTGCGACTCGGGCTATTGGTTATAGACAAGTATGCTATTGTTTTCTTCCTTAGTAACTGATAAAATTTTTTGGTGTTCAGATTATCATTAATGCATGTAATAGATTTATGCCATAAGTGGAAGTTGGATAATGTTTAACTTTTAAACTCAGGCTATGGACTACCTACTATTGTCCAGAGAACAAGAGGGCTGGAGTTCTCCTAAAGACTTCTACAAGTTTCTTTTTGAATTTCAAAAGGCGTCTAGGTAACCTTCATCAACTCATTTGTTTGATCTATACATTCTCTTGTTCTGCCCATGTGTATTACTCTAGTCCATTTAAGCATAGTGACATATGTCTTCACTCTCTTAATCTGAAGTTATTATCTAACTTATATAATAATCATTCAGCAAAATTTTCCCTTCATATTTGTTCTCTACCTTTTATGCTTCTGTTAGTGGCATCTCACGTTACTTTGACCTCTAACCCCTAAATGGTCAAAATGAACAACAAACATTAATTGCTACTTGTAACTTGTTTAAGTTGATAGAAATTTCTCTAGGTCTCAGTGTCGTGTTGATCATCTCAGCCTAGTCAAGCAAAGTGTGGAAGACTAACGTGTAGAATGGGATATATAACAAGTTATCATTATATCTAGAATTTATGGAAATATTTTGTTATCTCTATTAATTTTCTTTTATTTCTTAATTTGTCAATTTACTGATTGTACCTATAACTAGGTCTGCTCTTTCATTTGTTTCGATGAAATATCATGCTGTCCTTTTCTTTTGGTTAACATATCTTATTTCTCTATTGACATGCTTACCAAAGCTTATTGGATATATTAATGGGTGTTCCACATATATTTGTAGATGAAAACAGAATACTCAGATAGCATTGCCAAAAAGTACCTAGAATTGGATAGAATGAAAAGAAACAAACAGGAAATAAGGAAAACAAAAAGGAAAAATAAATAAATTGTAAAAATAGATGTCACTGGAGAAGAGACTGGATAATAAGAATTGAGAAATAAAAGAACCTAGTATGAAGGGGATGGGATCACCAGCCCCCTTCCCATCCCAGCCCCTCCACGCTCTACACACAAAGAGATATATATATACACTATATGTATGTACATGTGATATATAAATTATATATAACATACATTATGTGTATTAGAGGGGGCGTGGAGGGGCTGGGATGGGAGGGGAGCTGGTGATCCCATCCCAATATGAAGGACAAGAAATAAGTATAGTTATCCAGATTTGCAAGGAAATATAAGACACATTCATAATAAGAAGTCTTCCCCTTGTTTCTTTTCAAATTAATCTTAAAGAGTGCAGTGATGCATCTTGTGCCTAGACCGAAAGCACTTGCTGTAAGGTGCTTTCAAGAAGTTAAGTGCATAACGTATGTCATTAGGCGATCAGACAAACTATCAATTAGAAGCCTGAGAATCATCCAAATGTAAACTCTTACAAATACTCTCTGATATGTTGCATTCTCTATGTCCTATGCCAGAAGATTACCCTTTGGAATTTGTTTCTTCAGTAATCTTAATACCAGTTTTTGCTAATTATAACTTTGCAGAAATTTTGCAAAACGACAATTAACATGGTTTCGGAATGAGCCCCTTTATCAATGGATTGATGCTTCAAACCCCTTGGTATGTTATTCTTGCTGCTTTGGTTTCTTTATTAGCTACACACTGCAGCTTGCTAGTGTCCTTATAACTTGACTTCTCTCAATAAATGCTAGTTTTTCGAGCCCTTATAGATCAAGTGGTGATTGGTGAGACATCCCCACTTAGGGGCTAGGTCTCGGGTTCGATCCCGAGCGGGTGCATATGTGTGTTAGTGTGGCGTTAAAAAAAAAAAAAAAAAACTCAATAAATGCTAGTTTGACTAGTTAAGCAAGCACAAATGCTAATTCCACTTTTTATGCTCACCAACAAGTTTAATAGTATTAAATCAATATTTTGCATATAAAATTTTGTATATATTTGTTATATTAGAATCAATTGCAACCCTTTAGACAAAATCCATTGAGACTAGGGGTGAGAATGATTTGAGTTGAACCCGAGTAGCAGGGTACCCGAGCTCGACTTGCTAACTATTTCTTAAACTCAAGCTCCAATGAGTAGTTAAACTACTTAAATAGGAACTTGAGCTCGTAAAAATGTGATCATACTCGAGCTTGAGTTCAAGCTCGAATTTAAATATGTGTTTTATAATTCTAATTATGAATCTCTCTCTCTCTCTCTCTCTTTATATATATAAAAGGATTTTATATAAATACAAAAAAGTACATAAATATAAAAGATACAATCCTTGAAAGTTGAAACTAATTCAAGTATTACAAGTTTAATACATTAATATAATTAATATTTTGTAGGCTCGCTACAAAAAATAATTTAATATACAAATCTATAAAAAATAATTATGTAAACTTATAGCAAGTTACTTGACAAGCTTTCGCGCGACAAAATTGGTGCTTATAGTTTGACTCGATATTACATTCGAGCTACTCGATACTCGACTCAAGGAGTTTGAATACGAGTTGAAAAAAAGGGTTGCTTAACAAGCCAAATCTAATTTGAGCTCGAATGGAAACATGACAAACTTGGCATAGTTTGGATTGCTGACAACTACTTTAGTAAACAGTCATTGTTGAAAGTTTAATCTCTTTGAATGAATTGATCTCCAATTCTCATGATTTCAGGAAAATGTGCTCAGCTTCATATGTGATGCTTATGAGGATCAAACAGGGAAACTTGAAGTACCTCGATCCCTTAGAATGGAGAAGGACATGTCAAACTTAAAAGAAGTCCGGCTGCTAAAAGCTTATCGCCCAAAAAATAGGTATTCCTTCTATGCCTAAATGAGTTGACAGATGATTTAAGGTTTGGCACGTTATGCAAAGGTACTAATTGGTTGTCCTTTCGTTTCAAGGCATTTCATGTCGCGAGAAGATTGTAGCAATATTTTGGAGTGGGTGAGGAAGAACCAAGGGGTTGCAACCATCGGCCTTCCATAGATTGCACGCTACAAAGCCTCCCTGCATTAGTTATTATGTCTCTATGGCCTAGGTGTCATCTATTCTTACAACAGATGGTTTTGGGGACAGTGAAGAACGTACGGTAAGAGGAAGGCAGTTGTAAAGATGGTTGAGGTGGATTTTTTGATGGAAGTATCTGTCAAATTTGCAACTGATGTCTGATATACTAAATCAGTTCGTTCTCTTTTAGCCATTTTTATTTATTCTGTCTTCGACGTTCATTTAACTCGGAAGTAGTGCCGGAAGGTCCTGTACTGGAATTCAGGTAAACCACAGATTCAAGAATTGGTGACATCTGCTCCTGTTTCTATAAAGTGTTGGTTATATTTATGAGTTATTGTTCTTGCATTGCAGCAGCTGCTGCCGCCATGGGAATGGAAATGCCGAGCGCCGGCCTTGACATTGGCAAATAATTTAATTTTGCTTAAATTTGGTCACGGAATGATTTAGGCTACTCATTGAATACACAACACAGGTAATGTTTCTATTTTGTGTTGTGCTATGTTTCCTCTTCTTGTTTGTGTTATTTTTTTTTTGGCATTTATTGATTTTGGAAGCAATGGATAGCAGTGATGGAATATGTTTTTATTATTATATATTTTGAGATCATCTGCCTCTATTTTTTTCTAGTTCAGTGTAATACAGTATGTATATATATAATATAATATGTGAATCAATTCCTGTTATGGATTTGTTCTTTTTATCATTTAAAATTTAAAAGTAATAATGTTCATTTGATACAATTTTTTTATATATAAAAAATATATTATAAAATATTACATCGAAATATAATTTAAATTAATTCAAACCACAATAAAACAAATTCAATATTATCTACAATTTTCTAAAAGTAATTTCTTTTTAGAACAAAAACAATATGTGAATAGATTAGGGACATGTGGTATTAATAATTTTTTGTATTGTTTGTGAATTTTGTATATTATATATCATTATAGTAACATATAGAATTTTATGTACATACTCACTGTGGCTATATATAATGGGATGGACGGGGCTGGAAAAAATAGAGGCCTACATGTTCTGAGTTTCTTAAAAATAGTACTGCTACCTTTATTAGGCTTAAAGAACTGTTTTCTATTAATAATATTTGCGAAAGAAATTATAAAAATATAAAGATATTTTTAACAAAATATAAATAAAATTCAAACCAGACAAAGAGAGTAGTTGATTACACTGTTTTATGGGAGAATACGCAGTTTATCCCTTAAATTTATTTTTTAAATCCGTATATTATGAAAAAATAATATTTAATTATTATTTTTATTTAATATTTATTTATCATAAATATCATTAATTTTATTACATTTCATCTTTCATTTTTTAAATTATTAATTAAAATTAAAAAAAAAAACCCTTCAACTACTCTTTACTTTTCCTATTTCATAAATAAAAGTATTTATTATTTATAATCTTCACGTCGGATTCAAATATCTATAGAGAGAACACAGCATGAATCTCAAGAGAGAATGCAGAATATGTTTCGAGCTATAAACATCTGTTGGCTATTTTTCTGCCTAAATCAATTTACTGTACAGAAAAGATGAACTCAAGCAAGAACATAATAGTACCTGGAATCGAAAACAGCCACCAGTGACCTCGACCAGCACATCGCAATGCACAAGAAACTCATTTCCGGGGCAACCAGCGACCTAAACACCTTAGTATTCTATACACTGTACAGTCGGCGGACTGGTTCTCGAACCTACATAAAAATTCATAAGAAGCTGACATTTCACTGCCTTCATCTTAATAGGAGTCGAGATTTCCGGGACACCATTGTTAATGAACAAAGAATTTACCTTCAGCTTGGCGAATCTCGATTTCTCGCCATTCTTGGACAAGAGCACAGCAGCAGCACATTAGGTGGGAGAGAAAGTCGTCGATTGCGCCGCCCTGTAAAGAAAGACGCAAACAAGATTGCCCACAAAGTATGTATGTGTATATATATATATATGTATAGTTATTAACCCGCGATGTTATTTGTCTCGTATGTACTCATCTTGACAAGAAAGATAATACAAGTTACCCGGATGTTTAGCATCGTCCGAAGTTTCCTTCTGATGCAACAAGTATAGCAGCAGCAGGACAATATTAACGAGTACGCCATCAAATCATTGCAGGCGTCTCCCGGCGCTGCAAGCCAGAAGAGTAATTGTCAGCGATTGGCTCGTATTTTGTGTAGGAAAAGGCTAACGAGATTTTTTCGAAGAAAAAAAGAGAACTTACGCGAGGTACAACTTAAGCTAATACCTTATCATTAAGAATTCGATATTTCTTATAGCGGCGAGCAACTTACAGATTTGTTTGTTAGTTGCCACAGAAGCAACTCTCGAAAATGTGCCGCAAGGGAAAAATAGTGTCTTTACACCTGCAAATACAAATGCACGTATTATATGGTCGACTTTCATTCGTTATTTCAAAGACAATAGCTTAATAAAAAAAAGGAATGAAGCAAAATTTACGACTTGAAAGGCGTACAAAGAAGAGATTCGGAGCAGCAGCCAAGTAAATCTGAATGCCATTCTTCCTGTGAAGCTTTCGACAATGGCAATTCACGCCTGGATGATACAAAGATGTGTATATATATATATATATATATTTGAAGCAGGGAATTCGATAAGTTATTGAAATACGATTAACGATTACTGACCCTGAAGCTTCCCGTTTATTGCTGCCCTTAGTGTAGTTTCTATCACTGTACGATTTATCATGGCTGGGGTCGACATAAAAGTGCTTAACCTTTGATTCTTTGACGGGCGAGGTTTTGTCCGGGGAAGAATTTGAGTTGACGGCGTGCGTGACCTCAAGCAGATGCTGAATTACTTCACACTGGCCGACATCTAGATTAGCTTGTGAATGTTGCAGTTCCAATTGAAGCTTCTCGCTCTCCTTTTGTATGGCTTCTTTAATCGGCATGTTCGGGTATGAACAAGAAAGGCTTTTCTTCAAAACAATGGTGTCGTGCTGCGAGTGTTCACGCCTGAGGATCACATCTTGCACCCTCCTGTCCTCATCGTCCATTGTGTACTCGCGCTGGTCCCTTTCGATCATCTCCAGCCGTTCCTGATATTAGCAAAAACAGAATCGTTGATTGCTACATATCCATATATACACATATTCATCGAATAAATTCAATGTCGTACGAAGCTGTAAGAACCTATGACGCGGCCTAAAAGCACATGATCGTGAATCTAAGAGTATTCGAAGACCGAATCTGTCATACTTGCATTTTCTTATTGCAGAAAAGTTTGGTGTGGTATCGAAAAAGAAGCTCTAACAGAAACTTTAATCGAATTCGTTGCAATATTGACTAATAACTACTGATTACCGGAAAGTATGCATTTATAGGCTCAAAATGTCACAATCATATATCATTTTTTCCAGATCATGGAATGAAGCATAAGAATAGGATAAAAGCGGGAGCTCATACCCGAATCCGAGTATTGTTAACGAGTGTAATCAGCGGGATGATCTTCAAATACCGATCGATCTCGATCTGCGCCTGCCGGAACTGGTAAACAATGTTCCATCCCATTGCAAGGAGGTAGAGATAGCTGCGGTCCTGGCAGCTGTTTACTAAAATGTAAGATCTTCTCAACGCATCCTCGAGCTGCTCCAATGGCTCCCGAGTCTCGGAATACTTTCTGAGCTCGGAAACCTTGAGTGACTCCAACAAATTGCCGATCAGCTTCAGGTGCTGCGCGAACTGCCGGCAGTTCTTCTTGTGCATCCTGGCTGTGGTCGCCGCCTTTGCGATCATTCCGATCAGCCTCACGGCGTCGAGCCCTGCCAGTTGCGCTACATTCGCTATTTCCCCAAAATGAGACATTCTCAGAATTCTATCCTCAAGCCCTAACTTCAGTGAATGAACAGAAACGAGAGAGAAGTAAGTGAATTTCAAATCAACACGAAACCATCAGTATTTCAGAAACCTAATACGATTATTTAGCACGCAATTGATGTAATCCAGGTCGGTTTTCGAAAACTGACGAATTTCAGAGAGAGAGAGAGCGAGAGAGAGAGATTAGCTGAATTGAAAAGTGCAGTCAAACAAACAACCTTCATTCTCTACATCTTTTTCAATTGTGAGCTTTTGTCTCTTTTTCCAGAAAAGAGAAAGCGGAAACCGAAGAACAACCCGACCAAACGGCGAAATCTAAATCTACAAACCTCACCTCCAAAATTCAGCAGATACCACTGACGAAACCCCCTACATTTTTCTGGAAGGACCAAATTGTGCGCAGCTGTTGTTGAGCTAGGTTTGGCATTGCCGATCCAGGGAGGGTAAGATCAAAACGAGCTTCGAAGTCGTGATTCTGGTGTTGTGTGGGGATTTGCCGACGCAGAGCAGAGCAGAAGATTGCAATGGAAACTGTAAGTAGAATAAATGCAGAATGACATTGCAGCAATTGAAGTAGGTGATGGTGATGATGGAGGGTGGGTGCAGTGATGCGCTGTCGCTATTTCCGTACCCTCGCGGCTTCGGCGAGCCGAGCCGATACGGCGATGGCGGCTGCGGCTGGCTGGCTTGTCTTGCCACTGACTGGCACGCTCCAATTACGGGCGTTCATTGCTTATGATTACAATTTGACAAATCAGGTCATTGTAACAAACAGTTCCATTAAGGCTTTGTATACAGATAATTTTTTGGGTGATGTGATTATTTATAATAATGACATTATTATTATAAATGTATATTTTAAATAATGTCATTTATATAAAAATAATAATTAAAAAAAAAAAGTGACATAAAATGAACATAGACATGTAGGATAGAGGGAGTATTAAATTTTTATTAACGATTAAAAAATACTATAAATATAAAAATATTTTTTAATGTGAAGAACGCAACAAATAAATGTAGACTTGAAAAGTGGACCTAGGGAATACTATATATTATACATTCCCTAGTCTACAATAATTTTATTTATCATTTTTATACATTACAAAACAATACTCTTGTAAATTACTCTTATATGTTTATTATTATTACACAAATATCATTACTTTTATCTATTTTAAACTACAAATATCAAAGACACAGTTTTTTACTTTAACTAGACCTTACCGCAGGAGGGAGGTAGTAGTATTTTTCAATAATACTTCCTCTCTTTGTCCACCAAATTTATTGTGATTTTTTTTTTTTAGTTGTTCTCATTATTAATTTTTGACAAATTCAACAAATCAATATACTTATTTATAACTAATTTTATTATAATCTTTTTGCTTTATTTTAATTTCTAACTAAATTTTTAAAAAATACTCTCAATTACTTATTATATTTTTAATAAAATCTGAGATAATTTTAATAGACTGAGGAAATATCAGTATAAAATTACATCAATAATATTATAATTAAATTAAAATATAAAGACAAAAATCATTATGCATAAGAAATATACACCAATTATCATTTATATATAATATTTAAATAAATACTTGTATTTTTCGAATAGACAAACAGGAGTAGTAGATATTTTAAAATATTACTAATATTCACTATTTATTTTAAAAATGATATTCAAATGACATTTTACATACACTTCACACCACACAGCAGCACGGCCAGAATGTTTTCGCGCCTTATTTTCCTGCTATGCCTCTCTCTGTTTTCACAGCTGCAATTCGCCGGCGCTCGTCGTCTTTTCACTCTCGAAATGCACCACCGGTTTTCCGATCATGTCAAGGCGTGGTCTTGCCGGATCGGAGCCGGTCTTCCTCTCCACAGATGGCCGGAAAAGGGGAGCATTGAGTACTACGCCCTGTTGGCGAGTCATGATCGCGCGATCCGCGGGCGCTTCTTGTCGAGGTTTGGAGGCGATCTTACGTTCTCTGACGGAAACGCCACTTACCGCCTCAGCTCTTTGGGATTGTAAGAGAAATTGAATCGAAGTATCTAACTATAACTGCTATTGGCTTCTTTTCGCCTGATTGCTAGCGAGGAATCAATTGATGGTTTAGAATTGATAATTGGAATTGATCACCTGGTTTTGGATAGTTATCTGTCGGTATTCTAATTCGATGAGCGCTTTGAAAGTATTGATGCCTGTGCTTGGCCTAGTTTAGGAATAATTTCTTGATCGTGTATGTGTGTATCGATCTTGGCTTAGCAACTATTTATCTATATAATCTTTTGTGTGTACTAATTATATAACTTTTGAATGGAGATTGCTGTAGTTTGCATTACACAACCGTGACGTTGGGCACGCCAGGGATCAAGTTCCTGGTGGCTCTTGACACAGGGAGCGATTTGTTTTGGGTACCTTGTGCAACTGAAGACGATTCGCCTTATGCTTCTGTAAGTTTCCACATTTTTGTGTTTCTGGAACTCTTCAGTGTTGTTCATCCAGCTATGTAATACCTTCAATAATAATTTGTATCCTCCTTGTAATCAGAACTTTGTTTTATTGTTTCTAAACTTCATAATTCAGCTGTGAAGGAACAAATTGATGGATACTATGGTTTTTTTCCCCTAATTTGACTAGGACACTGAAAACAATGTCAATGAGCATAAGGAAATCAATATATTGTTGGTGTTATAAATTATAATATGATTAAGCTGATTAGGTTTCTTTATATGGAGTCATCAATTGAAAGTATTTCTTCACTGCCCACTTGAGATTGATACTTGTCATTCTCCATACATTTACCAGGCATCGTCTTGGTCTGATCTGTTTGTATGTATAGGCTACTTTTTTGTTTTTCATTGTATTGAGAGATATAGTATAACAAGTTTTCTTCACCATTCCAGGATTTTGACTTTCGAGTATATGATCCACATGGATCGGCTACAAGTAGAATTGTTACCTGCGACAGTGACCTATGTATGCGTGATGATGGCTGCAACGACATGTCTAGTCCTTGCCCTTATCATGTGTCCTATATCTCATCTGATACATCATCTTCTGGAATTCTGGTGGAGGATGTCCTGCAACTAAAGACAGTAGATAAGAATCCAGAACTCATAAAGGCTTTTGTTACATTTGGGTGAGTTGAGAAAATCACTACATTTGCTTCAAATAATATTTGTATATCGTATATGTTCTGTAATTACCTTTCTTACTGGATCACTGTCCTGTTGTTTTGAATCTGTTGGCCGCCGTAACGTTGTGCTGTATAAGTATGGCGACATGAACAGCTATGATGTTTTTCTAGTCACTAATAGGTTTGTCACTTCATATAATTTGTGTTTTATAGCTTGTATGTGCTTCTACTTGTGAATATTAGGAAAAATATATATTCTAAGGTCTACTCCTGCGAATCCTAGTCACTAATATGGAATTTATTTATCCATACTTCGCATACAATTGAGTCATTCGAAGTCCTTCATAATCATGTGTTCCTTTCATCCTTCTCCAATATAACGGCATCTATTCGTAGAGTTCAAATTCTTTATTGTTCTGATTTTATGAATTCCCCCACTTGATGGTAAATGAAAGCTTTTAAACTCCACCAATGTTTGGATGCAGCTGTGTTTGCTGATGACTTTCTTGTGCAGCTGTGGGCAGGTCCAAACTGGTTCTTTCCTCGATATTGCAGCTCCAAACGGTCTTCTTGGATTAGGATTAGAGAAAGTAGCAGTTCCTAGTATCCTGTACAGGGATGGTTACATAGAAAACTCTTTCTCAATGTGTTTCGGGGATGATGGTACTGGGAGGATTTTCTTCGGAGATAAGGGAAGCCCCGATCAGGAAGAGACCCCATTCCATATGAATCCATTCCAGTGAGTGTGAAGCTTTCCTTGATTATACATTGTTCTTTGCAGGAACTACTAATGAAATTTCCCTGCAGCCCAACCTATAGTGTTAATGTGACCCAAGTTCGTGTGGGCACCAGTGTTGTTGATTCCCAGTTCACAGCACTTTTCGATTCTGGCACCTCTTTTACATATCTTGTTGAGCCTACATACACAATGGTTGCAGACAGTGTAAGCCTGAATAACAATGCACTGTATACCTATTTTCCCCGAATGATTCTTACAAGCTTTCGATTTTTGGCAGTTCCATTTACACATCCAGGATCATCGGCGTCCACCTGATCCAAGAATCCCTTTTGAGTACTGTTATACCATGAGGTGAGTGCTACAAATTGTGTACGGTTCCCTATTTTGCTAAATCGATCATTCTCAATTTGCTTCTGTGATGGACCATAGCCCCGACATGAACACCAGTTTGATTCCTGTTATGAGCTTGAGTATGGATGGCGGAGGCCAGATGGTTGTCCAGGATCCGATAATTGTGATTTCCACTCCGGTAAAATCTATAACTACTGCACTTAATGTTACTGCATTTACCTTTACCTGCATCCATGTTTAATAGTGGCGTGTTTCGATCGATCATAATCTGCAGCTGGAACTAATATATTGCCTTGCTGTTGTGGAGAATCAAGAACTCAATATAATTGGTCGTAAGTTTCTTGCTCATGATCACTTCTACTTGCTATATACTACTCTGTGATTCTATTCTAATCATGTCCTCTTTCTGTAGAAAATTTTATGACCGGATACAGAATAGTGTTCAACAGAGAAAAGCTCGTATTGGGTTGGAAAAAATCAAACTGTAAGCATATGCTTAGACAATTGTTTCTCTGTATATTTTTCTTGTAACAAATGGCCACCGATCATCCGGACAACGATCCAGGTTACGGCGACACGGGAGATTCAAATGACTTTGAAGCTAGATCTGTAAACTATGCAGCAAGTGCTGGAGGTCTAAATGGCACAGTTGAGTCTGAGTCTGCAAAAACAAATAGGACCTCTGCTTGTGCATCAGCATTTTACAGAGGTAAGTTTGATTGGTATGCCTTCCTTTTGTCTGTTGTGTTGGCCATTCACTGATCCTATATAATAGCACATGAATTTGGTTGATGCAAATGAATTTGTTTAGTAAAGTGAGTATATATACTGTGTGTCATTTTCTTTAAATTGCTTTCCAATTTTATTTTATTTGTAAAAATCCGCAACCGCTACCCAAAAGTGCGCATGGGATAAATTTCCGGCCGAACCTAATACTTTGCAAGCTAGGCCAGACAGACAAGTCACATTAGGCGAACTATGTGTGACTGGTGACTTAAGGCGTCGGGGGGTTTGAACACATGACCTCACGGTCACAAATTCAACACCCACACACTACCAGACCATCTCTTAGGAGACAAAATATGCTTTTGTTTGTGTTTCGGTAGGTTTCAAAATAGTAAACACTTGAATTTAAAATGCATATGAAGTATAATATTGTAAATACAATCATAAAATATTTCGATACAGAGGATGAAATTAATTTAACTTAGAATGAATAATGGAGGTTGGAAAACACCAAAATTATTCCCAGCAAATCATGAATCATCTGAAGCTCTCAACATGTCAACAACCACCACCAACTACATAACAAACTTGTTTGATAAAAAAAATAAAAGAAAGAAAGAACATTAATTAAACAGTACAACATTGATGAATGACAACTGGTAATATACAATATACATACATACATGTATATATATTGTCATGTTGTCAAGACATCAGGTATAGCAGTAGAATGAGCTCCGAGGACCCTACCTCCAAGGTCCGGGAAATTCTCGTATTCCGGTAAGGGGTTTACGTTGCCATCAGCGTCAACCTCGACCGGATACTTGAGAAGATGACCTTGCAATATTTTTAACTCATCATCTGCATACTTACTCCAGTTTTCTTTGGCTACCAAATTCACTCTCTCCACACATTCGACCGTCTCTGGTTCCTCAAAACATTTTTCGACCATTCCAAGGTGTTCAGCCCACAGAGACATTCTGTACCCGTATACCTGCGATTGCATGTAAATATGTAGAAGTTCATAATCAAGACAAGCTGCAATTAACTATGAACATGAATTGTTAATTGCTATAAAGAATCACATCTGGTATCTACAGTGATTTGGTTGTTCCCCGGTTCGGATCAAGAAGATTAGATTTGATTTAACTATAAAAAGTAAAGCATGAGATTGTGAAGTGCAAAAAAGATAATCTACGAAGATACAATCTCAAGAGAATGACGCACAAAAAAGAGCTTGATCAAAGAATAAAGACCTGAGGTCTACTGAAAATCCAAAAGAGTAATGATGTATTCTTAAATTTATAATCGATTACGAGGGTTATGTCCGACACATGTAAATCATACACACCATTATAATTTTGAATTTAGGGAAGTTTGGTGGTAGGCTAAGACTTCAGTAATAAATTGGATGGGTGTGAGATCAATTAATGTAGTTGCTACATAATTGATAGAGATGGTTTGAAGATGAGAGTATCCAGACGAAAGTATCCAGTCATAGAGATAATTTGTAGACGAAAGTATCCAGTCATAGAGATAATTTGTAGACGAAAGAATCCAGACATAGATCCATATGGAATGATTGGGTTAACATCTGGTGTGTTTTTGTTACTATTATACTTTTGTGCAAATTCTATATTCATGTTCGAGAACATGTTCTGGAATAAACAATTGAATTAGTGGCAATCCTTAAAATCTAACTAGCACTAACGCTAGAACTCAACATGGAAAACTCTTCCTACGATACAAAGGATATGAGGTAGACCTGCCTAGACCTAATGAAAAACTCAACAACTTAGATCTGGTATCAATTTAGGATACGTTATAATACTACTATGCACATACCTGTACTGGCCAAAAAAGAAAAGCTATGTTAAAATAAATAACTAAAACAAATCTAATAATGAACAGGCACATTAGTTTATAGTCAAGTATTTGATTTTGTTATGATTCAGGTTGTTGGGTATGAGGTGGTTCGACCTTAGATCCAAAAGCAGCTCAGAGTCAGTTGTACATTTCAAACCAGACTCGATTATTTAACCATGAATCCAATTTAAACTAGATAGGTTCAAGGCAGGTTTTCAGTAGATTCAGACCTATTACTGTCCCTAACACCGGAAAAAAAGGAATAGGAAAGGCTACTCAAAGTTAACAAACCTGGCCATGTGGATGACGTCCCTCCTTCGCCCAAGTATGATGAGGCTGATATGCACCCATGGCTATCTCTGTGTCTTTTGTTCCAGCCATCGATCTTTGGTTTATATTAGCCGATCCTATTATTACATACTCATCATCCACCACCATCCCTTTGGCATGAACATATATCATGAAGCGTTGGAATTTTTGAGAGTCTGAAACCTGAGAGAAAAACATGTACATAACCAGAGACTTGTTAGATACAATAGATAAAAGCTAAAAAAGCAGGACCAAACCACAAATACATCACCGGTAGATGTTTCTTTTCCAATTCTTGGATCAAGGTACAAAAATATCATTTTATTCATAACACAAGAATCTATAAGCTAGTTAGGAATGTTACCTTATCTGCTGCTGCATCTTCGGAAACCTGATCAGTAGCACTTGTCATAGGTTCCCGTTTGCCGAGACAATAGAAATTCAAATAATCTAGTGGATGTGCATCCAATTCCATTGCTTTGATCTCCTTTGCAATATATTGATACATCATTTGCATTGTTTGACCCTGTCAGAAAATTGGAAAAAAAATTTATCCTGTCAAATGGTCATTGCATACCATCTCTCTGTTTTTCGTAATTTCTATTAATATATCAAGGCCCTTCGTCAAAACTAAATATGTTATTAATGTACCATATATCATACCCACTATATAGGATAAAATAGTCCCTTGAATTAATCAGGACTAAATAAATCTGACTATTTGTTCTTATGGTCAAGCAAACTAATGATGTAGTATCACTTTTTCAATCATTGTAGCTTAACTCTGCTTATAAATAAACAGCGTATCCGAAATAAGGTATCAGTCAATCTGGTTGCTTTTAAATTTGGCACACACAGCAAAGTTCTTGAGTATCAGTTACAGTTTACCTGCCAGAAAAGAATTTCTTGCATAACATTATCCTTGGGATTGCCTTCAGGCCACATTGGTATAACAACATAAACAGCAAATCTCTCCTTGGCTCTTATTTTACTAGCAATCTTCATAGCTAACTCCATCGGAATTAGATGATCAGCACCTACATTTTGCAACCAAAAAAATGATTATTCTATTATCATAAATTGAGAAGGAAAGTTATAGTGACCACATTGATAAAAACCATACACCATGTTGGTCATTAGAAAAGTATTCTTCAGCACCAACAGAAAGATATAGTACATGTAGCTGAATTGATTCAAAGCTACTCACTATCGATAAGTTTAAATTGAATCATATCACTGCAATTACTTCCAAACATTTGCAGCAAACCACAAATAACCTAATAGAAACTTTGGACCTTGAGAGGAAATTCATAAGGTGGAAAAAGAAAAGCTATGAACTTTACCTGCATCTTTGTATGATGGCCAGGCATACGAAGAGCCAAGGAAGTATTGATTTTCAATGTAGATAAAATGCTGAGCAGATCTTATTGCCTGAATATATGCTGTTTGAATGCTTCTATCTATCACCAGATCTTTGGCACAGACAAGGTTCTGCAAAGAACAGCATGAAGACATTATCATATAATTCAAGTTCAACCACATACACCCATATAATGCATCGATGTTTGTCCTGGAAGGTCTACACAGGACTGCCATTCTGTCCAGTGTTAGCTACTGCGTTTAGGATTCCAAAGTCCTTTTTTGTTTGAATTGGTCAGTTTTTGTTTTTTTCTGGATATTGTTAGTAGTAATGGAGTCACGAGTCAGTTCATTGCTAGAGTCATCATACTTTCAGGGGTATTTTTTATTGACTCTATCTTTTAGTCTGTTATCTAAAACTTTCCAGAGTTATGTGTATTGAGTAATAAAATATGTATTCAGCAAATGTTCTTCTTTCTCCAGTGTGAAGTGATAATAGTATTTGTCATATTGGCATAAGTGAGATTACATGCATATATATGATACAGTTAGGAGTCTATCCAAGAGTCTATTCGTAAAGATAAACTCTAATAATTCTATCCTAACCTAACTCTATCTGAACTATATAGTCAACATTCTTGTCAAGCTAGAGCAAATATATTTATCATGCCCAACTTGTTACAACTATGGCTGATTCATACTCCATTTAGTGCCTTGATGAATGCATCTTCAAGTCGATCTTCAAACTTGATATATTCAGTACAGATTCCGGGACTTGGTCACGATCAAAGGGGCGGTTGACTTTAATGTGCTTCACACATTCATAAAATATGGGATGAGATGCATTACGTAAGACGGCTTGGTCGTCACACCTAAGTTTTGCTAGAAGATCAAGTTTTTGGCCAATTTCTCTCATCAATTGTTCCATCGTATACAGAAAAAGTTTGTCATGGCTCTATATTCAACTTCAACAAGAGATCATGATATCATATTTGGTTTATTACTTTACGAAGATACAAGATTGACTCCGACAATAACACAATAACCTGGAGTAGATCTTCTATCATCCTATGATCCTAACATTCTACATAGTCTGATTAGTCTCTATTGGTAAAGCCCCCATTTTAGAGCGACCATGGTTGGTGTAGTACAAGCCTCAACTAGGTACTCATTTCAAATAGCATAAGAGTTGATCTAGAAGAGCCTAATGATGAACTATAGGACACCAACTGCAAAGAAATGCACGAGCATTAAGTAAAATACTTTGTCACTTCACACTGGAGAAAGAAGAAAATCTGAGAATGTAACCCTGCTTTGTCTTACAATGATAAAGCATTAGAGAGAACAGCTTTTAATGGCTAACGAAAGCCAAACCAAAATCTTTTCCTTTTTAAAGATTTAATGAGTTGTTCGGATACTACGGAACATGACGGAACTTGCGGACTTTTCTTTGAACAATTAATGTTCAAGCTAAGGAATTCAACGGCATGGTTTGATATTCAAAACCAGAATGGACATTCGCTTCACTCAATTCCTAACGATAAAGTATTTCAGTCTTTATTAAGTTATACTTGATTTTTATCTCGTGCAATGAAAGACAAAGCATTTCAACGTCAGGTGATTGTACTTAAGCGAAGTAATAAAACAAGGTGATGTAACCCTTGTTTAATAAAAATAGATGATCGATTGGCTAACACTTATACCAAACCATTATCAGTGAGCAGATTTCAATCCTAAAGGTCAATGCTTGGTGTTTTCAGATCCTAAAACAAGGAGGAGAAAGTTATCTACTGTGTTTTTCCGAGTGCATTTCAGTTTGAATTGGTCAATTCTCTGAATTTTTGGAGTATTTTAGTAGAGTGCAGTGGTGAATCATTTATTGTGAGACTCAGCATATTTTCAGGGCTATAATTTGTTATTTGATTCTATCTCCAAATTTGTATCTAAAACTTTTCGTAGTGAGAAATAAAAAGCTTATGTGGCAGAGTTTTTTCTTTCTTCAGTAAATCCTTTATGAATCTCTTTGTTGTATAAACCAATTCACAAATTCTGAGAGGATATATAAGAAAATTAGAAAATGCATTACCTGTGCCTGAGCTTCATCATAGAATTTCGGAAAGCCTTTGACAGATCCAGAATCAATCGATCGGAAGATCTACAAAAGCAAACCAAGATCAAAGATCACGATAAGAATATCAGTTAACAAAGAAATCTCAAGCTAGACACTTCAAACCTGCACATGCCAATTTTCTTCATCCTCCTCCTTAGAGACATAAATATTAGAATCAACTTCTGAAAAAGGTTTATTATAAGCACCCTTCCTCGAAATAGGAAACACAGGACTCAATATCCATGATATTCGCTCAATTTTTATCATTGCATCATCATGCCAATGTGACATCCTTTTCTTCAGCAGACTAAATTCTTTCCATTTGGTTGTTTTCTGCCAACGTTGTGCGAAGTTAATAAGAACGTCATATGCAGCAGGTCCATCAATTCGACAGTGCAAATCATGCCATGGCTGCCTTGGAGCTTGTGTTCCTACCTGAAGAATGTAATTCATCATAAAGAATTGCACGAGATAAAAATCAAGTATAACTTGACGAAGCATTATCAGATTTTCAAAAACAGCACATAAGGGAAAACTGAGTAAAATGCTCGATTGCACATTCAAACAAATTAACCTAATTGGTTATGCGACACATGATCTGGAGAAGAAAATGTCTACTTTTCTCTGCAAATGTTCTTCCTGCTTGTCCCTACCAGCACAGCAATAACATGTAGAAGTATTCTAAAGGTGTAACAAAGAGTTTAATATCGATTATAGGAGAATAGCCTCGACAGAAAGATAATGGACTCAATAGTCAATACTAAATCCTGAGACTCCAAAGCCTAGTGTAATACTTCGTCAAACTCACCCTGGCAAAAGACTGTCATTATGATTCAGGATTTGGATATGCCAGTTCCTTGGGCTAACCTTACTATTTGAATATTGAAGTGCTTATCATTACTCTAGAAATCATGTCTCACCTATTATTACATGCAATTGATAATAGTCTTATGAAAGAAGTGAAACTAACATTCTCCATAGTTTCATTTAACACAACAATTCAACAATATATGCACAACCTTAAAGAGATGAAAAGACAGAAAGCAAAGACACACAAGAGATGAATATACACTCAATAGTATTCATACTCACAGGATATGTAGGTTGATGAATATCATCCTTGAAAGTAGTTTCAAGATCATGGAATAGTCGATGATCTGGTGTATCATATCGTCCATCACACAAATCAAGACCACCTAAAAATGCAGTAATTTTCCGGTTGTTTCCATGAGCTTGCGTATCGACCAAAACACACTTTTGATGATGTGTAAAAAGATTTCCAACTACCTGGGGATCACAGAGTGATGGTAAATGTAAGTCATATCATCACTTAAAGCTCAATACAAAAGGAAGACAGGAGACAGGCTCAAATCGTATTTGGAAATTAATAAATATGAATTTATAGAAATATCAACCTGTTGTTTCATGTAGCTAAGTTTGCTGCTTGCATATCGTGGTGACAGAACACATATAACAGATGAATGACGAAAAAACTTCTTCGTCTCTTCATCATGGGTTTTCATCACTCCATCCTGCAACAACGGCCACCAAAACAAAACTTCACGTTGAAATTCCCTAAAAACTTAGCTACAAGGGACAATATTACAAGCACATGCAACAAAAAAGAAACATACAGTAACTACTCATAAGATGAAAAGTTCATATCATATTATCACATGATGTAACGCATACCAAGAATTTCACAGAGATCATGATTGGAATGGTTGAACTGCCAATTTCCAAAGTTATGTTACAACTTTATTATTAGGGCATGAGTTCCTTTTAAAGTTTCCAGTGTAATGGAGTTTGAATGCATATTGCATCATTAACCAGATTCCATTATCTAAGCTATTTTTAAAAAAAAAAATTAAACCATAAGCCCCAACCGCTTAGTTCAGAAGTCTAATGGTGACAATAAGTTTAACAAGAACCATACTTAGCTATGTTCAGCCATATACTTCCAAGGGATTATATTTTCATAAGCAACAATCTCGAGTTTTGGCGAAATAAGAAATAAAATGTACTCTCTCAATCCATTTCCGACGCAGAGAATAGAGCCATTACCAATCAATATATAAAATGGAACGAACTCAATAGTAGATGGAAAAAAAATGGCCACAAACTGATCTTTCAACAAAACTAAGGTATAATAATCAAGTTACTCTACACATTACATCTAATCCATCATTCCATGAACAAATGATGCAGATTAAAGTTCATCATCACTTTGTTGTGACAAGTTTCAAGAAGGTTCTGTATCTACAGAATTCATCGAGTCCGAAGACCAACTTAGAAATATATTCAACGAAGTAGTGAATGGAGTATGGATCAACTATATTTGTAACAAGATAGGCATAGTTGATATGCAAAATCCAACTCGAGGGAGAGCATCCATCTATATATATAAGCATTGATGTAAATAGAATAATTAGAGCAGGAATTTTGGGCCTTGTTTCATTGGAGAGAGTTGGATTAAAAGTACTTCAAATTTATTAGTTTCGTTTGGCAATTTGATAGATTTCAAACCTCCAAAGTTGATTGTGGATTTCAAATCCATCTCATTTCATATTTCAATTGCTCTTTAAATTGTATCATTTCAAATATTTCAGACAACCAAAAAATATATTTTATAAAGTATTTCAAATCCGAAGTAATTCAAATCTATTCATCTAAAATTCAAGGTCAAATCCAAATCCATGTAACCAAACAGGGCCTTAGGGATTTTACATTTGTATCTTAGTACATAACACAACTTCTACCTTATACAATCATCCACCCCTTATGATCTGAAGCCCCCTTTTCTATGCCTATATTGTTACACGTATAGTCCAAGACTTTGAAATTACCCAATAAAAATCATCCCACATTCCCAATTCTAACAACATAAAAAAAAAAAGAAAAACAGGCACATTATCAATCATTAACATTAAATCTAAAAATTTCATACCGTGTTGATGAAGAACCTATCATGGGAAGTCTTGTCATCCCAAACCAATAGCAAAACTCGCACCCCTTCCTCAGATTTATACTTCAATAGCTCCCCGAGTGTCAGGTCCCCTCCTCGAGGCAACGGTTTTGTGGGTTCCCGAATCAATTTAATCTTGTGGAATACAGACCACCCCACAATGTAAATCATATGGTGCGCCTCTGCTATAGCATAGCATATGTCCTCCCAACATGTACCGTGCTCACGAACTAACCCGTTATCCAACCCAATTTGGGGAAGTTTATCCTCAATCCTTACATGAGCATCCTGGTACAATGTCACCTTGCTCCCTTTCCTAAGGGGAAAGTAAGTGTTGCGAACTCCGCGGTGGGAAGGATCCCCTGCAATGCCGTGCTTGTACAATGGATTTCTGTCACACGGAATGAATTTCAGCTTTAATCGCAGCGCTGAGTCCGGTTTCGGAGGGTTGCCGGAAGCAGACTTGATAGGGAACCAATCGAAGATTTCCAGGCCGGAAGCGATGTCTCCGGCGGGAATTAAGACCTTCCCGATCGTGTCGGCTCCGAAAACGTCGTTATCCTTGACGCGGATGTCTAGAAAGGCTAGAGGATGCGCCAGCGGGATGTGGAACGACTCGTTCCACTTCGGATTCTGCGAATTGGAGAGCACGCGCGTCCGCGCGAGAGTGGCCTGGGGAACCGAGACCGTGACGTAAGGATCGCTGGTGATGATTTTCCGGTGGTGGTGAACTTTCATCCCGTCGCGGCTACTTCCGCCGCCGCCACTACCGTGTCCATCCCCGTCGGCGCCTCCGGTCGGGCGTTGACAGGCGCCGCAGATTGTGAAACATCGGCGGAGGCGCTCCGAGAAAAGGTCCATGTTCGGGAGGCCACGCGCCTCGAAGATGTGCAGCTCCAAATCGCCGTACAGGAACAGCACCGGCTGGTCCTCCATGATTCCTCGATGTTATTCGTCTGCCGAAGTGCAACCGTTGGAAGAGATGAAGCAACTGATGGAACGAGTATAATAATGCAGAAGCGAGGTGGAAGGCTTCTTCGGTGGGCGGCGGCGGCAACAGCGGCGGAGGCGGCGAGAAGAAGAAGAGGGAAGCTGCTCAAGTAACGGACAAAATTGGGGCGTGAAAATAAATAAAATAAAACAGAATCAAGGGAACAGCTATGAAGTTTGGGATATTGGCACGTTGGTAACGTGGGTCCTACTTTCAAATTATTCTAATATAGTTTATTATGTCCTTCCGTTCACTAATTTGACATTTTAGTCTAGATTGACATTTTAGTCTAGAAAAAAAAAGATTTAAATTTGGAACGAAAATAATATTTAATACTCCGTCCATATTTTTTCATTTTAGTCTATTTCATAACAAAGTATTAATTTTTTTTAGTAAATATACTATTTACTTAACATTATAAATACCCTTCAACTTACAATATATTACACAAATGTCATTATCTTTATATCACAAGTATTAACAAGGTTATTTTAATTATTTTTACTTTATTTTTACTATATCCCAATATAATACTAATATTTCTAAAATTACTTGCAAAAAGCAAATGGATACTTAGGAGTATATTTTTGTGAGATAAAAAAATTTATTTTTATTTTTGTAAAAATATAGAATTTAAATAATAAAATTTAAAAAAAAATTGCTAAAGAAACAAACTCTAAATAAAAATTGCTAAAGAAACAAACTCTAAATATCACTTTCACCTCGACAAAAGAAAAAAGTAATATTTGTTTTTATATGTATACTTTTTAATATTTATATTATATTACTCCTTCCGTCATATTTAATTTGTTTTTTTTTTGAAAAAAAATACAATTATAAATTTTAATCACATTTAAAATCATAATTCATAATTTTTTTTAATTTTAATTAAACTATTTAGTCATTTTAATTTTAATTTAAAATTATTTTTATTAAATCATAATTATTTTACTTCTTAATTATTCATTAATTAATTATACAATACCTCAAACTCCTTACCTAATCTAAATGAGACAAATTAGTCTGGACGAAGAGAGTAAGTTATAATGAAAAAGACAAAAATACTTATATTAGTATTGTGTAATATAAAAATACTGACATTTCTATAATATATTAAAAGTTCTAAGCGTATTTATTATGTTAGATAGACAATACAATTATTATATTAATAAACAATACAATTATTATATTAAGAAACAATACCTTGTTTAGGGACAAACAAAAATAGATGTAACCTTTTTTATAAGACGAGAAGAGTATTTTTTGTTAGAAAAAGTAATTTTCAATTAAATATTAAAATATTTTTATTTTGTATATCACTTTTTAAAAGTAAAATGAACATTATATTATTTTATTACATTTATATTTATAAAATATTAATTTACTTTAATTTAAGTGAAAAATCAAACAAAAAATTTACTAATGGAGAGTATAATTCATTACTATAAATTTACTAAAATATCCAAATAATGGTAAAAAGAATGTTTATTTTGGAAGTAAATTGTGGGATATGTTTCTTCCCGAGTTTGATTTGATTTTTGTTTGAATAGTTTGTTGAACAAATGACATATTTTTACACGACACATGTTTTAATTATGAATTGACATTATATGTCTTTATATACAAGTAATTAGGGATGGATACGGTTCGAATATTTACAAATATATAGGTATTTGCTGTTCAAATCGAATCGAACAAATACTTAAAACCGTAATCGTATTCAAACTCAAATTTTCGGTTAACCGAAAATATTTACGATATTTGCAAATAATTTTGAACCAAATTGAATTTTTTAAAAAATAATTAAAAAATAATTAAAATATAATAATATAAATATATTCGGTTCCGTTAACCGAATCGAAAAAATATTAAAAATCAAAATTAAATCATACCGAACAAATATCAAATAAGTAGTATTTATATTGGAATCGAATTTATTCAGTTAACTAAAAATTCAATGTGATTTAATTCGGTTCAACGGTTCAATAATTTAATTCAAATATTTTGTCCACCCATAATCCTAACATTTTTCTTTAAACGGCTAGTATATTATTTAAATGTCCTCGGTTCCAATCTTTTCTTACCCCAACCCCATCTATCTCATCTAGAGGTTCATGATCAAGAAAAAACAAAACAAAAAATATCATAATTTGCATTTTAGTCCATCCCAATTTATTATTCCTCTAATTTTTTTTTCATCGGATGGGTTCATTTTTTTGCACGATATTCTATTTTAATTTCCATCCCTACTACCTACCCACCATTTATCTTCAATTTTGCTATCGTTACACTCTCGGTCATGCCTCTCCTTGAATTTGCTTTTCACAGTTATACTTGACTAGTATTCTCTTTTGAACCTTCAAAATATTTTCTGCAAATTAGGGTCGACGAGGCAAGTCACACTGGGTGAACCATGTGTGACAGATGAACCTGAAAGCGTCGAAGTTTGAACCAATGGTCTCACAGTCACAAGTTCCATGTATTGATGTTGTTATTATTTATTTATCATTCACATGGTTTTGAATTGTTTTAAATATAAGTTTAATATTTCGTGGTAGCCCACCACAGAAAATTATAGTTAAGGTAATTTTTTTTTTTTAACTTTATATATGATAATTTGAGTGTCCAATGCATTTTATCCAACTTGAACTATCACAAAAACAATGACTTTATTTGACTTGATTCTTCGTTTGTCAATATCATACACTTAACTTAAAAAATGTTGTGTTGGTGAACTTTCTTTCGGATTCATGTGTGCACTTAATGTTACTTTTTTTTTGTAAGACATCAAATAATAGATATTTTTAATATAGTTAAACAAGTTTGAAATATTTGTATTTCAAAGAGATCTGAAGTTTTCCGTCTTTAATTAATTTGTCTACTTATGTTGTATATATGTTGGTCATTTATCTATTACTGTAGATACGAGAATTTAAATAAAGTATAATTAATAAATAACTAAGAAATGTATTAGTAAAAATAATTATTATTCAGTAAAAATAATTATAAATTAAGATTAAAATAACTAAATAATTTAATTAAAAAAAATTTAAAATGTAATTAAAATGAGACAGTTGGAGTACATAATATAAAATTTGATGAATTAGATATGAATAAATCTTTGTTGTCTCATAAATTAGATTTTATGAATATAAAAAATAAGTTTAAAATTATTGATGTAAATAATAAAAAATATAAAATAAAATTAAAAAAAAAATCCTCGAATTGGAAAGTATTTGATATGGAAAAAGATATATCAATAAATACGATATATCTTGAAGGAAGTAATATTAAATTACAGCAAAATCAAACAACTTCACTGCATATTTTATTCTTTTACTTTTTTTGAGCCGTATAATTTTTTTTTTTTTTTTAATTGTGTATATATATATATATATATATTTATAGCAAAATTAAACAATCCCAAAAGTATGTAATTTTACATGTATCATGTAATGCAATATATACTTATGTGAGATTTATATATTTTTTGTTTTCTTTTATACAGACAGATATATGAAAATTGGAATTATGATCAAGCCGCTCATGTATGGATACATGAACTTTATAATCACTTTGTTGTGTTTACTCGAGAGGTTTTGATTTTGAGTTTTGATTTTGAATAGTATAATTTTGAATTGAAATAGTTGTTTGATGTAATATAAATATGTATTGATGTAATATTTTGAATGTAAAATTAAATTTTAGTGTAATAAAATAAATGAAAATTAATTGTTTAATTTGATATTTTTTGAGTGAAAATAAAATTGAAATAGTAAAATCATGGTTAAAATCTTACATGTATAACCATAGTTAAATAAAGAGTCGTATCAGTGAAAAAAATGAATTAATAATTATTTTTGTTTCAATGCAAATGAATCTAGAAACTATAGTTGGTTTGCATGAAAAAATATGAAAATGTTACAAGCAAATTTATGTCTTAGCCTTAGATGAGATGATATTTTGACTTAAGTACTTCAGGTACAAATTTAGTATTTTCAATTTATTTTATTATTTGAATGTACTGAATTTATATATTTTATTTCTCTCGTAAAAATATACTATTTTCTATTTTTTACCTTTTAAAATAAGGGTATCATTTTCTAATTTAGTAATAATACTACCTACTTAATATAATAAATATTTTTACAATTTACAATATATTACACAAATATCATTACTTTTATATTACACCATACTAATAAGGTTATTTTTGTACTTCCTCCGTCCGTTTACAAAGTTTACATGTTTTTATTTTGGGACGTCCAATTACAAAGTTTACATTTCATTAAATACCATATTTTTTTCCACAAATACCTTTACTTTACATCACATCATTACTTTTACACAAAAAAGTTAGGGCAAAAATGTCATTACACTATTTTTAACTACTCACTATAATTAAAATACTATTATTTATTAAACACCGCGCCAAAAGTAAATGTAACCCTTGTAAATGGACGGATGGAGTATTTTTTACTACAAATTAATATAATGCTAATATTAAAAAATTTACGTGCAAAATACAAACGGTTCTCTTGTTGTATAGGACGAAAGTTGCATAAACTTTTCTTAATATTTAAATATACAGTTCTTAGAATAAAGAAATACTTTTTTAAAATATTCTTATTTATTATGTTGGTAATGTTTGTGTTCGGTTAGAGGATTTGATCGTTTTTTTTTACTGTAGATTTACTGCTATCTACCTCTTTATCCTAGCTTTTGAAAAAATCACCCCAGTGTGCAGTGTTTGTCGGAAGCAGGCTAGGAATATTAAAAAATTTGTCAGAATCTAGAGAAAAACTGTGGTTTGGATACTGTTTTTCTTCTCGGTTAATGCCATAAAAAAAATTATGACTCCAAATTAAAAAAATAAAAATAAAATTATAACCCAAATTATATTTAAAAAATAGAGTATGTATATATGTATTATTTTTATTTCAAAATTTAATTATATTCATATTAATTCAAATTTCACTTTTAACTATTACTCATAATTTTTATAATACTTAAATATACATTAATTCAAACTATCACATCAATATATCAATTCTTCTAATAAAATAATAATTTCTTCCAACATAATTATTACAAAAATTCAAACTCTCAAACAAACACAACTTAAAAATTCTTATTTTAAAATCCTCA